CTCTCTTGACTATTTCTTCTACTTAACTATCTTCTCCTAAATAAGATGCTTGTGTATTATCTCTACATTTATGAATTTCTAGCGTTATCTGCTGACGGGATAGAAGGATTTGACTTCCTGGCATTGCCTTATTCCTTCTCACCCCATATTTAGGTGTAGATATTCCAACTCTAGATTAAATCTGCATTGGTGATGGCTGTGTAAACAAAGCTAAGCCAAGAATGTATACTATGATCACATTTCATTTTTAGTATAATTTTTTTGTTCCTAGCATTAATTACTTTAGTTTTGTCTTTGCTTAGTTTTCTGTGAAATGTAATGGATTCTTTCCAACTCCGGGGAATTGCAAGTAATTGCTGTTTCCTCAAGGTTAATATGTTATTATGTTGATCGGACTTAAAGTGCTATAATTTTCTTGAGTAGCATATACTGCATATTCAAAACGATCACTATTCTGCCATTTCCGTTCCCAGACCTGTCTCTTCTGGAGCTCACTCCCCTTATTATTTCAGTAGACCATTTTCACCATTTATAGCTGGATACAGATGTGTAGAGAACTTCACTGGCTAACTCGATGCTTAGTAAATGCTCTTGGAAAAATGGTTGAGAGAAGAAATATATTTGGATTAATTCTGTGCCCTGAAATTTCAGGTGTTTAAATAAGTTAAACCAAAAATACATACATTAGAAGAATCTAATTATCTCAGCTGTCCAATACAAGCTGTTTTGGCTCAATTATGGAAATAAGAAAACATTGATTGGGGCTGGGAATGTGACTTAGTGGTAGAATGCTTGCCTAGCATGCATGAAGCCCTGGGTTCGATTCCTCAGGACTACATAAACAGAAAAAGCCATGAGTGGCGCTGTGGCTGAAGTGGTAGAGCACTAGCCTCGAACACAGAGAGGCTCAGGAACAAAGCCCAGGCCCTGAGTTCAAGCTCCAGGACTGGCAAAAAAAGAAAAAAGAAAGAAAGAAAACATTGTTGACAAGGTTAATGACAGTAATTTTAAAAATTCATGTGCATTGAAAATAAAGCTGAAACGAAATAAAGTAGGGAAAATGTTTACATTATTGGATAAGTATTTGCAATTATTAGATAAGGTAGATATTCATCAGAAGGTATTAAAAGTTTTTGTTTTTCATGGGGCCGGGAAGGTGGCTCAGTGGTAGAGCACTTGCCTTGCATGCCTGAGGCCCTGGGTTTGATTCCTCAGCACTACATAAGAAAAAAGAAAAAAGCCAGAAGTGGCGCTGTGGCTCAAGTGGTAGAGCACTAGCCTTGAGCTGAATTGCTGAGCGACAGCGCCCAGACCCAGAGTTCAGGCCCCACGACCGGACAAAAAAAAGTTTTTGTTTTTCAGAGCTGGGAATCAACATCCTAGTTCATATTAGACAAGCACTCACCCCTGTTTGTTTTGGGTTGGTTTGGGTTTTTTTATTTATATTTTATTTTATTTTTTATTTTTATTTATTAATTTACGTGCTCATTGTGGGGCTTGACTCAGGGCCTGAACACTGTCCCTGAGCTTTTTTGATCAAGGCTACCATACTCTACCCACTTGAGCTGCCACTTCACTTCTGGCTTTTTTTTTTTTTTTTTGATAGTTAATTGGAAGTGAGAGTCTCATGAACTTTCCTGCCAAGGCTGGCTTCGAACTGTGATCCTCAGCTCAACCTCCTGAGTAGCTAGGATTACAGATAATGAGCCATCAGTTTCCAGCTGAGGTGTTTTTTTTTTTTTTTTTATTTTGGCTCAAGATCATAGTTTTCTAATAAACAGGGTTTAAAAGTCAGAACACAAAACTATATATGTCATTGGTAATATGAATTTTGCTTCTGGATCAACTTGCTCATAAAACTGTGGTTGTGAAGGAAGGAGAGCCGAGGAGACTAGAAATAGAGATGTGAGGAACATCTGTGTGGTGATGGGACAATCTGTTCTTGATTTGCATGGCTAGTTACAAAAATCTACATATGCCGGGCACCAGTGGCTCACGCCTATACTTCTAGCTATCAAGAGGCTGAAATCTGAGGATCACAGTTCAAAGCCAGTGGGCAGGAAAGTCTGTGAGACTCCTATCTCCAGTTAACCACCAGAAAACCGGAACTGGTGCTGTGGCTCAAGTTTATATAGCGCTCGCCTTGAGCTGAAGAGTCCAGGGACAGCGCCCAGGCCCAGAATTCAAGCCCCATGACCAACAATAACAATGAAAATCTACATGTGACAAAATGACATAAGTCTACCCACAGGCATTACATGAGTGCCAGCTGTTTAGTTTCATTGTTGTTCATCAAAGGGTTAATCACTCAGGAAAATGGGGGCAGTACACTGGGCTTCTCTATAGTATTTGCAACTTCCTATGATTCATCATCAATGCAAAAGTTTCTCAAATCTTCTAAAATAGTTGGCATATGTTTACAGGGGAATTTTGGAGTATTTGGAGATTGGGTTTTCGTTTTCTCTCATCAAACTTTATTTTTAAATAGTGTATGTGTGCATGGGACACGCACCAGTCCTGGAGCTTGAATTCAGGGCCTAAACACTGCCCTGAGTTTTTGCTCAAAGCTAGTGTTCTAGCACTTGAGCTACAGCTCCACTTCCAGTTTTTTGGTGGTTAATTGGAAATAAGAGTCTCACAGACTTACCTACCCACACTGGCTTCCAATGGTCATCCTCAGATCTCAGCCTCCTGAGTAGCTAGGATTACAGGCATGAGGCACTGGTGGCCTGTGCTGTATATTTTCTTTGAAAGCAATAGAGATTTCACATAGGTTTTCTACCAACTGGATATTTTGTTTGTTTTATAGTATGTGCCAAGAATGGTAACTTCAGCACAACAGAAAGCTTCAAAAACAATTACAGCCCGGATCACAGGGAGATGTGATTTTGCTTCAAAGAATAGAATTAATAGCAGTTTGGCTATAATGGGAGTTTCTCCTCCCATGAGCTCCGTTGTTGTGGAAAAACATCATCCAGTCACAGTGGTGAGTCTGCATTGACCCATGAGTCCATGGTCTTTTTCCTGAAAGTTTGTATACTGAGAAAGCCTTCAAAGGAGTTTGGGAAATATAAAAATTTATAATGTCTGACACCTGTTTTGCCTTCTCTTTCTGTCTCCATATACTCCATTTACCATGTCTTTTTTCTGTCTGTTAAGAAATTGGTTTCCGAAACATTTCTTCTTCTACCTAATAGCATAAAAAAAGAATCCAGTGTGCTGGTAGCAAAAATGGTAAAACATATAATGATATAGAACAAAAACTATGTACCCATGAACCAGCTGCTTGTGTAGCAGAATTGATTAGAAGAAAACTTCTTCTACTTTTAACTTTGCTCCTGGGTTTTTTGGCGTTTGTTTTTGTTTTTTTTTTACCTCCTTCCCCTTTTATCAATACAATTGTCTGCATATTTCTAGTATTAAAAGAAATTCAGTTGCAATAAATGTGTAGAATAGAAATATATAGAGAATTTGAAGCAGAAATAGGCAAAAATACGAGGCCTCTGCTACTGTGGTTTGAATCCTCAGTGCTTCCTAGTGTCTTCCAGAATTAGACACCGCATTTTAATGGTCAGCCAGTGCAGGGAACACTGGATGGAACGAGGAGAAGGATGGGTGAGTCCTGGAGGAGCACCTCCGTCACTCTGATCATTGCTCTGTATTCTATGTGGGTGTTGAACACAGGCCGCTACGTTATGGATTCATTCTGGAAAAGGGCTTCATCATTTGTTCACCTAGCTACTTCACCCCATCCATTACGTCTATCTACTGGATGCTTAATGTGGAGATGATACATAGACTCTTAAGGGATTATTAAAGCAACTTTTCTCTTTTCAGCAAACTATTTCTCAAGCAGCTGCTGCAAAATATCCACGGACCATCCATCCTGAAAGTGTCACAGCATCTAGATCTCTTGGAAGCAGGTCAGCCCACACCCAGTCTCTGGCAAATGTTCAGTCCATAAAAGTGGTTGACTAAAGTGAACCTTTTCACACACACGTCATCATTCCTCTAACCGTTCCAGCCTTGTTAGAAGATCGTGGATGCATCATGTTCATCTTTTCAAACTTACCTCTTTTGCAAGCTGTACCATCCTTTGTAACTATATGTAGAAAGTATTTTAATGTTATTTTTATTTAAACAATTAAGTAATGCTTCTTTAAATTAAAACATAAACTTCATTTGTAAATATATTCAGCCTGTCACTAGTTATATCCCTGGAGTTTATAAATCCTGTTTTCTGTGCAGTGTTTTCTAAAACAATTATTTCCAGTGTTACTGACCCATAATTTACACAAAATTTTGACAGGGAACATCACTAAAAACATTATAAAACTAATAAAAATTAAACTAAAGTATTTTTAAGCCAGGCATGGTGTTGCATGCCTATAATTCCAGTACCTGGAAGGCTGAAGTAGGAGGATCATGAGTTTGAGGCCAGGATGGTTATATAGTAAGGCCCTAGGGGAGAGTGAAATAATATGAAAGGAAGTGGGGGCAGGGGAAGAAAAGAGGGAGGAGGGAAGTAGGAATAGAGGAAAACGAAGATATTTTTACTTTGAAGTGAAAAAAATAAAGACGTGAATGGTAAAAGAGGGGAAGGTTTTACCATTAGCACCAAAATGAAGTTATAAAGCATCAGTAGGGAATCTCCTGTTAGAGCGACATGCCTCTGATGTCCTTCCTCCCTTGTTTGAAACTGTAGCACTGAGCCACACTGTCCTCTCTGAACAGAAACTAGCCTGTGCAGTATAGACCTGCTGGGCTTGGACAGAAACTTCAGTGGCTGCTCAATACGAAGAAGTCATCTGGGCAGCTTAGGAACAAAAGAACTTCAGGCTTCTCCACCTGTCTCAGGCCATGGTCTTGGGCCAGTTTCAGTGTCATCTGTCTAGTAAGAGCATCTATCACCCTGCCTGTTTGCATCTATGTTTACAGGCACAGCAAAATAAGTCAGTTCTTAGCAGTCTGATAGGATCTTCAGTCGTGAGAAACAGAGAAGCCACCACTTAAAAGTCCAAATTACGCATCTTTATTGGAGAGCTGAAGGACTGCTGGTGGACTCCTATCTCAAAGACCAGCAGCCTGGAATGCAGCTAGCACAAAGCTTATATAAGGCTCAAACCACATAAGGTGTGTGGAATTAAACCTAACAAAGGTGTTACACATGAGCAAAGCAGACCAGGTGAGGCCACTTAAATTATAGCAAATAGGGAGACATAAACTGCTGAGAATTAATATTGACTTCACATTCATTTTGTAACCTTTTCAGATCGCAATAATGCATACTCCTAATGAAAACACTTAGATCATACCAAAAAGTAGCAAGAAAATTAAAGTCACCTGTAATTAATCTACCAAGAGATTAAAAATACATTGGTGTATTTCTAGAATTTCCTAGGTAATACTTCATATTTCTCTGTGATTCAAAGTTACCAGTGACTATTTTCAAACAGAATTTCTGTTACCAAAGAGACTTAAAAATTGATTTCTGGGCCGTGGGCCCCAGCCATGACAGATGTTCTTTCTTCATCCTCACTCTGACCTCTTAGGAGAGACATTTCCCCCATTTTACAGATGGAAATTCAATCTGAGAACTGAAGTAATATTGATTCCCAGGCCTCAGAGGTCCCAAGTGGGAACCCCAATTTCAAAACCACATCTATCTCTTCCAGCACTTGGTTTTCTCCATGTCGCCATGCATGCTGCTTTGTTTCTAAACATGGACAAAGCCCTCCTAGATTATCTTCTTCATGGGCTGCCCCGGTGACAGAAATGAGCATCACATGCAACTTGCCTTGAACAAAACCAAAAAGAAAATATGACTTTCCAGTGGTTGGGAAATATAAAAAAGTCCAGCTTCTTTGTCATCAGCTCTAGGAACCTGTCAGTACTATCTTCATCATTGGAGGGAAAATCAGCACTGCTGAATGAAACTCATGGCACAAACAGGACTGAATTTAAAAGAACCGGATGCTGAGTGTATTTAAAGAAGTTCCTTTATGCATTTAAGAAACTACACATTTCTTGGAGCTGGAGTCAGATGTGCTTTTGAATTGGCGAATCTTTTCTGGAAAAAAAAAATAGGATACTAAGTATGATGAGTAGCTAATATTTCTAAGCAAGTACTATGTGTTAGATAACATCACTCATTTAATTCTATGACAGCCCTTCGATGTAGATGGGTTCATTGCCTGCCTTAAGTTAATAGATAAGAACCCTGACATGGTGAGGAACCAAAACCTGTGGAAGGCCATACCGAAATGATTCAGTCCTGCTCCAGAGAACAAACCACCACTCCATGGTCTTCCCTGACAGTTCCTACAGAGACTGTTCCACAGGAAAGAACAAATTTAATGATGAAGGAAGCCCAGTGCTTAGAGGATAATACCCTGGGGTAGGTGTCATCCATGAGCTACATGTACCTGAAACAATGCTGGACCAGTGGCCAGATTTATTCATTTATGCCTCAAATCCAGGCAAAACTACTTTTTTGAAATAATTTCCCATACTTTGCTTCAATGGTGGTCTTTCTATGAGAGCTATAGTCCCACCTAATTTATTAATAACTTTTTGTTTTGAAGCCGGGCACCAGTGGCTCATGCCTGTAATCCTAGGTACTCAGGAGGCTGAGATCTGAGGACTGCAGTTCAAAGCCAGCCCGGGCAGGAAAGTCGTGAGACCATCTCCAATAAATCACCACTCAAGTGGTAGAGTGCTAGCCTGGAGCTGAAGAGCTGAGTGACAATGCCCAGGCCCAGAGTTCAAGCCCTATGACCAAAAAAAAAATTGTTTTGAGGTACTGGGGACTGAACTCAGGGCCTCACACCTGAGCCATTCCACCAGCCCTTATTGATAAGTTGTCAAAGAATTTTCCTTAGACTTGTGCAGAGTAGTGCGTGTGTGTGTCTGTGCACGCGTGTGTGTATGTTGCCAAAAATTGAACTCAAGGCCTATCACTCTACCACCTGATCCATGTCCCCAGTCCCTGAATGATTTTTATAATAACCTCCCCTGGCAAAGTATATAGATGTAACATTTTCACACATTTTCACCCCAACAGGGGTAAAACACTTCTCAAGTGTAGGTGTAGAGACAGTGCTGTAACCTATAGCCCGCCATAGAAGAGTTTAGCATTTGTCTCCCACCCCCACTATCCACACCCACAAATACACATACACAGAGACACTCCCACAATGCCCAGTACAGGGTGAAACAGAACCATGGGGCTAACACAGGACCATTGTAAACTGGGCCATTTACCAAAGGAGAAACTGCTGGCCAAGTATGCGCCCTTGGCAGAGCTTGCTGTTCCAGGGCTGTTTTGTCAACTGTCCCCCATTGCTTCAAGCAGAGGGAGATTCTGTCCGGGGAACTGTGACTCACCAGCTAGTTCAGGAAAACCTGCACGCACCAGCTCTTCATACAGATGTTTGGCAGGGTGGGGCTGTGTCATCAGAGCCCCGTGCAGCCAGATGAGCAGAGCCCTGTGGCCATGCTCACGGAAGCTCTGGTTTCCTGTGCCAAGGACAAGGGGTCGCATGAAACACCATGAGCGATGCTTCTTTCCAAGGTAACCTTGATTTTAAGTTGCCCCTACCACCTTGGCTGCCCACCCAATCCTCCCCTGACAGCTGTCAGACCAAGAGCCAGAGCTGCAGGGAAGCCCTTCAGTTCCTGCCTGCTTCTGCTGTCTGATGCCTAGAATCTGGATTCCTGGGGTCCTGGCCTGCACCTCCTATACTAGAGTGCACCTAAGGGAACACTCATGGAACTAAGCACTTGCCATGTCTGTGGGTGGTGATGACAGTTTTTTGTTTTGTTACCAGTCCTAGGGCTTGAACTCAGGGCCTGGACCCTGTCCCTGAGCTTCCTTTGCTCATGGCTAGCACTCTACCACTTGAGCCTCAGTGCCACTTTCAGCTTTTTCTGTTTATGTGGTACTGGGGAATCGAACCCAAAGCGTCGTGCATGGAGGCCAGCATTCTACCATTAAGCCAACACCCCAGCCATGATGACAGTTTTAATGTGATGAGTTTTCTGCGATGGGAAGACAGCTGCTGTAATCCTGCTCCAAGTGTGTATGTCACTGGGCATCTCATTAACATGCAGGTCCTGAGTCAGACCTGTAACAAGATTCTGTGCTGCCACTGATGGCCCAAATCTCATTATTGATTAAGGCCTCCCCTGTGTCCAGGAACTCGCTCTCAGGAAATTCTGCAACTCAGGTTGGGATTTCTCATTCTGTAACCCAGCTGCAGAAACTCCTGACAGGTACACTGGGGAGATGCTGGGACATGACAGTGCCAAAGCCATTGTCACTCCTGAGAAGAGTTCACAGGATCGCACATCACCCCTATGACAGGGTCCTTACAGAAGCAGACAGATGGTCCTCCGAAAGAGGCCCTGAGCTCTGGGGATGGGGTGTGGAAAAAAATTGGCTCTTCAGACTTTAGAGGTTCAAATGTTTCCAGAAAAGAAACTGTGCATAAAGAATATAGTCCTAGGAAAGCAACTCCTCTGTTCCTTCCCTAATCTTGTTCCTAACTAATATTTCTTGTATACCATGCGCATGGCTTATCTTCACTCAAAAGCCTACAATTCCCAACAAGATAACTAGATTATCGACGTCAATGTCATGTCAAAGAGATGGCAAACACCATCACATGAGCACATGGCTTAGACAACATGTTTTCTAGCCCTGCAGACCATCCAGAAATATTTTTATTTAATTATTTACTTGATTATTGCTGTGCTGGAGACTGATCTCAGGGCCTCACACTATGCACCTGTAGTCCTACTCCTAAAGATTGACTGAACAACTTTTAAATCTTCCTTATCCTGTGGGGAGGTATAAGTCAAGAGATTTCTAAAAGACAACTCAATTTTCTTGAAGGCATCACAGAACACCCTATGCCTAATTAATTACCAAGGAGAAATCTTAACAAAATGACAAAGAAGAAATCTTATTTTCTTTTTAAAGCTAAAGTTTATTTGAATGTGAAATGAAAGCCTTAAAAAGAAGAGATGGACCCCAAAGAAGAGTCCTCAGAAATCTTTTCTGAAACTAGTTCATCTTTAATGTTTTTAGTACATCATCTGCATTAGTTCCTATGGAGATGGACCCTTCGAATTAGCCATGCAAAGTCCCATCATTTGCTTGGGTGTGGTGTGTGTGCTCACCGGTTTGTGATTCTACCACCTAATTCCTACCAGCTGTGTACCTTACCCACAGACCAAAGCAACAGACCAACTGTGGACAGAAAAAGTCCTCCAAAACTGTGGGCCAGAATAACAGAGTTAACAGAGTTAATCAATCCCGATGGAAATCCAAAAGCAAATAGGAAACTACATAAAGTCCATGCATAAAATGAATATAAAGACATAAATTAGCAAAGTTTGAGATTTGTGGTCCTTCCATTTCTCTCTTTCCTAAATGGAATGCTGACTGGATGGAAGAGGACTGAGGTTCAAGCTGGCCCTAACTAAAATGATGATGATGATAACAATAACCAAAACTAAATAGGCTGGGAGCACAGAGGTAGCAGCAGGAGTGGGGAGGTCTAACAAAGAGGGTGAATGGGAATGAATAAGGTCGAAGCGGTCTATTTGCTTAGGAAATAGAGGAATGCACCTGCTGAAATTGTTTTAGGGAGGACAGTTGGGATGGGGGAGAGGGAGAGGGAATGAGGTTTGCCATTGTTTACATGTGTAAAAACGTTTTGGTGAAATCCATTTGTACAATTAATATGTGCCAGCTTAAAAAAAAAAAAAAGCATTTCAAGGGACACTGTCTTCCCAGGGACAGGCCAACTGTTAAAAGACTTAATGGCGTGATGCCATTCAGCCAGGAGCCTTGGTCTCTTTGGCGGCCTGCTCCTGCTATCTCCTGTGGTCCAGTGAAAGTAGTCACCCCTCTGCACATGCAGCTTACTGCAGCTCACCGAGACATGAGCTCTGCACACTTACCAACCACAGCTGTCTGTCCCTCTCCCACATCCCGGGCTCATTGTGGGGAGCCAGGCACTGACTGGGAGGAGGAAGGGTGCTATCCCCCCACCAGCTGATCGGCCCACACTCACCTGACCACTGGGCCTCAATGGCTCTGATCTGGTCATCTGTGAAGCTCCACAAGCGGGCCAACCTCTGCCACTCATTAACTTGCAGCTGCCGATAAGCCAGGTTCCAGAGAAGTGTGCGGATGTGTCTGGTCTCCGGGCAGTGGTCTTGCTTGAATGTCAGAGTGAAACCTGCTGAGAGCTCCCCGGTGCTCTCCTCATGCTCCTAAATTGAAAAATTATTTCAGAGTTTGTATGTGTTCACATATAATTGCTAAGGTGGTAGCCAGGACTTCTTTCAGTGTTATTTGTCCTGGGTCTTTTTTTTTTAATCATCCAAAATAGAGACTAATGTCTTGAAATTAAAAAGAAAAAGTTTGAATAGAAGCTGGGCATGGTGTAATCCTAGCTACTCTACAGACAGAAAGATCTTGAGGCTGAGGCCAGCCCAGACAGTTAGCAGTTAGTGAGACTTATCAAGCAGAAGCAGGAGCAGAAGCAGGAGCAGGAGGAGGAGGGGGAGGGGGAGGGGGAGGGGGAGGAGGAGGAGGAGGAGGAGGGGGAGGAGGTGGTAGGGGGAGGAGGAGGAGGTAGGGGGAGGAGGAGGAGAAGAGGAGGGAGGGGGAAAGGAGGGAAAAAGGGGAGGGGAGGGGGAGAGGAGGGAGAGGGAAGGAAGAAGGGAAGGAGAGAGAAAATAGAAGAGAAAAGGAAAAGAGATGAGAAAGGAGAAAAGAAGAAAAGAGAAAGAAGAGAATAGAAGATACTCCAATAGTAGCATACTCATCTAACATGGGAGAGGCCCTGGCTGGGTTCACTCCCCTGTAACACACCCATACACACACACAGGTACTGTGCAGCTAGCAGAAAGTGCGAAGGATTTTGCAATGTTTTGTCCCATGCTGACTTCAAAAGAACAGAGCGATGTGATGACAAAGGAAATGTCAAAGTGATAAACATGCTTAATGGCCTTACTTTCAACTCCTCTCCCCTATCTTCTTTTGGGTATTTAGTTTTCAAGTATCAAGGCTTCAGTTTGAGGCCAAACATGGTGGCTCAGGAGGTAAAGATCTAAAGGTCTGTGACTAGAGGCCAGCTTGGGGAAAAAGTTAACAAAACCCCATCTCAACCAAGAAACTGGGCATCTCAGCTACACAGGAGACCAGCCCCAGTCAAAAATTCAAGACCCTTTCTGAAAAATATCTAAAGCAAAAAGGGGCTGAGGGTGTGGCTCAAATGAAAGAAAACTTGCTTAGTAGTTTAGTAAGCAAGAACAAGGCTCTGAGTTCAAACTGTCATATTGGTTTTTTAAAAATTCAGTTCCTTAATAAGTCATCATAAACTGGCCCTAAGCTAGGGAAAACAGTAAATTGCTAGTCTGCCAAAAATAAAACTGAACTAGTTGGAAGAGTAACACAAGCTAGAATTGCTAGAAATTAAAACAGCATAAGCTAGATTTTAAGAAGTTCCCTCTAACCACCGAATTTAATAATGGGTGATTGGTTAGTTACACACACACACACACACACACACACACACACACACATCAAGTAGACATTTAATTTGAAATAATCTACCATAGATATAGGATATATAAATAGATAATGGATACAAGAAAGGAACTTTAAATGACTGTTAGGAATCATTTTATATTAGTCCAGGATACAACATGTTTGACAGACAAAAGATGATTTGAAATAATTATAAATGCATTTGGTGTAAATAAAACTATCTTAAAAACAAGATTTCCTCCTATCACAGATCTGAAGACCCACAATTACCAGTTAACATGTCCTACTGCCTGTGAGGCTGTATTTGCACATTCTATACTGTTTTCAATGTTTATCTAACATCATTAACATCTGTTAGAGGGAAAAAAAGGTTTATCCATTTAATGGAAATACTATATTCTCATTTGGCAAAAGAATCAAAGAATACCACCAGGCATTAAAAACCTAACCAGTGAGTCTTTCTATTCTCGGACAAAATGTAGGACCATTAAAGAGCAAGAGAAAAGGCAGAACTTGGTAAAGTTGTCTTTAATCAAATACAGCAACAATTTAAGAAAATGTGCATAAGGAGAAAGCAAACAGGAAAAGGTAAAAGGAGGAACACAAAAATAGGAAGGGAGTGAGAAGGAGAGGCTACACAAAGAATTATAATGTTAAAAAATGTTTTTAAAAAAGTTTCACAGGCAAAGCAATTTTTTGTGATTTTGTTTTCACCATTGCTTTGTTTAGGGGTTTGGCTTCATTTTTTTGTTGGTTGTTGTTTGTTGCCATCGTTCTACAAGCAAGAAAATCTACAAGGATGGTGTGGCCTTTACAAGAATCCATGTACTGTCATGTGCCATGTAACTTAGGTTCTCATCAACACAGTCCCTGGATGGGTGACAGTGGTTGTACCACCTAGCTTTGGTGATAAATGGCCTATGAAATCCACGTGGCTGTAAGTACAGCACCAGGTTCACACTGCTTAAGGACACACTTCTCAAGATTGTGAGGGAGATGCAGCCAATAAATGCTGCTGCTTTGAGGACTTAAGAAGCTTCTCAGAATTGACTAATAACAGCAGTCCAGGCCTGCATGGAGGACCTGCATTCAGGGCTTAGGACATTGGCCCATGGGCCTAAGCAGGAGCCAACACATCCTACAAATGAAGGATGTCCTGTCTTCTGGTAAGGTCATCCTGCCTGCCAGAGGCCCAGACTTCAGTGTGCAAGGCGAGGGCAGTTGACCTAGAAGCTTGAGAGGAACCGATACCAGAGGAGTAAAAAATGAAAGAAAGGCAAAGAATTGACCTAAAGACAAGGTTTTCGTGTCCTTGGATGAGTTGAGTTTCATGATTGTCACAGAACACTCGAGTGTCACACAGCCCCTAGGAGCAGACACAACAGGAGCATCGTTAGGACCATAGCCAGAGACCATGGGGCAGAAGGCATAGCTAGGACTCAGCCCCACGAGCTGCAATCCTAGGCTCAGTAGAGCCCATCTGGACCGGGCTGCTGGGCCCTGCAGGGCCTCCACCCGCCGTCAGTTCTGCTGCTGATGTCAGCAGAGGCACAGGAGAGAAGCAGCAGAAGCGAGGGGCAGAGGGCCCGTCATTGTCTAGGCACCACACTGCCCTCAAAGACAGGGGTTGCTGGAAGAGTCCGGGCTGTGCCATACAGGCCTTCCTTACCTCTCTCCAGGCATAGTACCTCTCGGCTTTAATGAGCATGTCCACCACTAGGCTGTGGTTGCTCCTGGATGCCACAGCCAGGGCAGTCTTTCCTTGCTGAAATTTTTAAAAGAAAATAAAAGCAATGACTTGGAAAAAATTACATTAAGTGAAGTAAGCCAGGCCCAAAGAAACATAGGCCCCATGGTTTCCCTTATTTGCTATAACTAGTATATGTCTAGGACCAGCAGAAAAGGTCAAAAGTTATGTATAAATGACCATGTAAGATGATGCCAAGCGAAATGAACCTCAAGATAGGGACACAAGTGGTTTTATCTTTCTTGCTGTTGTTTTTAATGTATATATAATGTACCATGTGATTTTTTTTTGTTTCTTTTGTATGTTCTTCCCCCATGGTATAACCCCTGTTTTCACTGTATTTGATGTCGGTGCCCTGCATCTTGTATATACATTTTTCTATTTGGGAGAAGGGAAGGGAAATTTTAAAATGCTGAAATAAGGATACAGGTTAACCCACTGTAACAATGAGATGTACAAGACACTATGTTGAAAATGAACTTTACAACTTTAGGGTTGGGAGGGCGAGGAGGGAGGAGTTGTGGGAGACGAGATGACAGGGGAAAAACAAAGAAGGAGGTAAAAATGCTTAACAGGAAAAATACTCATTACCTTACTCATGTAACTGTAACCCCTCTGTACAGTATTTTTACAATTAAAAATATATATGAAAAAAAGAGAAAAGGTCGAATAGGTTGGCTTGGTAGTTAGGAAGTCGAGTTTGGGAACAGGGGCCTAGGTTCAGATCCTCATCCTACCATTTCCTTGTTGAGTGAATTTGGGCCAGTCCTGCATTTCGATTGCAGCCAGGGCTGGGGGTACATGTGATAATACATATAAAACCCTCGGGACCCAAACCACTCTAACATTTTCTAGCCTCCCTTGCAATTGTGTATGTGACCCATGTTATGACCAATGCTGTAATAATGGAAGGGCAGAGATAACTTCCAGGAAGTACTGTTGTCAAGAAGAGAAATTGGTCACTAGTAGCTCATGCCTACAATCCTAGCTACTTAGAAGGCTGAGATGGAGAGGATTGTGGTTTGAGGCTAGCCTGTGGAAAAAAGTTCATAAAAGCCCCTTCTTGACCAATATCTGGAGATGGTCATGTATGCCTAAAATCCTGGCTTTGTGGGAAGTATAAATAGGCAGGTCACAATGCAAGCACATGCCAAACCCTATCTCAAAAATAATCAGGAAGAAAAAGGAGGAGGAGGAGGAGGAGGAGGAGGAGGAGGAGGAGGAAGAGGAAGAAAAAAGGAGACTAGAGTGGTGGCTTGGTGGTATATCACCTGCCCAGCAGGCCCTGAGTTCAAGGCCCAGTACTTGAAAGAAGATGGGAAAGAGGATGGGAAGGGAGGGTTATGCTTCCTGAATGGAATGCTGCCAGGATGTCAGGAGCTTGAACAGCCACTTTAGACCAGGAAGTGGAAGCCATGTTTTGAGAAGGGACTGGATCTTATTAAAAACAGTATCACTAATGACAGCAAACCCAATTCGTAGTAAAAATTCAGCTCACAGAACAACTCTCTAAAATTCTTTTCTATTATAACACAGTTCCTCTAACAAAGGGCAGAGGATTCCAGTCTTAATCAAATGGGATCAGCAAAAAGGCCAGTCCTGGACATGATGATGTCCTTTACAAATGACAAAAAGGGCCATCTTTCTCAAGACACAGAAATCTCAAAGCCAGGCACATAGATTTGTACAGAGTACCCCTTCAGTTATACACAGTACACAAACCTTTATGTCTCATCATTTTTCCCTGACAAAGGACAATAGCTCTTCTTTGCTTTTCAAATGGCCCATACAGAATCCTGAAGATAAAGTCGGGTACCGGTGGCTCATGCCTGTAATCCTAGCTACTCAGGAAGGTAAGATCTGAGGATCATGGTTCAAAGCCTGTCCAGGCAGGTTAAGTCTGTGAAACTATTATCTCCAATTAACCACCAGAAAACTGGAAGTGGTGCTCTGGCTAAAAGTGGTAAAGTGGTAGTCTTGAGCGAAAAGCTCAGGGAAAGTGCCTGGGCCCTGAGTTCAAGCCTCCACACAGATGAAAGAAAAAGGAAGGAAGGAAGGAAGGAAGGAAGGAAGGAAGGGAGGGAGGGAATAGAAAAAGAGAGAAGGAAAAGAAAAAGAAAGAAGAAAAAAACAAGAAAAGAAAGAAAAGAAAAAGAATCCTGAAGATAATTTAAATTAATGGCTAGAGAGGAAAAAAAAAAAACCTCCAGGATTTGTTCAGATCCTAGGAACCTGTGTTTCTAATCCAACAAATCCAACTTATCTCAATAACTCTCTTACACTGTGGTTACTGGCCTCAAGTCCAATTCCCACCCACAAATGATTTCATGATTAGTCTAGGCACTAAGACCCAGGTGAGCTGGAAAATTAGGGCTGAAAGTAATCAGCCTCTAATCAAAAGAGACAGTAATGAAATTAGGAAGAGCTGCATTTTGCAGGCACTTAGCAAGCCTCTAATTGCACGCTGTCTAAACTCTGGCTTGTAAAGCCATTTGAATCACCATAATTAGCCTATTTTGGGAAGGCAGCATTCTGAAAGCCAGAGTTTTCAAGCTCATTAGAAAATCTCCATAGGAAGTGCAGCGGGGAGGGAACACGCAATGCTTCCTCGCTTGAGGAAGGCAGGGAATGGAGGCCACCTGGGAGCTCCAGGACCACTAGACCCACAACACTGGCTCCAGGAAAGTCTAACCTGTACCAAACCTTGGCTCCCTGTTTCCTGTCTAGATCTTAATGAGGTCTTAGAAGCACACCTTCCATTTAAAAAAATAAAAATAAAACTTTTAAGAGTAGATAGGAAAGGTCGCTTATTCAGTAGTAAAATATGCACTGGGTGCCAACTATGGGCTGAACTCTGAAAGAAAGAGGAAGAGAAAATAAACTCTAGCAAGTTGCACCCTGAAGTCTGCTAGCCCTGCCTGGCCTTTTGTTCTGAGAACAAAGTGAAGTGGTAACTAAGGGACGTGGTGAACTGGATGTCCAGTGACCCGGATGTCCGGCTTCACCAGCTCCAGCTCTTGCCAGCCCATAAATTCCTCCTCCATGGGCTTCTCTACACACAAAACAGCTGTGCAGCCATTAGATGTGAATGAAGGTGGCTTATTCTATAATAAGGCACTTACAAAGTAATGCCCAGGAAAATACTAACAACAAATATTAAACTTAACTAGCCAGCTGGATGGGAATTGAGGGTGTGGCTCTGTTTTTCTTCCTTGTGCTTTTCAGGTCTCATTAGCCACAGTGGCTCTGTATTACTTTAACTTTTTTATTGTTACTATAAAGGTGATGTACAGAGCAGTTGTAAATTATGACTACATGTCTTTTTGGACAATGTCACCTCTTCCTTCGTTCTCTCCTTGTATTACTTTTATGATAAAGATACAACAACCCACTAGGCTCCGATGACTCACACCTGGAATGCAAGAGGAAGCTGAAATCTGAAGATCACGGTTCGAAACCAACCCAGATAGTAAAGTCCATGAACTCTTATCTGCAATTAACCCTCAAAGAGCCAGAAGTGGAGCTGTACCTCAAGTGGTAGAGTATTATCCTTGAGCCAAAACAAGCTCAGGGACTGTACTCAGGCCCTGAGTTCAAATCCCAGGACCAGCCCAAAGAAACAAAAAATAAAATACTGTAGCAGTATTTCAGATTGTACAAGCATAAAATGTGAGATTCTACAGAACAGCATGAATGAGGGAAGTGCTTTGCCACAGGACTCTGGGGTCCCCTAGCCAGGAACCCTACAAGAGCCTTGCAAGGTCCAGAGTTGGGGTGCAGCTCAGTAGAAGAGTCCCTGCTGAGCATATGTGAAGCCCTTGGCTCTGTCTCGCTGAAGTGTTAACATGGTAAATTTGAGTCAGGCACAGAGCTTCCCTTGCCTGTCATTCCAGTTACTCAGGAGACATAAACAATAGGATCCTGGTCCAGGCAGCTGAGACTATATTTTAAAACTAACTAAGACAAATAAGAACAACAAAAAATACCACTATTAACTAGTAATGAAATAAATAATGACCAACTAGCTAAATGATAAATAAAGCTGAGAGTATGGCTCAAATGGTAGATGGCCTACCTAGCAATTGGTAGGTCTGAATTGAAACTCAGGGACTTCCAAAGACCAAACCACAAAAAGATAGTCAATTATATTTTAGGTATATTTCACTACAATTAATATGCGGTGAAAAGTTTAAAAACAAGTTTAGGCATAGGTACATTTACTCACTGCAGTTACATTTATTCATTGCCACTCTGGCAAAAGCTTAATAACAACTTCAGTACCTATTAGTTGAAGATTAAACAAGTGTTAAAATGCTTATGCAACTTGTAAAACTCATGAAGAAACCATTAATGTTTATATATAAAGAACTCTAAGAAAACTTTGAGGGAGGGAAGCTAAATTCAAAATAATATGTTAAAATAATGTATTACTAACATTAATAACTATTTCATTAATAGTTATTTCATAATTTATCTTAAAAAGCTGAAAGAATAGAATAAAGGCTCATACATTTATGTTTGTATATGCATAAAGAATTCAAGAACAGAAGACATATACATATGGCAAGGTAAGCTGGGAGCCACACAAGTAGGGTCTGGGTGGGAAATTTTTACTATACAATGTTTTCTAGTTGTTTACGTATATATTCATACACACATATACATACATGTATATATTTGGACCATGTGAAGTCCTAATCTTAAAAAAATAGTAAATACATTGATTTTTTAAAAAATACTTTATTATTTAGGATAAAAGTTATTTCTGACAAGCCAGTGGCTCATGCCTGTAATCCCAGTGACCTGGGATGCTAAAAACAGGAGAATTGCAGTTTGAGCACAATCTGGGCAGAAAAGTTTGTGAGATCCCTTCTCAATCTATAGCTGGGAGTAGTGGCGTGCTCCTGCCATCCCAAGCTACCTGGAGGCTGAGATTGGCAGGACCTCAGTACCAGGCTACTTCAGGCATCAAAGTCTCCACAGAAGGAAGCTGGACACAGTTGCTTGCCTGTGATCCCAGTGACTACAGATCAAGTCTAAAAATGTAGGAGGAGTGTGGCTCAGGTATATGCTTGAGTGGAAAGCAAGAGCCTGTCCTAAAAATAGATCCATGAAAAATCAAGGTTGGAGGCATGGCTCAGCAGTAGAGCATCAGTCAGGTGAACTGGAGGATCTGAGTTCAAACCTGTACCAGAGCTCAATGGAAACTGAGATGTGCTCCTGACTGGGAAGACATGTCTCTAGTCAATGACCATTTCCCCAAGGGAGGGCTGCTGCTCACACACAGCCCACAGGGAGGGCTTAGCTGCCACCCCAGTGACCAGACTGAAGTGTGTGCTGTTACCTTGTCGGTGAGCTTCAGGTCACAGCCTGCCTGCAGCAGAGCCTCCACCGCCTCCACGTTTCCGAGGTCAGCAGCTATGTGCAGAGGGGTCCGCTGCCTCTGCCACGACAAGATTTACAGGAATAACTGCAGCCGGGAAGAAGACAAGGTGTCTTCCACACGCAAGGGGAGGAGAGCAGGCAGGATGGGCTTAAGGCAAAACGGATACCCTTCTATTTTCACACGGCTACAGGGGACAGTCCTTCCGTATTGTTTGTGATGGTGAAAATATCTGAGGAAGTGAACTGTCTAACAGAGACCTATTAGATAAATCATGGTACAGCTCTATATTGGAATAGTAGATGCCCATGGAAAACAATGGCAAAACTGGCATGTTGTATACCACTAGTCCTACTTAGGAGGTAAGACTAGAGGATCAGTGTAGTCCAAAGGTTCAAGGACAGCCTGGGCAACATAGTAACACTCTATCATACATTCGCACACACACATTTTAAAAATTGAGGTAGGTACAGTAGTCAAATCCACAGAAATAGAAATCATAATAATAATAAATGGTAGTTTCCAGGGTCTAGGAAAGAAAGAAATGGGAGTTACTGACCTAGAGTTGTTCACTCTGGAGTCCCAGTGTGAAGAAATTAAAGCCTAAGGCCAGCTCAAGCAAAAAAGACCTCATTCCAGTAAACAAAGCCAGGCATGGTAGTACATGCCTGTAATCTTAGCTATGGAGAAAGCATAGGTAGAAAGGTTGTGGTCTAAAAAAATGTGAGCTCTTATTTGAAAAATAACTAAAGCAATATAGATTAGAAGCATGGCTCAAGTGGTAAAGCATCTGCCTAACAAGTATGAGGCACTGAGTTCAAACAACAAAAACTAAAAAAGTGAAAACAAAAAGAAAAAATTTTAAAGTTCTGAGATAGAGGTGAGGAATACTAATACCTCAATATTATACACTTAAAAGACATGCATTGGTAACTTTTGAATAATATGTGTTTACCAAACAATTTCGAAGACAAATGTACAATATAATTTTAGAATCAATAACACTATAATGAATCTTAATTTAAGAATGTAGATTTAGGGCTTGGTAGATGAGTTAGTGACAGACTGCTTGCCTAATATGCACAAAGCCCTGGGTTCAATTCCTCAGTACCACATAAACAGAAAAAGCTAGAAGTGGAGCTGTGGCTCAAGTGGTAGAGTGCTACCCTGGAGCACAGATAGGCTCAGGGACAGAGCCCAGGCCCTGAGTTCAAGCCCCAGGACTGGCAAAAAAAAAAATATGTAGATTTAAAGCTAGACATAGTGACTCACACCTGCAATTCCGGGTATTTAGGAAGGTCATGAGGTCAGGGTCATCCTGGGCAAAGTTGAGACCTGTCTCAAAACCAAAATAAAAGCTGGGCACTGGTAGTTACTCCTGTAACCCTAGTTACTCAGGAGGCTGAGATCTGAGAATCATGGTTCATAGCCAGTGCCGGCAGGAAAGCCCATGAGACTCTTATCTCCAATAAACCACTCAGAAAACTGGAAGTGGTGCTGTGACTCAAGTAGTAGAGTGCTAGCCTTGAGCTGAAGAGCTGAGGGACAGCGCCCAGGCCCAGAGTTCAAGCCCCACAACTGACAAAAAATAAAATAAAAACAAAGCCATGCTGGGAACATGGCTAAGTGGAAAAGTACTTGCCTAGCATGGGAGAGACCCCAGGTCAATCTCTACTACCACAAAACCCCAAAGGTATACATGGAAAACAAGAAGAAAATGGTTCACATTAAAAATGGCAATGTCTAGATGATAGCAGAGGTTAGCTTTACTGTCTTCTTGATGCTTTTCTGTTTTCTAAATTTTCGACATTGTAAGCCTTGTGGGTGCCAGGAAAACTCTATCATTTGAGCCACATATCCCAGCCCAACTTCTAGTTTTCATTTTGTTTTGTTTGTAAGTGCTAGTCCCAAGGCTTGAACTCAGAACCTAGACCCTGTCTTGAGCCTTTTTGCTTAAGGCGGGCACTCTACCACTTCAGACATTCCAGCTTGTCGGTGGTTAATTGGAGATATGAGTCTCATGGACATCCCTGCCCAGCTGGCTTCAAACCATGATCCTCAGGGGTTGGGGATTTAGCTCAATGCAAGGCTCTGAGTTCAAGCCTCAGCTCTGAAAAACAAAACAAAACAGAACACCCACACACAAAAAAACCCTGTCATTCTCAGATTGCAGTTTCCTGAACAGCTAGAATTATCAGCGTGAGTCACCAGCACCTGAATAGCTTCTAGTACTTAACAGGGTAAACATTTTGCTGTCAAAAGGATGAGTGTTTCAAAGAAATACAGAAAAACACAAGAAAATTATTTATCAGATCCTCAGTTGGATGTTATTGCAGAGGTATTTATCAAACACCATGACAGGGGCTGGGAAGATGGCTCAGTGGTAGAGCGCTTGCCTTGCATGCTTGAGGCCCTGGGTTCCATTCCTCAGCACCACATCAACAGAGAAAGTCAGAAGTGGTGCTGTGGCTCAAGTGGTAGAGCGCTAGCCTTGAGCTGAAGAGCTGAGGGACAGCACCCAGGCCCAGAGTTCAGGTCCCATGACAAAAAAAAAAAAAAACACCATGACGGAAAGGAACTTTGTATGTTGTCTAGCTCATCCTCTTAACCAGAAAGGGGAAGCAGTGACCCCAAGGTCACACAGCTGACCACAGCCAGAAGTGCAGCTCTCAAGAGCTTGCTGAGAGCTTCAAAAACCATTTATAAGATTCACCAGCAGATGGCAGTGTGCTCCTCTTGCGGCTCATCTCTCTAGGCATCACACTTAACACTGACAAACCTACCCAGGGTCTATGGCTATACCAACTCAGAAAAACAAGCACAAGCTCCTTTAAAGATTGTTCACACATCATAAAATGAAGATCTGCCCACAAAAGAAAATTTCAACATTGTACAAGATCCTTGGGTTTAAAATTGTGTTTTGTTATGTCGATGGCTTTGTGGAGCTTTGAGGCCCTAACAGGTCAGCAGTACCAAGGTTCCTTTAAATTTATCTGTAAGCTTCACATTGGCACGCATGCTTTCCAGATGGCAGCTGCGGTCAGTAACCTTACCACTGATGACTTTTGTGCATGCTCCTTGACCTCCACCTACAGGACAGGCCAATTTTAACCTAAGACAGGTGCCTAAATGGCTTCACCACCTTCACCAAGCTGTTTGCTTTTGCAGCTCTGCATTGTTTATTTCTATTTCTAATGAAGCATTAAAAAAATTCAAAATCTCATCTTAACAATACTGCTAAAGTGGCTAGAAGAAACGATACATGCCAAAATGTTAACAAGAGTTACCTTTCTCCATGGGGACTACATTTAAAGGTTTGTTTTTATTGTTTTTTTAAAGCACGTGTATATGTTCTATTTCACATAGTCTACTTGTAAAATATGCTTTTCTTATTTTAAAGGTAGAATGACAGTTCTCACACACAAAAAAAGTTTGCAATGATAAAGTCGTTCTGTCACTGGAGAGCTAGCTTGACATACACTCCTTTGCAATGATAAAGTTGTTCTGTCACTGGAGAGCTAGCTTGACATACACTCCTTGCTGGAAAACCACATTGAGCACAGGGCTCTGGCTGTGTCCTTAGCAAAGAATTTGCTCAGTTGGATAGACTCAGGGCATAGCTGAATAAATAAGAAGTACCCTAATAACAAGAGATGCCCCTTACTCTCCAATTTCGGGGCTTTTAGTAAGACTCAAGGATGCAAGATTTGCTGGAAGAGCAAAGGGGTGAAGATATGTCTCCCTGCAGGTCAGGGCAAAAATTAACCCTGAGGAGGCTGCAGAGACCTGAGGAAATGGAGACCACATTGGAAATGAGCGAGAAGGAACAGGGAGGCCCACTGCCCTCTGGATACTACTTAACTTGGAGAGCACAGCTGGAGCTTCTCTGAGGCCTACAGCCCCCAAAGCCGCATTTGGCCTCAGCCCCAGGAAAGGCTTCTCTTCCCACTTCCAGGGTCCCTAGGAAGAAGGCCTGCAAGGGTGGGAGGAGGGTAGGCAGATCCCAGCCCACCCTTTTATTATTGCCCTTTCCATTTCCATTCAGCCTCAGATTGCTTTATGAGGCATCTAATTCTGCTCCAGTTGATTGGGCTCTGATGGATTTATGTGTTTTTGCTTTTTGTTGTTGGTTTTTTTTTTTTAATTCCAAGAGAGCTCTTTTGCCTTTGGGCACAGGAAAACTTGCTTAGTGCCTCTAATGTGGAAACAAAGCTTCCTTCTTACTGCTAAGGGCTCCCTGCCAAGGACAGCATTTCACACTGCAGGAGTGGCTTTTGATTTAAAGGGCCTCTGGTAATTTACCTCTGAGCGAGGGTTTATCATAAAGTGCTAGCTATAGCTGTGCAAGGTGAATTTAATCACACCCTGGCTGAACTCTAGGCATGCATCTGCAAATGAAAAGAGGGATACTGCTCTCAGCGTGGTAAGGAGGCTGCAGAGAAAAAGGTTGGAAAGGACACACATGATCTTCCCAGCACCTTGAACTTGATCAGAATTCTCCATAAACATAGTGTTGCAACATGAGAAAACACACAGACCAGATATGGTGTGGTTGGCTTACCTGATCTAAGATGTCTGTAGCATGCTGTGCACGTAATAAGATGCTTACAACTGTGATGTTGTTGTGGATAACTGCTAAGTGAAGCGGGGATTCCTGAGGCTGCAGAAAGAAAGGGGAATTTCAGATCCAAATCATTTTGTCTGGCTTCATCCTTCAAATCACAGGGCAACTCACTTCAGCAGACATTTTCTGAGAAAATCTTGAGTATTAAAATTGCTCATGCTACCAGGTATGGTAGTATACTCCTGTAATCCTATCACTTAGGAGGAGCTCTAGTTCCAGGCCAGACTGGGCGCTACGAGAGCCCTGTCTCAAAAAAAAAAAGTCCAACCCAGTGATAGGCACATAGTAAGTGTTTGGCATTCATCATCTAAAGCTACCTTGAAAGTATACTACTATCCAGCCATCAGCTCTGCCCTCAGTCACCCTAGAACTATATTCTTTTTTTGGGGGGGGAGGGGGTCGAGTCGTGGGGCCTGAACTCTGGGCCTGGGCGCTGTCCCTCAGCTCTTCAGCTCAAGGCTAAGGCTCTACCACTTGAGCTACAGCGCCACTTCCGGCTTTTTTTCTTTTTTGCTTATGTGGTGCTGAGGAATCGAACCCAGGGCCTCAGGCATGCAAGGCAAGCGCTCTACCACTGAGCCACCTTCCCAGCCCCTAGAACTATATTCTTCGCAAGGAATATGGGCCAACCTCCAGCCTTTTTCCCAATGCCAAGTTTTCTCTATCACTTGAGCCATGCCTCCAGTCCAACTTTTTGCTGACTCTTTTGGAGATGAAATCTTGTGGACTTTTCTGCCTCTGCCTCCAGAGTAGCTAGAGTTACAGGAGTAAGTCACCAACACCAAATTTTCCTATTTATTCATTTTTTTTAGCAACTGCCTGGCAAGCATAAGGCCCTGAGTTCAAACCTCAGCACCCTGGATTCTGAGGCCTTGCACATGCTAAACAAGCACTCTCCTACTGAGCAACCCCAGCCCCAGACACTTTTAAACACTAAGTTAATTCAGAGCTGTTCTGAGTCTAATCTCTAGCATTACACCTAAAATCCCCACTTTTTAGGGTCAGTAATGAGGCCAGAGAACAGAAAAAAGGCAAAGACTGAGCTCAGGCCTCTCTCACTTTATCACCTGCACAGGCTCTCTCCCAGGACACCAGAAGACTGACAGAAGAGAGATGTAATGAACTGGGAAGTGTTCCCCCAGCACACAGGGAAAGAGGAGAGATGGGGCAGTGAGGAGAGTATGGGCTGAGTAAGAGAAAAGAGGAGGCAGTGCCTAGGGAAGTGGGTCCTCTTTGTTTAGAAATAACCTCCTCCCTGGAAGCAGCAAGCATGATAAAAGAGAAATCATCCCTTGTCTCAACCAAGTGGTCAGAGTCCTTCTTGCCAGACCCACCTGCCTTGTGCGGGCCTAGCTCTTCCAGAGAAACAGGAAGCATTCTCTAGACTCAATGTGGTAAATTCAGAGCCAATTTTTCCTAACTAGACTCTCCAGAAATGATCAGCTATGGGTCAAATCACCTGCTTCCTTCCAAGTCAGTGTAGTAAGTCGTAATGGCTCTGCAAAGTCAGAGGAAATAATACTCTCAGAAAAGAGATGAAAACACAATGCAGAATAGAGGGCACAAAGGGCCTTTGTGAATTCTACCAAAGCTAGTTCAGTGTCAAGGTTTCCCTTATCAAAGAAAGCTAAGATCCTTCGGTGGTCATTCTTCATAGTTAGTGCAGGTTCATCATTTTTCCCCAGGCCTATGAGGTTACGACACACGAGTCATGGCCCCTCTGGACACGTGAGAAAGTGTTATCAACAAAAATACGAAGATTTAAAACACAAAAGAGTTTTACTTTGTTCATGAACTTTCAATAGCTTTCTAACATTCACCCCTTCGGTTTTCTTTCTCAAGATTGAGACTGATTTTCCAAAACAGTGAGCCAGCATTCCCTGAAAGAATCCCTCCCTTGTGAACCATAGCCATCCTGAACATGTATCGTGGATGGCATCTCTGGGCCCAGACAGCCTCCCAGGCGCCAGGGCCAGATCCCGTATTAACTGGAATAAACTCACTTCCATCCTCTGGTGCAGATCAATGTTCTCACTAAGAAGAAAGTTGACAAGGGATGTGTGGCCATTCCGGATTGCTATCTGTAAAACGCTGACATGGAGCTGCAAGAGACAGATGCAGAGGTAAGAGAGGAATGCCCATTACCATCCCACACACTCTCTGCTGTGTGTCGTACGGTAATGAAATAGAACAAAGAAATAGTTCAGCTTTAAAAGAGCAAGTCCAGTGTATTTCCAATTCTTTGGGCTCCAAAACAACTTCCACGGCAGTATCAGTGACCTTGAGGACATAGTTACAATGCACTGAATGTGTTTCCCCACAGAATCTATCAGCCCAATGTGATGGTGGTAGAGATGGGGAGGGGATAAGGTCAATGGAGTGGAGCCCTCAGGAATGAGATTCATGCCTTCAGAAGACAAGGCCAGAAGTCTACCTCGTTCCCGTTCTGCCACATGAGGACACAGCAACTAGGCTAGGCTAGATATGAGGGAAGCAGGAAGCCAACACTCACCACAGACCCTGATAACACCCTCTTCCCAGACTTCTACCCTCACCCCGAATTATGAGAATTAAATACTAGCTTTATGGTATTTTCTTATAGCAGCCGGACCTAAGACACTAAGTCATTATGCCTCAGGTAACTGTGGTTTGAATCCCTGCTTCCCTGCTCCAAATCCTTTCCTTGAGCCAAAATAGACTCGTTATTAGCCTCTGGAAATGTCTCAGTGGTTTCCTGCTTCTTGTCTCCTGTGCTCCTCATTCTCTGCTTTGCCATCGGTGGCTTTCAAACCTAGCGTTATTCCCACTTGGGTGAAGGTTTTCCTCACCATCCTTTATTCCAGTCCTCATCCACTTCTCACCCACTCTGCTTCTGAGGTGTCCTGCTGCTCCCTGGTACTCCAAGATCATCACTTAGTGCCTGGGCTGGATGGCACAGCCTGCCTTTGATTATCCTTCAACTCTCAACCAGCTAAGCACGGTCCCTTGCAATACTACCCACCAATGAACTCATTGCTGATTGATTGATTAGAAGATTGCCTCAAAGTATAGGCAGGCCTTGACAGCTTTCCCAAAGAGGAAACCACATGCCCGCTGCAATACGACGTTGCCTCTCCCTCATTTACAGATAGGTTTGTTTCTTCATTCCCTCGCAGTTGAGTGAACCCAAATTAACCAAGAAAATAGAACAGAAGTAAGTGTGCCATTTCCAGACAGGGCCCCAACCTAGCCTGGCAGCTTCTGTTCTCTGCCTCTTGCAATGCTGGCTCTTGTAAGACATCTACTTAGGAGCCAGCTGCCAGGCTCTAGGGCACAGCGAGGGGCATGTGTTGCTGCTCTGGTCAAGACACCCAGCTGAGATCGCCAACTGATAGCTGGCATCAACTGCCAGACATGTGAGTAGCCGCCTTGGACACCTCACCTATAAGGCAAATCTTCCAGGACCAAAATCCTGGCTGTCATTGGACTCTAATCATCACATAGCAGACCCAAAATAAGAATCTCTCAGCTTGAGTCCAGTCAACCCATCATGAAAGTTGCCAGAAATCCCTTTTGTTCAGCACAAATAATGCCAGGAAGCTATGAAAGAGGGATCAAATGTACATACACTTGATAATAAGAGCTACTCACAAAAGCTATGGCAGGGCTGGTGTGTTTGTGTATGTGTGTGTGTGTGTGTGTGTGTGTTAAGTGGTGGAGCACCTGCAGAGCAAGTGCAACACATTGAATTAAAGACCCAAAACCACACACACACACACACACACACACCACATACACACATATATACACACACAATAAACCTCTTCCAGAACCATAGCCTTGCACAAAGGCCACTGCAACTTTACACACACACACACACACAAATACTTCTGCAATGGCATTTGTCCAACACCTCTAATAATCCTTACAGCCAAAACAATGCTGTCTCAAAATATCTTAGGTAATCCTCCTCGGTTTTGCTTTAAAAACTTCCCCTGGCCTCAACTTATGTCCTGGGTAAGTACGCAGTTTACTATGACAAGCATAGTCTCACAGCATTGATAATTCCACCTAAACTTCATCTGTACAGACTCATTCTCTGTTCGTTATTGAGGCTGGCACCATAGAACCCTGAAAGCTAACAGCGCATTGTTGTTTTCAGCCACTAAGCTTTGGGTTAGTTTGTTATGAAGCAATAGGTCATGGGAACAGATACTAACAGGATGACATGGACTTCTCTGAACAGTTGAAACCTGCTTAAGCTGATGATAAACCCCTGTAGGACCTGGAAGATGGGGATTATCAAGCCTGGGCCTCTTTGTCTTCATCTACAAGAGCAGCATAACCACCTGCATTTGTTTCCTTTGCTGCTACAACAAATGTAGCAGCCTAATGCAAAGGTATTTTCTTCCAATTCTGGAGGTCAAGAAGTGTGAAATGGGTCACTCTGGACCAAAAATGAAAACAAGTGTTTGAAGGCCTATGTTCTGTCTGGGAGCTCTCAGGAGAATTTCTTTCAGTTTTCAGAAGCCACCTAAATTCTTTGGCTGAGAGCTCTTTTTCTGTGTCTAGACTGGAGGTATGGCTCAAGTGGTAGAGCTTCATTTGTGAATTGAAAAAGCCCAGGGGAGAAGGCCCTTAGTTTAAGATCTGGTAACAGCGCACACACATACACACACACACACACACACACACACACACACACACGCATGCATGCACCCTCTTTTTCTTTTTGTTTCCTTTTTCTTTTTCTTTTTTTTAATCAGTCATGAGCCTGAACTCTGGGCCTGGGTACTGTCCCTGAGCAATTCAGCTCAAGGTTAGCACTCTACCACTTGAGCCACAGCACCACTTCTGGCTTTTTCTGCTTATGTGGTGCTGAGGAATCAAACCCAGGGCCTCATGCCTACCAGGCAAGAACTCTAGCACTGAGCCACCTTCCCCGCCCTCTTTTGTTTTTTCTTAAACCATATGAATATTGAGAAGATAAATGAGTTACCAAATGTGTAATCATGAAAATCACTTTTTTCATTCTCAAGAAATTCTTGAATAGCAGTTATGAAAGACGCTCTCTGCTAAGAGAGTGGCAGGATATGTTGGTAAAGAAATTTAATATTAGATCTCTGAAATTACATTACAGTGAGGTAGTCAATCATTGATCCACAGACCAGTAAATCAGTAGCTTTAAAATAAATCTAGGTAATAGACACAGTGTTCAGGACCTCCAGGCTGTTTAAGACACAAAGAAATATATGAAAGCTAAAAATAATAACAATAGCAATTGCTGGTTCCAAGATAACCAAAAGAAAACCACAAAGTTGAAGTGAATAAATATTTAATTGACAGGTTCAGACTTTATTGATTGTTAAATGTAATGTTCATAAAATATCCATTCCATTTGTAAACTATTTGGAGATTTTTACCTCCTTCAAATTCCCAAGAATGTACATAGAGTAGTAAGAAATCAGAGGCAGGCTTAAGTTAGATGAAGTATATTTTAGCCAAATAACTGCTAAAGGAAAAATAATACAGTCTTTTAGAACAAATAAAAAGTATTTAACTGTGGGAGAATTTAAATGTATTTGATAAGCTATAAGGTAGGGCCTTCAGAAGCATGAGTTTTTCTTAATATCTACACAAGCCTCCACTCGATCCAGGCAGTTAATGAACCCTGAGAAGAGACTGTTATCCAAACTCTGTGCAGCCCTCCATCTAGCACAAGTGGAGGGAGCTTGCTACCAACCAAAGCCATAATCTTACTCTAACTCCCTCCTCAGAAATGACCCAACCATGTACCCTCTCAACAGAAAAAGAAGGTGACAGAAAAAGGACAAGAGAACACAAAAGCAACTTCCTGGAGACCAAGGGACGTCAATACCATCAGATGAAGCCTTCCCATGACCAGATGCATCACTCAGATAAAGATGTGAATGCAAAGCAAACTGCAGCATATCTGGTCCTGTGACTATGCTGCTGGCATCTCGCTTCACACTGCATGTTTACCTGGGGTCTTCTCTGGCCTACATAGGAACAAGTGTGTCCTGTAGTGGGGGCTGATGTTGTTGATCTAGGGAGTATGTCAATCAACTCATGCAGAAAATTCTAGAAAAAGTGTTACCAGTCAGATTTTCATTACTATAATAAGGTACTTGAGGCAAGCCAACTTATAAGGAAGAGGTTTACTGAGCTTGCCTTTATTGCAGCTGGAAGGCCAACCTCCTGGAACAGGCCTTGCGAGGGTCCCCTGGCTGTATTACATCATGGCAGGATCATATGTTTATCTCTGTCCATATGGTCACTCTCCCTCACCTTACACAGTCACCAGGCTACAATTCTGGGGACTCTAACTTAACAACCAAATCTAATTACTTCCTAAACTCCTTTAAGCAGCATGGTTGGATTAAGTTTCTACCCTTAATGCCATTAGCATGTTCTCATAAGCACAATGCTTATAAGAGCCAGATAACCATGCAGAAGTGAGGGGAGGTACAGAATCAGGGAGCGAACCTCAAACCTTCCCAGGGACTAGATGGAAACAGGATGGGGACCCCTTTGCAGCAACTGAAAAGCAGTATTGTTTGACAGTGTGAGCCTTCCATGGCTCTGCAAATGCTTAATTTTGTGTTTGTTCATTCCATTCATAACCCTGAAACTTCAGTGAGAACTAATCTACTGTCTTCATTTTCTATTCTCTCCCAAGGTCCTTGTCCATGTATAAACTCTAACATTATATCAACATTTATATTATTCTTTTTCAACCAATGGGTTTTTGTTTTGTTTTTTAGAATACTGGGGTTTTGAACTCAGGGCCTTGTGTTTGCTAAGTAGGTGTTCTATCACTTGAGCCATGCCCACAGCCTTTTAATCAGGGTCCTGTGATGAGTATTTTTATACTAGAATATCTTTTTAGTACTTATCATTTTGGGTTTTTTTTTCTGGTCATGGGGCCTGAACTCTGGGCCTGAGTGCTGTCCCTAGGCTCTTCAGCTCAAGGCTAGTGCTCTACTACTTGAGACACAGCACCATTTCTGGCTTTATTTTTGCTTATGTGGTGCTGAGGAATCGAACCCAGGGCCTCATGCATGCAAGGCAAGCCCTCTGCCACTGAGCCACCTTCCCAGCCCCAGTACTTATCATTCCAATGGCTATATAAGGTTGTAAGAGATAGATATGCTAAATGTTTATCTGGTCTTCTTCCACCATTCATTACACAAACAGGTTGTATCTAATTTCTTTGGCTATTGATGGTAACTTCTTCATCTAGTTCATTAGCTAGCTTTTCCTTCCTTTTATATTGTCCTTCTGTTATAATATACCATATATCATAAGTGAAAAGAAATGCATAGAGTCCTTTTCCAAAGGGTTGTACAGATGTCCATTCCCACCAACAAAATATATATACATATATACACACACATGTATTCTGTTTGGGCTTTAGTCTTGATTCTAGTGCTTTAATTTATATTTTTCGAAAAAAAGTTTATGCATTGTACTGACATAAAGATCTCCAAACTATCAGCAATTAAAATAAAAGCAAGGCACGATCAGCATATGTATACAGCATGGCACCATTCATGTGGTGTCTTGTGTGTATATGAGGGCATGTTTAGTCAAGTCACAGTTTCTGTATGAACACATGGAAATTCCTGGAAAATGAAATAAACTATGACTGATGTTCATTCCAAGGAGTGATATTGAGATGAGGGTTACAATGACACTATACCCTTAGTAATTATTCAAATTTTGTTATCATGAGTTATTTTCATCACACTTCCATATTAATTAGAATATATATATATATATATATAAATGGTAACTCACCTGAAAACAGGGCCATGACTGTTCTTAAAATCCAGACACCAGAATCATTCATGAGTTTGAATCCTTGCACTAACACTACTGAGTTATCTGATATTGGGTGAGTTCATTAATTTTTCAAGTTATAGTTTTCTGATCTAAAATAACATATACTACTACAGTCTTGAACATTTCAAAATTTTAGCTCCAAGACAAAATACAAAAGTATTCTTGAGTTTTCACAGGCAAACTTCAATTTTATTATTCTTATTAGTTATTATTATTTTTATTGGTATTATGAGGATGATGTACAGAGGGGTTACCATTTTATAAGTCAGGTAATAGATACATTTCTTTTTGGACACTTTAAAAAAAGTATCCAGTATGTCTACCACGTATAAGCAATTTGTGTACTAGTTGCTATGGAGAAACAAAGTAGAGTAAGAATGTCTGTGTGATAAGTACTTGTCCTATTTGCAAGTATAATAACTTCCAATTCTTTCTTCCTTCAATAAATTACTTTCGAGATGTTAATGGAAAATGTCAGAGGTAATGATTAACTCTTACCCAAAGCAGGATACATTTTAAGACTCATTCTATAAAAACCCAGTGAATGATCAATTGGAGACCAGCATTCCCCCAAGAGCCTTCTAAGGGACCCTCCCACTATGTGAGTGAAGCTGGCCCAGAGCACGTACTTTATTTGGCACATTCACATCACTTCCTGCTGCCAGTAGCTTTTTGCTGCATTCTTCATGACCTCCTTCCACAGCCAAAAAGAATGGTGTTTCTCCATTCTGACAAAAGGCAAAATAAGTTAAAATTAATTGCCTCTTGGCATGAAATGAGGTTGCTTTGAAAAACTGTGTGTTTTCTTTATATCTTTTGTCTATTACTTTTAATCATGGATAGCATTATTGAGCATCTGTGTGCCAATTTACACTGCCAAGAGCACATGCTTTGGCAATAATCATACAACAACCCTATAGGTTACAGTTAATGTTATCCTCACTTTACAGACAAGAAAACTAAACCTTGGCTGACAAATGGCAAAGCCCAGTACAAGTCCAGCTGTTTGGGTCAGAGCCTGTACACTTTACTCCATTATACTGCCTGCTTTCAGATTCTCCATCCACCATCTTTTCTTTATCTTTATTAAGCTCTTGAGCAAACATTTGTTTTACAAATTGTTTCCTATAGGAGAAAGATCCTGCCCACAAGGAGGTAAAAGACTATTAAGAAAGATAAAGTTGGAAATAAGGAATTATAATGCAGCATGAAACATAAAATATTAGAAGTACATTTGCACTAAATATGTTGCATATCATCTAAAAATAACATTAATTTTGTTTTTTAAAAAGTGATCTCTCATTTGTAAAAATGGTATTCTAGTTTCCTGAAAGCCACTAGAAACACTAATAGGGTAAAGTTAGTGTCTAGTATGGCCCAAACATGTAGGATATAGAATAGGATATAGAAATAACTGCTTCTCACACAGTAACTACTTCTTTCTCATGCAAACTCCTTTTCCCTAGAACTATAGAAAAATGCAGAATTTCTTCCCCACTCCCTATCATTTTCCTCCTGAACATGATTTTGCTATAAACCATTTTTAGTTCCATAAGGTTTTATTCAATTAATTAAATATGGAGAATCATGTTGACAGGGAGACAAGAACTTGGAACCAGTGTTCTCTGTCCAGTGGGAAGAAAAACAATATCACAAAAAGCTTTAACTTTCTGCCTGGGACAGCCTTCTATTTACAAAGGAATTTCTCCTCATATTCTATCTTCTCATTTTCCCAGAAAGAGGTAAACCCAAACAGAAAAAAAAAGCAAAAACTAAGTGAAAGAAAGGTCAGATGTGGTAGTACACCCCTGTAATCTCATGTACTTGGGAGTTGGAAAATGGGAGGATCACAATTTGAGACTCTTCTGGGCAAAAAGTTAGAGAGGCCCCATCTCAGCAAATAAGCTGCACTTGAGGTATATACTTGTAATCGCAGCCTAACTGACCATAAATGGGAAGATTGTAGTCTGAGGCTAGCTTGGACAAAAACATAACCCTATATAAAAAGTAGTCAAAAAGTATATGGTCTGTAGGTATGATTCAAGTGTTCGCATAATTGCCTATGTGGGAGGACCTGAGTTCAAATCCTAGTACCACCACCATTAAAAAAGGAAAGGAAAGGTTTTACCTCTTTAATATATCACAAATATAACACACATTCTTATCTTTGACCCAACAATCTAACTCTAAGAATAAGCCCAAAGAAAAGAGTGAGGATTCGGACTACAGTTCATATACAAAGAAGTACATGACAACATTCTCTCTAGTGAAGAAAAACTGCAACAAACTAAGTGTCCTAAGCAAAAAAATACTTAAATGAAATCTGGGTAGCCACTAAAAACATATATGCAGAGGAACACAAAGGAAACTTGAAGGGAAAATCAGGTGTATATATGATAATCCTGTCTATGGGGAAAAAACCACTCCATATTTATTTTTATTTATGTATTTATGTTTAATTTTTTAAACTAGAACTCTAAAATTTATGTTTCTAGAATGTTTTATATGTTTTATAATACATTAATTTAATTATAAATGCATGTAATAGGGACATGCTTGTATTTTATTCACTGATAAAAGTTTACTACCTGTCAGGCTCCAGTGGCTCATGCCTATAATCCTAGCTACTCTGGAGTCTGAGATCTAAGGATTGTGGTTTGAAGCCATCCTAGTCAGGAAAGTCTGTGAGACTCTCATCTCCAATTAAGAACCAGAAAAAAACTGAAGTGGCACTGTGGTTCAAAGTGATAGAGCACTAGCTTTGAGCAAAAAAGCTCAGGGACATCACTCAGGCCCTGAGTTCAAGTCCCATGACTGAACAAAAAAAAAGAGTTTACTATACCAAGACTGTTTCAGGATCAAGGCTCTTGAGCATGATCATGTGAACAACCCTTACTGATCTAGCATTAGCTTTTAATAGGACCAGAAACTTCCATGACTTGCAGATATTAGGACCTTATCCCCAAACATAATATCACTATGAGCTTTAGTTTGTGGCTTGACTCCAAAAGCTAATAGGTGGATGAAATCCCAGTGAACACACAAGTGTGGGAAAGTATGAAAACCCAGCAGAGAAAGCATGAATAAGCAAGATTTCAGTTCAATACTAAGACCACAAATCTTGGTTGTCTAGGGTATGAATGTTTCTGTCCCTCCAAAGTCCAAGCTGAAACATCAGCCCAGTGCAATAATGTTCAGTGGCGGGACCTAGACTATGAGGACTCCATCTCTGTGAATGGTAATGAGTTGGGGTGGGTCAGTTAGACACTTTTGCTATGTGAAGACACCACAAGAAGGTGCCATGTTGCAAGGAGACCACAGCATCTAGCAGCCTCTGAATCTGTGTTATCTTCATCTGGGACTTCCCAGCTTTCAGAACTGTGAGAAATGCATTTCTATGATTTATGAAATGGCTGGTCAAATATATTTTGTTAAGCCAGTCAGGGTGGATTTAGACAATCCTCATATTGATTTCTAAAGGCCAGCCACACTCAAGATTTGCCCTCAGGGCTGGGAAGTTGGCTCAGTGGTAGAGCGCTTGCCTTGCATCCCTGAGGCCCTGGGTTCAATTCCTCAGCACCACATAAGCTAAAAGAAAAAACCCGAAAGTGGCGCTGTGACTCAAGTGGTAGAGCGCTAGCCTTGAGCTGAAAGCTGAAGGACAGTGCCTAGGCCCAGAGTTCAGGCCCCACGACCAGACCCAAAAAAAAAAAAAAAAGATTTGCCCTCAGTGATTCTTGTTCTTTCCGCGTTTCTGTGGGTTGTTTTGTTCTGTTCTGTTTCCAGTAGGTGAATAAGTGAATGTGGATTAACCAGTGTAACACTGGAGTGTATTTGAAAGAAAAGGTAGGAATCTTTTAGTTTTATACCCTGTGGCACTAACATCTTTGTCTGCTCCCCATTCCTTTCTTGAAAGCTGTTGCTCTGTCCCTGCCAGTTAAGTCTCATGCCCAGCCAGAATAACCACTTCCACTTACCTCATTGGTCTCATTTACTTCTTGCCACTGAGTTAGCAGCACCTGCACAGCTGGACTGTGGCCATGCATGGCAGCCAGGTGCAAGGCGGTGTTTCCCTCCTGTTACAGAGACACACTCAATGTAGAATCCCCAGTGCTGAAAAGAGCATGTCCTTCCAACATCAGGGCTGCCACAGAGGTTCTGCAAGCTTTTTTACTTTGTTAAAGCTGCAGTCTAGAGTACAGGCCACATTATCCTCCCTCAGAGATGGTTTTTATACATTTTAAAATAAATTCTAAATAAAAAGACAAGGGGTTGGAACTAGTAAGAAGACAGAAAAAAAATCTTATGAACTAGGTGAAGTGGCTCACACTTGTAATCTTAGCTACTTGGAGAGCTGCAATTGGAAAGTCAATCAAGCAAAAAATTTAAGGTCAAAGCCACACAGCTCAAGATTAGTCCAGGCAAAAAAGTTCACAACCAATAAAAAGTAGGGCATAGTGTCAATTGCCTGTCATCCCAGCTACATGAGAAACATAAACACAACCTTGGACAGCCCAGGCAAAAAGCGAGATCCTATTTAAAAAATTAACAAAGCAAAGGGGCTAGAGGAATAGCACAAGTAGTAGAGTGCCTGCTAGTAAATGCAAGATACTGAGTTCAAATCCCAGTACCGTTACAGACACACACATACACACATACACAAACCATATCATTAGCTGTACCTTTGTTACCAATTTGCAGAAAGCAGGATAACAAAAGCAATTCCACTTTACTTATGTGAAAATAAACTAGCAAAAAAGTTCTGAAGGTAATTTTAGCAATATATCAACAGATTTGGAAGTATGCAGACCTCTTTGACCACTTCTAGAAAATTTTTCTATGGAAACCATAAAACACTCATAAAGATATGATGTTCTACTTTGGGAATTTTCCCTCCTTATGCTTTCTCAGCCTGCTTACCTAGGCTGGTGCTCTACCACTTGAGCCATACCTCCAACCTGGCTCTTTGCTGGTTATTTTGCAAATGGAATCTCAGAGACTTTATTTCCTGGGTTGGCTTCAAACCATGATCCCCTGGATCTCAGCCTCCTGACTAATTGGTATTATAGGCATAAGTAACTGACATCTGGCAAGATATAATTGGGTTTTTAAAAATCCAATGTAGTTTTAAAATTTTTATAAAATATTCTCTAAAATTTCCACTTAAATCTCAATAAAAGCAGGCACAAAATAGTGTGTCTCCAATCTCCTTTTCGAGACTGCCCACTCTCCTATTTTGGAGCATGGTTTTCCTTCTTTTAATAAACTTTATTATTTTTTATGTGTGTGTATGATTCTGGGGCCTGGGCACTGTCCCTGAGCTTTCTTTTCTCAAGGCTAGTGCTCTACCCCTTGAGCCACAGACCCACGTCTAGCTTTTTTGATGCTTAATTGGAGGTAAGAGTCTCTCAAACTTTCTTGCCTGGGCTGTCTTTGAACTAGGATCTCAGATCTCAGCCTCTGGAGTACCTAGGATTACAGGCATGAGCTACCAAGGCCAAGCTAAATTTTACTATTTTAAATAAACTTTGCTGTTACTTTCCCTACCAAAAATAAAGCTACCACCAGATCTAGACACCAATTACTACCTCTACATCAACTGCTCCTCCTCATTTCTCTTGTTCTCAGCAAGGAATCAAAATCCAACTCACCTTGTCCTTTTCTGAAGTTTGTAGATTAAGGAATATAAGTTTTTCTATCATTTCAACATGACCCTTCTCAGCTGCCAGAAGAAATGGTTTTCTTCCTCTCTGAAAATCAAATCACAAATTCAAGCACTGATCACACATTTATAGCAACAAAGCCAGACCACTGACAAAGATGGCAGAAATTGTGAGTGATGGTCACCCTAGATGCTCTTTCTGTCATAGCATTTCAGGTCCTCTTTAGGGGAAGAGTGGGACAATTCCTGACTTCAATCTAGATCCAGTTCTGCGTTGTCACCCAACTCCATGTCACTATGTAATCCATTTTATGGTGACAGGTACTATTCAGAAAAGGTGGTGCCAAGTGTCGGGAAGGAGCTACTCACAATCAGGTAACAAGATGCCAGTTCAAAGTGTGACCTTCTGCATGTACTCAATAGCTCTTTTGTTTCAGATCTGCTGAGAAGCTGCTATGTGCCAGACCTCTGTCTTGGGTACCTGTGATCACACTAATTGTTACTGACAAAAAAAATGTTTAAGGCTGGGTGCTGGTGGCTCATGCCTGTAATCTTAGCAACTCAGGAGACTGAGATCTGAGGATCACAGTTCAAAGCCAGCCCGGGCAGGAAAGTCTCTGAGACTTTTATCTCTAATAAACCACCAGAAAACCAAAAGTGGCACTGTAGCTTAAGTGGTAGAGCAGAGTTGAGGGACAGCACCCAGGCCCAGAGTTCAAGCCCCGTTACCAACAACAAAAAAAAATGTTTAAAACATTTTACCACTAGCTCACATGTCCTCAGTAATTGGAGCAAAAGGGTAGAGGACATGTTGAAATCAAATTAAAAAATCTACAGCAGGGGTTGGGAAGGTGGCTCAGCAGTAGCACGCTTGCCTTGCATGCATAAGGACCTGAGTTCAATTCCTCAGCACCATATAAACAAGAAGAAAAAGCCGGAAGTGGCGTCATGGCTCAAGTGGTAGAGCGCTAGGCTTGAGCTGAAGGCTGAGGGACAGTGCGCAGGCCCAGAGTTCAGGCCCCACGACCGCCCCCCCACAAAAAAAAGTCTAAAAAAAAAAATCTACAGCATGCCCCTCAGTAGATGAATGGATCAAGAAAATGTGGTATATATACACAATGGAATTCTATGCCTCCATCAGAAAGAATGACATTGCCCCATTTGTTAGGAAATGGAAAAACTTGGAAAAAATTATATTAAGTGAAGTAAGCCAGGCCCAAAGAAACGTAGGTCCCATGGTTTCCCTTATTTGTAATATCTAGTATATGTATGAGTCAAGCGGAAAAGGTCAGATAATGTGATGTCAGGAAAATGAACCCTTAGATGTGTATTTTAATGTTTTTTTTCTTTCATGCATGTGTTTCTAACACATTTATAAGATTATCTCTTTGTTGCTTTGTATGTCCCTCCTCCACAGTGTAACCCCTGCTTTCACTATATTTGATGTCAGTATAACTTGTGGAGGAGATGGGAAAAAACCAGTTGTTTAAGGATACAGGTGGACCTGTTGCAACAATGAGAAGTACAAGTTGTCATGTCGAAAACGAGCTTTACAACGTTGGTGCGGGGGGGGGGGGGGGGGGGGGGGGGGGGAGGGGAGGAGAAGGATTGGGATTAGGGGGGGAGGGGGGAGGCTGGGAAGGGATGTGAAGGATAAACAAAGGAGGAGGCTGCAATGCTTGGTAAGAAATGTACGCATTATCCTGCCCATGTAACTGTAACTCCTCTGTACAGTATGTTCACAAATAAAATTAAATTAAATTTAAAAAAAAAAAAAATCTACAGCAATCAGTCCTACATTGGTTCCACAACCATGCATGTGTGGAAACTTGAGAAACAAACTGACACCAGAAAAATTCACACAATTCATTGTTCTTAGACCACTGTTCCTGGAAACATTGCCAATGAAATCTGCATCTGCAGCCCTTCTAAGTGTAAAAGCCTGCCTCTTCCTCATTCTCGTGAAATCAGTATAAAAGGGAAAAGGGGAAAAATGGACTGGCCAGACTCACAGTTTTCCACTTGCAAATTACATAACTATTGAAGGGTTAACTCTAGTCTTGGGCTATTTGGAAATGACAGCCTGAACACTATAGTATCTGCATATCTGCGGATATCTGCATATCTGTTGACAATAGATTAAAGCTTTGGGTAAACAAATCATAAAAAGGGGAGAAAAGAGACACTTGGCTATATACCAGATGAAAATGATTGGTGAAAATCATTCATACACATAGAGATAGATAAACAGTATAGCCCAGAGGAAAAATACACTGCTGCCCTAAAGAAGCTCAGAATCACAGGGAAGGGGTCGGGGGGAGTGGGGGGGGGGACACATGAGCAGATACTCACAGAGCCCTGTAGTAACTGAGTGCTGGTAATGTATGGGACACATGACTCAGCATGATTGTGTGTTTGTGCATAGGAAGAAAACAAGAAATATGGAAGGTGGGCTTTGAGGCTTTCCCTGGAGAAAAGGGCACCCATTAACTGATTTGTATCCACAGTTTTTCCTAAGTCCTCAGTCCATTTCATGCAGCCATGAATTCTAAACTCCTACCTCTTCTACCGCTACATGCTACACCAAGCCAATCACAGTCACTGTGGGAATTTTTTTTCCTGGCACATTCTAATTTTTTTTTTTTTTTTTTTAGCGCCATGAGCTAAATTGCCCGCAGCCCTTCTTGCTGCGTGGTCAGAAGGGTCTGCCTAAGAACAAAGCTAACATGGTGGAAAGCAGAGCTGAAAAGTAAAAAGAGATAGAGAGCTCTGACCACATCATTTGAGTTCATAGTTCAAATATGCCTAAGGCCACTCATGCCTTTGTATGAATAGCTACTCTGTCATTCAATGAGCCAACAAATTCTTTTTTCTTTCCTTAAAATAGATTGAGTTGGGTTTCAGTGTTAGTCAGACCTTTCCATTGCATGACAAATGCCTGAGATTAAACAACTTAAAAGGAGGAAAGATTCATTTCAACTCACTGATTCATGGGCAGATTGCTTCATTGTTTTTAGGCATGTGGCAAGGTAGAAACATTGTAGAGGGAGAGCCAAGTGAAGCAGAGCTGTTCACCTCATGGCAACCAGGAAGTAAGGAAGAATAAAAGAAGGGGCCAGGGCCAAAACATATCCTTCAAAGGTATACCTAGAGACCCACTTCCTCCACCAGGCCTCACCTTCCACAGTTCCACCACCTCCTCACACTCTACTCAAATTTTGAATCCATTATTAAGTATTGACTACTAATCACTGCTAATCTAAACTTCTCTAGAAATGCCCTAACAGCTACCCGCTGGGTGTGCACTTACAAATCACCAATGTCTCTCAATCCAGTCAGATGGCCAGTCAAAACTATCCATGACAGAATCTGTCACTGATGACTAGAGGGCTTCTTTATAGCAACTGGGCTATGCCACAGAATTATGAAAGTGACTTCAATGTGCAGGAAGGGTTCTTTCCAGACTCAGCTAAGCAATTACAGTCCATCTGTAGCTCCCACAAATCCAAACACCATGCACCAATTAAGGCCTCCTTCATCAGAAACCATGTTGCTTAGTAACTCAGTTAATAGTCTACTTTTTTCTAGCCTGCAAGGACACAGAAGTAGAAAGTTAACCAAAGTTTAAATTCTCCTGTGGCAGGTGGAGGGGCTTTGTTAGTTCTTTGCTCATAGAGACCATAAATAATACAGAGCCATGTTGTGCTCTAGAGTGGGAAGTGTTGCTTTTGGTTTTATGTTTACCTTTATTGTCGCAACAGCTCTTGGGTTCTCCTTTGAAGAACGCCCACACATCCACACAGGCACCCAGCTATTTCATGTATTTAGTGCTGTTGATTGACGAGTGTGATTACCTGACTGCCTCCTGTCACATGAAGCAACCACAAAATCCACGCTAGTCATAGTGGTGGTTTAGTACTCAGCATAGGATGCAGAGAGCCAAACAGAATTGCTCCTGAAATGCATTTATAAACAATTGATAAAAAGAGAATTTTTCCCATAAATTGAGTTCTGTAAGGATATAATCTGGAAGCCACTAATAGCCATCTTTCCCTCCATAAGAACAGTGTATATCTATGGATAATGCCAGTACAAAAACAGCTAAGCATTTGTGGAAAGAAAAAGGGCATGATCCAGCCTGAAGGCCAGAAGATGCACCCTCAAACACTTTACTTTGAAGTTAATAAATAACCTTTATGTCTTAATGTAGCTTAAGATGGATATTTGGTCCTTGTAACAGAAAGAATCCTAATACATATTAGTTTGTGGAATACATTAGTCCATTTTTAACTATTATAGTGACATATTAAAAAGTAAGGAACTTTACTCAGAGAAGAAGTTTATTTTGACTCACAGTTGCACAGGTGCAAAGTCTATGGGGCCTCTTCTGCCAAAGGTCTTCTTGCTAATAGACCCAAGGCAGTATAGGGGTCATAGAACCGAGTGTGTGTCTCTCTCTCCCTCAGCTTAGAAATCCACCAGAATTTGATCATGGGCTCCACCCTAATTATCTTATCTATCTTGATCTTTTCCCCAGAACTCCACCTCTAAACCACATAGTTCGGTTAAGATCTGCCTTCTTAATTCCATTAATCTGTGGTAATGATGATTCAACTCCCGCTTACGTTTGAGGTCAAGTCCATATTCAAACCATAGCAGGGACAAAGATAACTAGAAGGCTCAGAGCTTCTTTCTTTTAGCCTTGGTTGCTACAAAGTTTTGACTCTCTACTAGCTAAACGAAGTGATAAGGGACCACCCCAAGGAAAAGCTAACACATGGGAGGATCTGGAAATAAGACTGCAGTGAACCTCAGAACTCTCCAAGAAAAGAGCTATGACTTTGAACTTTGGATGCCCTTTAAAACTGTTATCATGAAGAAAAAAATGTACAAGCCAACTTACTCAGAGTACAAATATTTAAAGTAATCTATATCTTATAAACATACCAAAAACTAGCACAGAATAAGATGAGGAAGAAAGTAAAATGAACTATAAATGTTTTCTCTTATGTAAACATGTTTACAAAGTAACAACAGGAATTTCAAGGGTATATGTGGTCTCTTAACATACAGTTTGTTGTCATGTCTTATTGTTTTTAAACCATGAAACCCATTTTCATTATGTTTAAATGGGCCTCATCCAATGCAGTCTCATAGGACCCCTTCCCTTTATTTGGGAGGCAGATTTTTCCAGCCAGGAAGAGAATTGAAGCCTCAAGTTTCAGACCTGGGAGAGATCACCATGCTTTCCTCGTTCTGGATCCTAGACCTTTCCTAATTAACCACCATAAGGAGGATCCAGGACTCTTGTTCTTGTTCTTTTATCTTTTTTTAACTTATAGTGTTTTTAACTTTGTGTGTTTTTAACTTTGTATATTTTAACTTGCTGAATTTAAAATTATCGTATGTAACTAAAGTCTGAGGGATTAAAACTGTTTATTGTAAAGTATTTTTTTTTATTTTTAGGAATACTGCCAAGGTTAATTTATAAAATGTAATAACATCAAATTCAGCCAAAAAAAAATTCCAAAGACAGCCAGTAAGTGAATATCTGTTAGTGAGCACTTAACAAAACCCAGCTCTTTGCTAAGTATTTTACAGTCATTACCTCATGCAAGCATCCCAGCCATGGCTGCTCCAGTCTCTATGAAGGAATGGAGTTAGGGCTGGTGTCTAAATGGAAGGGCATTGTTCATTGGCTCACCATCTCACTTGCATAGATACTTTGCTTATTATCAAGAAAATGTTAATCATTTCTATCAAAGAAAAGATATTGGATGATAATAATAAATTTATGTGTGGCATGTGTGCCTGTGAGTATGGGGGAGGGGGGAAGGGAGGAGAGAGAGAGAGAAAGAGAAACAGAGAATTTCCCCACATGCCCTTGGTGCTACCAGAACGGAAGTCACTTTTCTTATTGTCCTTGTGGAGATGGAAACATGGAGGCTGTCAGCAGCAGTTGGAAAACTTGCTGATATGATAGCCATGCCCAGAACACAGTCCAGGCCGGCCTGACTCCAAGCTGTAACCATACAGCCATATGCAAAGGAAGTAAAAGAAGTATATAGACATCATTTGAAAATAAAGCAGTTTTTGCTAGTTATTTTAAGAATAAAGTCAAGAAAAAATGCACAAACTCTTTAGAAGAGTTGAAATGAAGTGAATAGTATTGATCACATCTAGAGAAATGTTTATGGAGAAATGTGTAATGTCACAAGGTGGGCACCTGTGGCTCATACCTGTAATCCTAGCTACTCAGGAGGCTGAGATCTGAGGATTGCTATTCAAACCCTGCCCAGGCAGGAAAGTCTGTAAGAGTCCAATCTCCAATTAACCACCAAAAAGCTGGAAATATAGTTATGGATGGAGTGGTAGAATGCTAGCCTTGAGCAAAAAAGCTCAGAACAGCTCCCAGGCTCTGAGTTCAAGCCCCCCAGGGCACACGTGCGTGTGCATGCACACATGCACGCATACACACACACACACACATACAGTAGTTTCACAGAAAAACGTAAGACCAATTCATAATGTATATTCAACTGCTGAGAAACTGCAATGTCAATTGCACTAAGGATGCTACTCGGAACAATGGCAAAGGGAGATGCTCCAGGGAAAACACAGTCCCAACACCTGGGCAATGTCCATTGTCATCTGAGAAGAGAGTCAGGACAGCATGATAACTAGTGTTAAGACAGATAATGGGTATTAGGCCTCAAATCCTGGAGTAGTCATTTTTCTAGTTGAGATTATAGACCAGGTATTTAGCTTCTACTGACCTTAGCTTTTACTAAAAATGGACAAACTACTGTCTACTTTATTAGATCGTTGCAAGGATTCATGAAGCCTTTCGCTCATTCACATTGTAGAGCATTTGAATGGGCAAAGCCCAGGACTCTTGCTCTATAGAAATAGCTTTCCTCTGTACCAAGCACATTAATAAATGAAGTGGTAGCTGGTGTTATATTTCCAAAAAGAAGGAATGTAAGCCAATATATCAAATCTACATTCTCTTCCATGACTGATTACTAAACAGCTTCATGTGAAATGCATTCTAAAAATAATAGATATAGTGGAATAAAAAAAAAAAGAAAAGAGGGTAGATAGTGCCCACTCCCTGGCCAAGGTGAGGGAGTAAACTGTAAGAGGGTCTTTGATGCTTCTGCTACACTTCCTGTCCACCCTACACACGTGGGTCAGTGCCTCCACCACCACCAATCCACATCTGTTCCTTGGTCTCTGCCACAGTCCCAGCTGCTGACACAAGCCGGTTCTGGCTGGGCTTGCTGCTTTGGCAGCTGCACCAGGAATAGGAGGAAAGTGGAAGTTGAGAGTGTATGTAGGATCTGCTCCCACTGCAAACTCACCTCATCTGGCAGGTTCAAGTCCTTCAGGTGCAGGTCTTGGATGAGGTATTCTACAATGTTCACATTATTGTTCAGGGCTGCAAAGTGAAGAGCATTCATTCCATCCTGAAGATAGCCAGAGAGGAGGAGACTCTTTCACTGTAACACAGAACTTCCCTCTCCTGCACTGAGAGCTCATGTTCAGGTGGGACCCACATACCTACCTGATTCTTGGCTCTCTGGTCTGCTCCAGCTTTAACTAGCATGAGCATGATCTCAAAGCTTCCAGACCAGGCTGCAAGGTGAATTACAGTCAAGCCATGCTTCCCAAGGAGAAAGAAGGAAAGAAACTATTAGATAGATGTGTCACAGCATGCTAGCTAAGTTAACACAGGCCTTGCAAATACTAGGCTGTGAAAATTAAGAAAAAGAGAGATAATTTAGTACACAGAAAATGGAATATTTCAGTTCTATGGAGAAATAAGTATACTTAATAAGTAATGCAGCCCTAAAAAAAATGAGATGCTGTATTACACTGTACACACAAAGTAAACAATCAATACATTAGGGTGAAAGTCAGACTATAATGTGCACTCTCTTAATTCAATTATAAAAGGAAAGATAGAATATAAACTCAATAAACAAATGACACCTTAAAATATTAATAAAGACAAATGGTGATTCTTTAATATATGAAGTGCTTTCACAAATCAAGAAAGAAACAATAGGAAAATGCATATGTAAAAGTATTCTTTTAATGCATTAGAAGAAATGAAAAACATTATTGTCTAAACAAGCTGGTAACATTTACTTAAAGATAAAATACACCACTAACCTAAACCTGTGGGAATCTATGCTATAAAAATAAACTTTTCAGTGGCTGAAATTAGGAAATCAACTCCATTTGTAATAGCCCCACAAAAAATAAAATACCTAGGAATTAACTTAACTAAAGAAGTGAAGGACCTCTATGATGAAAACTTTAAAATCTTGAAAAAGGAAATCAACACAGAACTAAAAAATGGCAAAGCCTCCCATGCTCCTGGATTGAAAAGATTAACATCGTGAAAATGGCAATACTTCCCAAGGCTATCTACAAATTCAACGCAATACCTATCCAAATTCCAACCTCATTCTTCAAGGAAATAGAAGAGGCAATCCAAAAATTCATATGGAACAATAAAAGACCCCGAATAGCAAAAATGCTCCTCAACGGAAAGAACACTGCTGGAGGAATATCAATACCAAATTTCAAACTCTACTATAAAGCCATAGTAATCAAAACAGCTTGGTATTGGCATAAGAACAGACCTCAGGACCAATGGAATAGAATTGAAAACCCAGAAATGAACCTACAGACCTATAGCCATCTAATCTTCGATAAGGGAGCTAAAACAATAGAATGGAAGAAAGACAGCCTCTTCAGTAAATGGTGCTGGCAAAATTGGTGAACTACATGTAGAAAACTAAAGCTAGATCCTTATATATCACCCTGCACCAGAATCAACTCCAAATGGATCAAAGACCTTGAAGTCAAAGCAGACACTCTGAAAACATTACAGGATGGAATAGGAGAAACCCTAGGTCTCCTTGGCTCAGGCCGAAATTTTCTGAATAGAGACCCAGAAACACAACAAATCAAAGAAAGGTTGGACAAATGGGAATGCATAAAGTTGCAGAGCTTCTGCAGGGCAAATGACATAGCTAGCAAGATCAATAGAAAGCCCACAGATTAGGAGAAGATCTTTACTAGCCATACAACGGACAAGGGTCTCATATCTAAAATATACCTGGAACTCAAAAAATTAAACCCCCCAACAACAAATCCTCAAAGAAACAACTGCCCAATAAGTGGGCGAAAGACTTAAAGAGAAACTTCTCTGAAGAAGAAAGAAGGATGGCCAATAGACACATGAAGAAATGTTCAACATCCCTAGCCATAAAAGAAATGCAAATCAAAACAACATTGAGATATCACCTCACCCCAGTTAGAACGGCAAAAATCAAGAACTCTAACAACAACAGATGCTGGATGGGATGTGGACAGAAAGGAACCTTACTTCATTGTTGGTGGGAATGTAAACTTGTTCAACCACTTTGGAAAGCAGTATGGAGGTTCCTCAAAAGACTTTACATAGAACTCCCCTATGACCAAGCAATCCCACTTTTGGGCATTTACCCTAATGTTTACAAACAAGACCACACTAAAGCTACCAGCACAACAATGTTTATTGCAGCACTATTTACCATAGCTAAGATATGGAACCAACCCAGATGCCCCTCAGTAGATGAATGGATCAAGAAAATGTGGTATATATACACAATGGAATTCTATGCCTCCATCAGAAAGAATGACATTGCCCCATTTGTTAGGAAATGGAAAAACTTGGAAAAAATTATATTAAGTGAAGTAAGCCAGGCCCAAAGAAACATAGGTCCCATGGTTTCCCTTATTTGCAATATCTAGTATATGTATGAGTCAAGCGGAAAAGGTCAGATAATGTGATGTCAGGAAAATGAACCCTTAGATACATATTTTAATGTTTTTTTCTTTCATGCATGTGTTTCTAACGCATTTATAAGATTATCTCTTTGTTGCTTTGTATGTCCCTCCCCCACAGTATAACCTCTGCTTTCACTATATTTGATGTCAGTATAACTTGTGGAGGAGATGGGGGAAAACCAGTTGTTTAAGGATACAGGTGGACCTGTTGCAACAATGAGAAGTACAAAATGTCATGTCAAAACCAGCTTTACAATGTCGGAGTGGGGGGGGGGAGGGGGGGTATGATTGGGTGGGGGGGAGGGGGGAGGGTGGGAAGGGAGGTGAAGGGTAAACAAAGGAGGAGGCTGCAATGCTTGGTAAGAAATGTACGCATTATCCTGCCCATGTAATTGTAACCCCTCTGTACAGTATGTTCACAAATAAAATAATATAAAATTAAAAAATAAATAAATAAACTTTTCAGGACCTGGTGTTATACACATACACATACACACACACACACACACACACACACACACACACACAAAACGAACAATTGTGACACTGAAAATTAGAAAGAAGATACTTACCTATCCATATGGGCATACTGTAAATTATAAATTATATCATACATGATGATTAAAAATACTGAATTAGGACTTTTAACAATCAACTTGAAAAGATTTCTACAAGATCCACCAACTATGGGAAATAGATGGAGAGATAATATAATCCTATTTTTATAAAATTTGCAATGAACAAAAACTCCATCTACATATGTTATATTTACATCTATACACAAGTGGGTTGTTAAAGGATAGATGTAGGAGTGATTATATGGAATATAGAAAAAACACAGAAATAAACACACAAACATCTCAGGATGTAGTGTAGTCACTGAAGAAAGGAAAGATACAATAAGCCAAAGAAAGCAAAAAACGAAAAGTTATATAAAGGATCCCATTTGTATAGAAGCTTGCTAATTTGTATAGAAGCTTGCTAAACAAAGTAATACAGATGTGTGCACTTTGTAGGCACGTGTGTGCATAAAGCAGTTAGACTGAAGAGAGCCCCTGACCCTGCCAGGCTTTCCTGACCTGTAGAACTGCTGTGAGTAGTTGTATGGTGAATTATAAACTGAATCAGCCAGCAGTTAGCCTTGGATATTTCAGAAAGGGGGGAATGAGAGACAAGGAAGCTAGAAAATCTGATAGGTGTCATCAGCCTCGGGGAGATAGCTATTACACATTATCTACATTCTGTGCACACTATTTCAGGATCAAACAGAACTGACCTCAACCTCTAGTCACTTTCTATCACTTTCCTGTACTGTGATGCTACCCAACTTGGTCTCTCAGCTTCTTGTTTCTTAGCTGCAAAGTCTGTGCATCTCATTCTGTTTCTTTTTCCCTGTTGAACAGTAATCCATTACTTTGTAGGAGCCCCTGCCTGAAGCAAGCTCTCTCACTACATTATATTTGCCTTTCCTGATTGGCTACAGTTTTAACTCAGCAAACCTGTTTGTTAGATGCATACCATTTGAGGACATAAGACAGACATTTCTGTTTGTAAAGTATGTAAGACCTTGAGTGTTCATTTGGGCTATGTAGAAATTCTCTTATTCTTCAAAGAGTTCAGGTATGGAAAGTAAAAAAGAAAGTCCCAGATTGTTACAGCATAGTTCTAAATCGGTAGATTTCTTTTTCATCTCAGTTGGAGATGATTTTGTTTTCAAGGGACATTTTCAAAGGTCTTGAGACATTCGATAAATCACGACTGTACGCTGATTTTGGCAGTGAACAGGTAGAGGCCAGGGATGCTGCTCAACAGTCTACTATGTACAAAGCAGCTCTGAATGTCAATACTGTCACTTCTGAGAAAGCCTGCTTGAAATGTACACAGCTGTCACCATATACTGGGAGCTCATTTGTCTATTTAAAATTGCAACATGAAGAAAGCTCTGAATCTCTGCACAAGGAACAATGATGTATGATGACTTATGTTCTTCCAAGAAAATATACAGCCTCTTAATTTAGGCTTCCCTACAAAATCAGGGTCCCAGGCTCAATAGTATGAATCTGGTTTTATATATGGCCATGAAAGAGCAGAAATATTTGGGACAGGTAATAACAAATCACATTCTGATAGCATTTCTATTGTCCCCTCCCCCTTACAGGTCATTCCCAATTTTGAAACAATCAACATTGAAAACATAGATTACAGAAATATGGAGACTGGGAGTACAAGCATCAAATAAACTAGTCACTGAAACCGCAAATTCCAAGTGGAGCCATTGTTTCTCAGAGGCAGTGAATCACTGCTCACAGATGTAAATTTCCCTAGAAGAACCTCTATATAACCCAATCTCCTGCTATGAAACACTCATGTCTAGAGCTGCAAAAGAGTATATGTCCTGGATTCCACTCACAGCTGGCTCACATAGTGTAAAGTAAAAACTGCTGACAGTCACTGAGAAACTGATCCCATTGCCAGGATGGCTACAAGGTACCCTGGGAACACTTTCATCGGAGGTACTTCTCAGAGAAGCAGCCCTGAGAACAGATGCTTGTCCTTTTCCTCTGAGCATCCCCTGAACTCTGACCAAAGGCTTCAGTCTTTGTTCATACCTAGTGTAAGAGTACTCATACACTGTGAAGAGTAATCTTCATCTAGTCTACCTCCTCAAAAGACTACCTGCCTTGAACTTGAAGGTGCTCTACAATGCTTTTGATCCTGAGCACACAATGCCTTGTATTGTACTCTTCATCTCTTACACTTCTCAGATGGATAGTAGGACCTGCCTAGTCCAGACTATATTCATACCATTATATCTCATAGGTCATTTGGCAATCTTTTCAGCTTGCGTGTGTGTTCACATGTAAGTACTGGGGCTTAAACTTAGGGCCTCGTGCTTCTATTTGTTTTTCCCTCACACATTTGGTTTTTTAGTACACTACCGTTAAGTCCATTCCCACTTCCAGCTTTTTGCTGGTTAATTGGAGTTATGTGAATTTTTCTGCCTGGACTGGTTTGGAACCTTGAGCGTCAGATCTCAGCCTTCCAGGTAGCTAGGATTATAGGCATGAGCCACAGGCACTTAGCTGGTTTTGGTTTTAATGAGACAGGGTTTCACTATGTAGGCTGGGGGAGTGGAGGGCAAACTGGTACATACAAACTTGGCAAAAGTTTCATCCTTCATTGCCCCCTCTCTTCTTCTCTCTCTCTCTCTCCCTCCCTCCCTCCCTCCCTCCCTCCCTCTCTCTCTTTCTCTCTCTCTCTCCCTCTCTCTCCCCCTTCTTTCCTTCCCTCCATCTTCCCTTCTTGTGAGGCATTAGAAATTGAACCCAGGACCTTGCACATGTTAGGATGTTAGGCAAGTGTTCAACCACCAAACTACATCCCTAGGCTTATCTGGGAATCTTCTAGAATCCCAGGCTGTGATCCAAAGACTCTGAGTACCTGCAATTCTAGTGAGCTCGCTGGTGAGGCTTATGTTTCATTTTTCAGAACCACACTTACTTTTTCCTTGGTTTTTTTATTTTTTGTGACATAGACTGAAGATTTAACTGGACAGAAGTTCTTGGTATCCAAAGTATGGTTCTGAAGAGCTGGTATGGTGGTTCGTGCCTATAATCACAACACTCAGGAGCTTGAGGCAGGAGAATGGTGAGTTTGAGGTAAGCCTGGGGTATTAGGAAGAGATATTCCAAGCTATCCTGACCATATAACAGCCTTCTTGCTCACCAATGCCAGACCAAAAAATTAGAAAGAGATGTGTCCCAATGATAAACTGCTACCATTACATCTATACCTTATCCAGTTGTCAACAAAATGCCTGGCCTTTCCTTGCAAGGAGTTCCAGTCCAGACAGAAAACAGACCATCTCTGTGAGAATCTTCTGAAATTTTAAGAACCATGGTCTATGGAATTAAGAACCAACAACTTTCCAATAAGGCTATCATGGCCTTCTGTAACCAGGTTAACATAGGTTAGGTCTCTCTAGCTGGTTTGTGTTAAATGAAGTTTGCAAAGAAGGAGGAAGTCCTTCTTTGTAGGTAGGTTTTGATATCTAGGCAAAAAGTTAAGCTAAGCTGTAGCTATTTAGCTAAGTGTGCTTTCTTTAGAACCACATGTGTTAGGTTCAAATATGGTCTCTCCGATGTGTCCCAATCCTTTCCTTAAATATGTGTTTTGGGAGTATGTTTTGTATTCATCTCTTCTTTTGTATACTGGGGATTATAATACTTTTGTCACAAGGTTGGTTGGGATAGGGCACTAAATATCAATCCTTATAGTTTTTACCTAGTACATAATAAGTATTTAATAGGCTTTCTTTATTATTGTAATCCAAAGGGAAAAAATCAAAGTTTAAAGTCCCTGGGGCTAGTTAGCTTTTGTATTCTATGTGCCAGATTATACTCTGAACAGCTATCTAGTATTACAAATGAAAACTATTGACCAGAAGGTGAGTATGGGAAAATAGAAGCCCAAGTCCCGAAGAGAAGAGTAACCAATTCAGCCACCAAGTGTACCTAATGCACAATATGTATATTCTCTAAAGAGACCTTCAAAAGTATGCTGTCCACAGAGATACTGAGTGTGGATATGAAGGAAAGATCTCTAGAGTGATCAGATTCTCCCTGTGTGTTCATCATGCTCCACCTTGTTCTTCTTATTGCTTACCTTATCAGCAACATCCACTCTGGCCTTGTGGCTCAGCAAGAAATCCACGGCAGAGAGATTATTTCCCCCTACTGCAAAATGCAGAGCTGTACGGTTCATCTGAGGAAACATAATTTGTTTGTATCTTTATATATCTGATTCTTATTGAGGTTTTCCAGGAGTCCTGCTTCTTGAATAGTCCTAAGTTCCTAGTGAGTATTTACAATTTGGTTATTTAGCTCTACTTTTTGCTTTTCCCACTCAAAGTTGTGAGAATTGTGTCCAGCAGAATATTTATAATGGATGACAACAAAGATTTGGCAATCCCCTGAATAATATGTCTCAGAATGAAACATTAAAAAAAAAAGAATGAAGTCAGGCACCGGTGGCTCATGCCTGTAATCTTAGCTACTCAGGAGGCTGAGATCATGGTTCAAGCTAACCCAGGCAAGAAAGCTCGTGAGACTCTAATCTCCAATAAAATCACTCAGAAAACTGGAAGTGGTGCTGTGGCTCAACTGGGAGAGCGCTAGCCTTGAGCTGAAGAGCTGAGGGACAGCGCCCAGGCCCAGAGTTCAAGCCCCATGACTTACCACCCCCCCAAAAAAAGAATGGGACTCATTGCATAACCAGCCACATAGCCATTTAACAGATTGCATTCCAATAGTAAACTTGTACTTTTCCTTATGTACACTCATTAATAATGATCACATTTGTTCTATCTAAAATAAAGCTGGTCAGCTTTCCACAGCTGTGACAAAATACCAGAGATAATTTATAAGGCTTCCAGAAATTTCAGCCCATAATAGTTTGGCTCTATTGTTTTGGGGACTGTGGGGAGATGTATGGCATCAGTGACTTGAGTCCTTCCAGTAGGCCCAACCTCTTTAAGGTTTAACCACCTCCAACTAGTGCCACAGGCATGTGACCAGGTCATCAACACATGACTTCAAGTGAACAGTTAAGATCTAAATCATAGTAGAATATATTGATAATTCATAGCAAGAAAGTTCCTAAAGATCCAATCCATTCATTTTCTTTCTGAAGTTTTCTCTATTGTAAGTTACACTGAAAGAAATATGTAAGGTCTGCTCCTGGACGGCGAGCAGACTCCACCCTCCGCGCAGCAAAGTCTCTGCCCAGTACCTGCGTTACCCAGACAACTGGCACACCTGGAAGAGGTCACATCTGGATTGGATGTGGCCACACTTTTCCCCACCCCTATCTTAGATAAGGCCTAGCCCAGGGCCAGACGCTCTCTTTCCCACGTCTCTCCCAGCCTCGTGGAGGGCCTACAGGGCCTGGTGCCAGTCAGAACGATGAATAAACCTACCCCTTACTTGAATACCACGTGCGTGGTGCTGTTCTTACTCAGCTACCTCTTTTAAAAAAACCTAACATAAATGGTGCCATTTGAACCCAGGAAGGGCTTAAAGTCAGAATAGGTGGGATTCTTCTCCATTTTTTTTTCTCTTTTTTTCCCCCTTTTTTGTTCTGAGGAATACCCACAGTTCTAACGGCCTTTTTGGCGAACTGGTCTGCCTGCTGCAGACACAGTGCATCAATACCATTGCTAGCCTCTGCATCCACCTCCACACTTCATTTTGGCCTAGTAACTGAGGCCCAACCATCTGATGTGCTTTGTTAGCAAAGATGTATAAACATTGTTGTCAAAAATTTTAGGTTTTGAGTTTTGCCTTTTTTATTTGGTGTTGTATATTCTACTACTGACTACGTGGTTCTAAAATATTGGGCATATCTGTGCTAAAATTCTCATCACATCTAACAAGTTTTGTCATTGCAGAATATTTGTTGGTCAATTCTTGATAAGGACCAGGTAAGCTCTACTTATTCTATTTGATCTCCTTGTTGCTTTAATTTGAAATAATAAAGGGTTTTTGTGGCAAAGATTGCAGTTCAAAGCCAGCCCGGGCTGAAAAATCCCTAAGACTCCATCTCCCAACTAACCTGCAAAGAGCCAGGCTGGAAGCATGGCTCAAGACTCTTATCTCTAACCAGCCGAACACTGAAAGTGGTACTGTAACTCAAAGTGGTAGAGCACTAGCCTTGAGCAGAAGTACTCAGGGACAGTGCCCAGACCTTGAGTTCAAACCTCCATGGATAGTAACTGGGACAAGCCATCCTAGCGATGAACACCTAGACTCAGCCAGTCTGGGAAACAAGGGACCATGGAGGAGTAAGAGGAGATGATGTCACATCAGCCACTTTGTGCCTGCCCTTTCAAAATTAACCAGAGCTGGGAGGTCAATAGAAGTAGAAGCCTGTACATCTAATGTCCATAGCAGTCTACCTTTTAACTGGACAGGAATTTACATTATTGCCTTTGTTACCTGACGTCCTCCCTACCTAGTTGCCAGATGTCAGAAATAGTTAGGGACATTTCCACCAACTCCAGGACAGCCTGGAATGCAGGAGATAAGAACTAGCCATTCTAGCCCAAGTCATCCAATTTTTAATTTTCAGCCCCAAGTCCTTCCTCTTGCCATTTATTTGCTCTGTAGTATTTTTTTTCAGCCCCTCAATGCCTCATGAGACTTCTCCAGACTTCATCTAAAGACTCACACCACCAAGGGACAGCTGCTGCTCGCTGCCTTCTCTAGGAGGGGACCACATTCCAGCCTTTTACCCATAATGTCAACGCCCCTTATCAGCAGGACGTAGCCAAAGAGAATCCGCACCCTATTTCATGATTATTAAAAGGCTGGAATGTAAGGTCCACTCTTGGATGGCGAGCAGACTCCACCCTCCTTGCAGCAGTCTCCATCCAGTACCTGCGTTACCTAGGCAACTGGCACACCTGGAAGAGGTCACTTCTGGATTCCATGTGGCCACAGCTCCCCCTCCCCCCGCCCCCGCTCCCCCACCCGACCCTAGATAAGGCCTAGCCTAGGGCCAGATGCTCTCTTTCCCAGGCCTTTCCCAGCATGGAGTGCTAACATGACCTGGTGCTAGCCGGACCAATGAGTAAACCTACCCCTTACCTGAGTACCACATGTGTGGTGCTCTTCTTACTTGGCCTCTTTTTAAAAACCTAACAAAATAGATTGCTTTAATTTTTTGGAAGAAAATTATAAATGTCTTTTGCTTTAAATTAAAGCTATCATGGTATTCCTGTGGTGCCAAAAGACAATTGGAAGAAAATTATAAATGTCTTTTGCTTTAAATTAAAGCTATCATGGTATTCCTGTGGTGCCAAAAGACAATTTCAGGATGGAAATTTTACCTAGAAGTAACATATACCCTATTTGCTATATTCTAGATACTGTTTTGGCTTCCAAAGAAGATGCCTAAGTGAGTGTACTATTCTTTAGTTCATAATTCCAAAAAGATGAACACAGTTTAAATATTTGGTTTTGTTGGATACTAAATCAGGGATAAAATAAGTTTGACAAACCTAAGTTATCTCAACACTGTCTATAATGTAGAGCTGTGCTCTACCATGTCAGGTTTGGGTTTATATGCTTCCATATTTATTTTTTATATAAGGATGCAAGCCAAAATAACACCAAAGGTAATTCAATAATAACACATACTTTTACCTCCACCCTCACAGGTTTTAAGGTACTCTGCAAGTTACCATTCAACAATTTGCTGTGAACAGGACCAATCATATGTCATTAGAAAGAATATTACAGCCCATCAAGAGTGTAGATAATTTGCTACATTGACTGTATGTTGAGTCATAAATTATACTATCTTTTCAAGCATTTTAAAATAAAAACATAACCTAAAAGACCAAAATTATTTCACATGGAGAAATTTAGAGTAGCTATAAATGTATATTAATGATTCTGAGCTGGATGCCTGTGGCTCACGCCTATAATTCTACCTATTCAGAAGGCTGAGATCTGAGGATCATGGTTAAAAGCTAGCACAGGCAGGAAAGTCCGTGAGACTCTATCTCCAATAAAGTATGCAGAAAAAGCCAGAAGTGGAGCTATGGCTCAAGTGGTAGAGAACTAGAATTGAAAAAAGTAGCCCAAGGACAGCACCCAGGTCCAGAGTTCAAGACCCCGGACCAGAAAATAAAAGATTCTATTTTTTGTTACTTGGGAAAATAACTATTGCTTTACTTATTCAAAACAAATCTCCCAGTGTCATATTAACTTTTCCATATACTATCTCATATATGACATAATACATGGCATACTATAGTCTATTCATAAATATTTCTGAAATTATATAAAAACTATCTTCAAAGACCCTTGCTTATTACTTTCCCCTCCCTTCTACATTTCCTTCTTTCCTTCCTTTCTTTTCCTTTTGTTCCTAGAATTGTTATGCTATAAAATTTGACTATTTTCTATGATATAAATATTATGTACAGTCATAACAAACATACACAAAACATACATAGGCAAACACACACCCACACACACACAACCAGGTGCTGGTCTCTTACACCTGTAATCCTAGCTACTCAGGAGGCTGAGATCTGAGAATTTCGGTTAGAATGCAGACTGGGTAGAAAAGTCTGACTCTTATCTCTAATAAACCACCAAAAAAAGCTAGAAGTGGAGCTCAAGTGGTAGAGCACTAGCCTTGAGCACAAAAGCTTGGGGATAGCACTTACGCCCTGAGTTCAAGCCCCAGGACCGGAACAGAATACATACACATGCATGCACACACACACACAAACACACACACACACACACACACACACATACTACAATACTTTCCCACTGCATGTAAAGCTTAACTTTGCAGCTTAATTTTGTGGTCTTCCTGCCTGGGACAGACACAGACTTTGTGGAACCTGAATTTAGACTTTAAAGAAATCCTTTTAAAAGGAACAGTCAGAAGTTAAATCATTGCAGCTAAAATTGTTAGTTTTTCAGGTTTTATGAAAATAATCATATAACCATGGGAACATATTGCTAGGAACCCTCCCACACCTTAGAAAGAGGCCTGGAGAAATAGGGATCCTGAAGCTTAAACTTTATTTAGCATTCTGTCCTCAGCCATCCCTATCTTCACCCACTTCCCAAATCATCATCCAGTTGATGTAACCTTAAACTTGTTCACCTTGATAAGGCCTGTCTTAAGGGCCCATCTGGAAAGCCACACAAACCCAAGCAGTTTCTAACAATGGACTTCTTTCCCAAGGCCCAGGCACCTGGCCCAGGCCAGGTTTCAGAAAAGGTCTTTTCGTCCAACATATGGATGCTGCGTATTTCAAAAGCAGTAAAATAAAAATCCACACACTCCCTTGGATTTTAAATCTGGACAAACCAAACCACAAAGGACATTATGAAAAGAAAACAAACAAGATTATATAGCACAAGATGTTCTGCATTGCCAGAATGTGTGAGGCCTACAATTTAGGACCAAGTCCAGGTCTATAACCTTGACAGTGGGCTCTTTTGCCCACCCACAGACCACACAGAATTGTGTAAAGACCATGCGAACTTCCCCTCTTGTAAGATAAATGAAAACACCCAGAGCCAATTCCAGTGCTCCAACACTCAGTAATCACTGAGTGATTACTGAGAGGGAGAGTTCCCCCATCTCGGCCAGCCTAATTTCTTTCTTTTTTTATTTTTACTTCAGTTGGCCTATTTTTAATCCCAAGCCACCTGTCATCTTTGTGACAAGTGACATATTTGTGAATTCTACTCACAATGTTCACTGCATTAATGTTGACCTTTTTTTCAAACAGCTTCTCCATAAGGTCCAAATTATTGCTTTTAGCAGCATTCTGAAAGCTTCTCTCATTAGGCAGGACTGAAAGAAAGCAAACAAGCATGACCAGGAGGAGGAAACAGAAAAGGCACTTTTCATAGGGCAAGGCAAACTTATAACTCTAAAAACTTTCTCCATTGTGCTTGCTACTGAGAATGAGGGAACTTTGCTGGAATATTTTACAAAGTTGCAATAGCCCAATTCCATCTTCTCCTCACATCACAAGTATTTTTCACACCCTTAAAGAATGTTCCTGACCTTAAACAAAACATTATTCAAGAGGACCACCTTGAAGTTAGCAATGTGGTATCTGGCTTGGAGGTAAGAGGGTGGCTATAGACTTCCCAGGGGACATTGTTTGTAAAAGTTAGGACAAGATTAGACAGGGAGGGGTCCAATTGCTTGTACTACTTACAGAGATAAAACCATTGTTTGCAGAACTTGGTTAGAGTGCCAGACCTACAGGGACATTTTCCAAAACAGCCAGCATAGAAACCCCCACAAAAGCTGGATGAGAGATGTTTTATCTTCATTTACATGAAAGGACATAAAAGTAGATTTGCATTTACTATAAACCTAACACACACACACACACACACACACACACACACACACACACACACACACACACACACACACACACACCACACATTCAGATGGCAAGCTTTATTAACTACCACAGAAGACGTCAGGATTTATTGAGGATTTTGTCATGTAGGGGAATTGGAGAGGTCTCAAGAGACAGCAAGCATGAACCCTGGGGGATAATATCAGAATTGAGATTAAGCAGAATGAGTAACCAAACATCTCCAAAGACAAAGACCATAAGAGATTTCATAAGTGTGTTACTGAAGAGTTTCCAAGTCTTTGCCAAAGATCCTTCAGAACATTTCCAAGTCCATTCAAAGACCAAGGAGTATCTTCCTGAACGATATTATTATGGGCTGACCTTTGGCTCTCCAAAATTCATGTGCTGAAATCCTAACCCCTACTACCTCAGGATGTAGCTGCATATGGAGACTAGGCTATTAAAGAGTTAATAAATGTGAAACAAGGTTACCCAGGTGAGCTAGAATCGGATAGGACTGGTGAATATACAGAAGAGATTAATGTTGGAGATGCAGTTCAGTGGCATAGTCCTTGGGTACCATGCACAAGACTCTGAAAAATAATAATAATAATATTTGGGTACAGAAATACACAGAAAAAAGACCATGGAGGAAGATCAAAGGAGAAAGAAGATAGCTATAAGACAGGAGGCCTGGAGCTGGGAAGGTGGCTCAGTGGTAGAGCATTTGCCTTGCATGCATGAGGCCCTGGGTTTGATTCCTCAGCAACACATAAGTAGAAAAAGCCAGAAGTGGTGCTGTGGCTCAAGTGGTAGAGCGCTAATCTTGAGCTGAAGAGCTGAGGGACAGTGCCCAGACCTAGAGTTCAGGCCCCACAACCAACAAAAAATAAAAGAAGAAGAAGAAGAAGAGAGGCCTGAGAAGAAGCCAACACTATGGACACATAGATCTTTGGCTTCTAGCCTCCAGATCTGTGAGAAAATGAATTTCTTTTCACAGCACTGGAGGCCTCCTGACTCAGTAACAAAGTAAAGGCTATACCTCTTAATTCTGTCATGAAATACTATTACACTTCAAAATTCAATGAGTTTGTGTGTGGGGAGGGAGGGTACATCCAGACCATAACAGAGCCATTCTGTAAAATCTCTTCTACATAAATATACATACAGCTGGGTGTCATTGGCTCATGTCTATAATCTTAGCTACTTAGAAGGCTGAGATCCGAGGATCATGGTTCAAAGCTAGCCTGGGCAGGAAAGTCCATGAGACTCTTAGCTCCCATTAACCACCAGGAAACCAGAAGTGGTACTGTGGCTCCAAGTGGTAAAGTGCTAGCCTTGGGTGAAAAAGCTCAGGGACAGAGTCTAGGTTCTAGGTTCAAGCCCACCACCAGTAAAAGCAAGCAAACAATAACAAAAACCCCAGCATTCATTACTCATTAGTCTTCCTTATACCAAACTGGGTGGTTAAAATGCAAAACTCAATGGCTACTTTGTTTCTATAAGTGCACAGCTAAATGGTCCTGGAGAAAGACCATGCTGCAGGTGATGTTGCTAGAGGCTAATGTTCATAAGTATATTGTTCTTCCTTTCCATCTAGACACATGGAAAGATAAACATCCCAGCCTGGACACATTTGGTAAGTTCTGTTTAATGAGCTGAAGACAGAAGTGATAGTGTGTCACTTTGGACCTCCAGTTCTATTTTCCCCTACCCTGGAAGCCAGGGTTTAAATGGAGGTGCCACAGAATGGTGGTATCTCAATCAGCTTTGTATCAGGAGACAGATTTCTCATGCTTTTGCACATTATTTTTTCACTATTGAAGTCTGTATTCAGGGCTTCTGCTTGTAAGGTAGGTGCTCTACCACTTGAGTCAGATCCCTAGTCCTCATTTTTGCAAATCCATGAGCAGAAGCTTTGATGGGGCTAATTGTTTATCATCATCATCATCATCATCATCATCATCATCTTTGAAGGATGTCTGTGTAGAGAGCAGCCTTAAAAATAGAGATACTGTCTTTCTTTGGAGCAAAGGGTGGGTTTGCTTACAGTCTTGAGGCACACTCACTGCTCTATATGAAGGCTAGGTTTGCAGTCCTCTTCCTATCCTCTTTGTGAACTGAGGCTTGGTGAGTTCACAGGAAAACCAATGCTGTGGCTACAGCTCTTGTTGTCATAAAGTCCTTTTCCGACAATGAAGTATCTTCTGCTAGCATCTTTATCTCCATGGTAAGCTAACTTGTAAGCCTAGAACTTCCCATGTGACGTATATATCATCCTGCCTCCGCCTCCTGAGTGCTGGCATTGTAGCCATGTGTTGCCATGCCTGGCTTAGCATCACAGTGATTTTAACAGAGCCTTGAAAAAAAACCCATGCTAGATTTTAGCTCAAGCTCAAGATGTTCAATGACTTGAACACTTGAACTTGACTTGACCACAACTTACCAACCTGGTAATAGTTCTGCATTTTGGTTTCCTAACTATGACATGGACATTGTAAAACCTGTTTTCATTTAGTGTGCAAACTCACGATGGTTGATTATGTGTCCATCTTCCAAACTTGGCATTCAATGAGATTTCACTATAGCTTTGAAACCAACTATACATAGGCCTCCAGCTCTTACCAGATAGTGTCAGGATTGACAAAATGACTCAAATGGTTAACATAACAATATTGCTCATATAAAACATCTACAGGAATATTTTTACAACACAGTCTCTTTTTATTTGTTACTTATAATATCAAGGAAAGGATAAGTGTTATTATTCTGACACTTAGCCCTTTCTAATGCTTTCTAGGAGCTGGGCAAATATGAGAAAAGAGATTCAGAACAGAAGGGGACCTTGCTAAACTAGAAAAACAAGCTCAGGCTCCTTTCTCTTGTCCTCTGCCCTATTTCATTTTCTTCTTGATATCACTGACATTATTTGAGATCATATATTCACTGTCTACTGTTCATTTCCTTCTCTAGAATACAAATTCTGTGAAGAGGATAAATACTGCTAGTGCGCAAGGACTAGTAGATGCTCAGTAACTATTTATTGGATGGATGGCTAGTCAGTTCTGGGTTGGATAGCCAACTCTAGGAGAATATTGCCAAGAAGGAATATAGACTTGGAATTATTGGATTGTCCTCTTTTTATATTAGGTCATGGGTCAAAAGGAAATCTCAAGGAAAATTAGACATTATTTTGAATTGAATGAATATTTTAAAAGGTCAAGATATATGGGATGCAGCTAAAGCAGTTCCTGGAGGGATATTTACAGCATTAAGATAATTATATTAGAAAGGAAGACAGGTCTCTAATAAATAAGCTAAGTACCTACATTTAAAAAGGAAAGGAGGGGGGGGGAGTAAAAAAAAAAAAAGGAAAGGACTAGGCACTGGTGGCTCACACCTGTAATCCTAGCTACTCAGGAGGCTGAGATCTGAGGATCATGGTTCAAAGCCACTTGGGCAGGAAAGTCCGTGAGACTCTTATCTCCAATTAACCACCAGAAAACCAGAAGTAGCACTGTGGCTCAATTGGTAGAGTGCTAGCCTTGAGCTGAAGAGCTGAGAGACAGTGCCCAGGCCCAGAGTTCAAGCCCTGTGATCAACAACAACAACAACAACAACAACAAAGGGAAGTAGTAGAATTAAGAGGTTCTTCAGGTTTTTTGTACAAAGTTCTGGATCTTCTAAAATAACCTGCAATATTGATATAGTAATAAGAGTTCAGCATAGTAGGCTTATATATTTAAATATATCTATATACTTCTATCAATTTATCTGTCTACATGCGTTGTCAAAACATATACTTCAAGAATTCATCTTTCACAAAGTGAATTCCAGTAAAACATTAAAGTTGAAAAAAGGCAAAACAGAAAAGCAAAATAAAAAAAAACCTTTTAAGCAAAAAAATCAATAAAAACAAAAGCTTGTTATTTGATGACAATAAAAACCTAGCCAGATTGAGCAAGGAAAAACAAATTACCAGTATCAGGAATTAAAGAGGGCATATTGCTATAGACCTCATAGACATTAAAAGGATGATAAGTCGAGGAAGGCTGGGACAGGAGGCTTGTGAGTTTGAAGCCAGCCTGAGCTACATAATGAGAATGTCTTAAAAAAAAAAAAAAGAAAAAGGAGTCTGTGAATGTAGCACAATGCCTAGCATGTGTGCAAGGACCTGGATTCAATCACCAACAAGAGGCAAGGGTGGGGAGGAGGAGGAGAATAGATTTATTTTGGTTTACAGTTTCAGACCTTTCAGTTCAAGTTGTGTGGCCCTGTTACTTTGTGCCTGTGGCAACACAATAAATCATGTCCAGAATGGGTGGCAGGGGAAGCTTATTCTCCTATAGCAGTTGAGAAACAAAAACAGAAAGACAGAAAAGGGCTTTTAAAGCCACACTTCCAATGACACAACTTCCTTCCACTAGGCCCCACCCACTAAAGGCTTACCACTTCCCATTAGTGCCTTGGGCTGGAGACCAAGTTTTCAACACATCAGACTTTGAGGGACATTTATGATCCCAACTGTAACCCTCTCCGATCTCTTTGCTCTCCCCTTTACTCTCCACACTCAGCCAGGTTGGTCATCTTCCTTTTTTCTAGAATATATCAATTTTATTCCCCCTGCATTTGTTTGACTTTTGCTTGTCTTGCTTCTCTGTTTTTGTGGCACTAAGAAATTAAACCCAGGGCTTCCTGCATATTAGGCAAGCACTCTACCACCAAGCCACATTCCCAGCCTTTGTCATGCTTGTCACCTGAACTCTCTATAGCTTGTTCCTTCCTCTCATTCAGGTAACTGTCTTGTCTGCCTTGACCACACATTGAAAGTTCTCCCGTGTCATGTGAAAATCATATCCCCTATTTCACGACCTTCACATCACTCAGACTCTTTCCTTAAATTGTCTTACACATTTATTTGTTTGTGCTAGTACTGAGGCTTGAATTCAGAGCCTCGTGCTCTCAACTGGCTTGTTTTTTTTTTTCTCTCATGGCTGGCTTTCTGCCACTTGAGCTATGTCTGCAGTTCTAGCTTGTGGGATTTGCCTGCCAAAGCTGGCTTTGAACCTCCACCCTCAGATAACAGCCTTCTGAGTAACTAGGATTATAGACATGAGCTACTATCACCTGGCTTGTTTTGTCTGTCAACTCTGTGAGCTCTACAAGAGCTTTTTTCCTACATCCACACACTGAGATTATCTAAAGAATAATAAGCTCTTGAAAGTACATCTAGAATGAATGAACTGAGGTTACATTATATTAAAAAACAAAACAAAGCTGGTATACAGCTCCCAAGGCCAGTCTTTAGAAAATAAAACTTTCCCTACCAGCTCAAAGTGGGCCTGTTAACAGATTTAAATTCTGAAGATTCTTTACCAGTGTAGTCTCTTTGTGCTGTTCAGGAATCCCAAGGTATATACTTTAAACAGTTAAATGCCAAGTTTTGAAGCCACTTATTAAAATCACACAATAAATTGGTCCAGAAGTCAGGACACAAGATAACAGCAACTTGAAACTCTATTTGCAAAAGGGCTTAATCATTTCTTTAAATAGCCTTAGTACTTTCCTTCCACCCACCGTAGGGGAACGCGGGGTGGGGGGGGGGTGGGTGGGAGGGAGGATGAACCACAAGTTGGTAGGAGAGGATTCCAAAGCTGAAAGCCAGCCAACAAGGATGCAGTGCTGGAAGATGGATGGGGGTCCCCTGGGTGGTCCAGGTACCAGTTTCCTTCCCGTAGTGTTCCCAGGCTTTGCACTGGGAATCCTCCAGTCCCCTGAATGCAGCCCACTGCACTGCCTCTCAGGAGGGCAGCCTCCCCCTCCTCTTCTCGCCCCCCCCCCCCTTCCAATTTCCTGAGACTTTGTCCAGCAACACTCACGGGATTCGTGTCCTGAACCTGCTGCTTCCTTCTCCTGAGGCTGCTCCTGCTTCTTAGGCATCTGAGATTGGCCACTCCGAGCCCGGACACCCCTCCAGTCGTCCCGGAGCCCCCTCCCCGCAGCTGCCGTCCGGAGCAACAGCCCTCTGGCTGCCGTCCGGCGATTCAGAGCGCGCCGGGCGGGGTCCATGGCTCCCCGAGGGCTGAAGAGCCCGGTGGGACCCTGACCCAGGGCGCAGGCTGGGTGGCAGGTTGGCGGGGCAGGAGCGCAGAAGCGGGTCCACTCTATCCACCGGGCAACCCAGGGCCCTGCCCTGCCTTGGGCTGGTCTGGAAGAGTCCGCCTTCAGGTGTGGCATGCACCTTTCTGTGGTTTGGTTCTAGGAGAAATGAATATCTCAAGAAAACTACAAGTCTTTATGAACTCTCAGTCTACACATTTCCATTAATTAGTTGTGCAATTTTGAGAAATGTTGCTTTGATTTATAATCAACATTTGCTATTGGAACTTAAATATTAAATAATTCCTAAATGGGTCTCCAGGACTTTCTTTAGAATAAAACATGACTCTTCTGATAATTATGCAATCATCTTTCTTGACTGATTTTTTCCCTAGAAAGTGACATAATATAGAAGCAGGGAAAAAATTTTGGTCCCCAAAATAAATTTCAAATAAGAGGAATAATTCGGTTATTTTACTTTGTATTCTTAGGAATATTTTGCATTCTTAGGAATTTGAGACTTTCATCTTAATATAAATTATGTTTAATGTTGATTTCAAACTTGATTTTCTTTCAAATTATTGTGCACTGAACACCGGAACTTTCCTTTGAAGAAGAAGGAGGAGGAGGAAGGAAGAAGGAGGAGGGGGAAAGAAGGAGGAGGAAGAAGAAAAAGGAGGAAGAGGAGAGGAGGTGGGGGAGGAGGGGGAGAAGGAAGGGAGGAGGAGGAGGAGGGAGGAGGAGGAGGAAGAAGGAGGAAGAAGAAAAAGGAGGAAGAGGAGAGGAGGTGGGGGAGGAGGGGGAGAAGGAAGGGAGGAAGAAGAAGAAGAGGAGGAGGAGGAGGAGGAGGAAGAGGAGGAGGAGGAGGAGGAGGAAGAGGAAGAGGAAGAAGAAGCAGCAGCAGCAGCAGCAGCAGCAGCAGCAGCAGCAGCAGCAGCAGCCAGGCACTGGCAGCTCATGCCTGTAATATTAGCTACTAAGGAGGCTGGTATCTGAGGATCACAGTTCAAAGCTAGCCTAGATAGGAAGGTCCGAGAGACTCTTATGTTCAATAAACTATCAGAAAGCTGGAAGTGGCTGTGGCTCAAGTGGTAGATCGCTCACTTTGAGCCGAAGAGCTGAGGGATAGTGCCCAGGCCCAGAGTTCAAGACCCATGACCAACCAACCAAAAAAAAAAAAAAAGAGCTGGGCACTGGTGGCTCACACCTGTAATCCTAGCTACTCAGGAAGCTGAAATCTGAGGATCCTAATTCCAAGCCAGCCTAGGCAGAAAAGTCCCCATGAGACTCTTATCTCCAATTACCATTTAAAAGCCAGAAGTGGAGCTGTGGTTAAAAGTGGTAGAGTGCTAGCCTTGAGCAAAGAGCTCTGGGACAGCGCCCAGGCCCTAAATTCAATCCCCCAAATCAACAAATAAAAAAAGGAAAGAAAGAACGGATTGGGAATGGTAGCTTACATCTATAATCTCAGCTATTTGGGAGGAATAAATAGCATACCAGTTGGAGGCCAACGGGGGCCTTCCCCCAACTTCAACCACTTCTGGGGTGTGGAGGCATGTGCTTGTCATTTCAGCTATACAGGAAGCATGGGTAGATAGAAGGATCACAGTCCAGACTGGCCTGGGTAAAATCTCTAACCAAAGCAAAAAGGTTTGGGGATATGGCTCAAGTGGTAGATGTAGAGTGCCTGCCTTGCAAGTGAGTGGCCCTGAGTTCAACCCACAATACCACCAGAAAAGAAAAAACAATATAAAAATGGGCCTAAAGCAACTATGCAGATTAAATGTTATTGGATACTATGCAGAATAAAGACTGTGTAATATGTGTGTGTGGGAGGGGGGAAGTATTTCTGACATCTAAGTGGAAAAGTGGGGAAAAATTATGTGCATATGTACTATGCATACAAATAAAATTGTCAAAATCAGAAGAAAATATATAGAAAGAAAAATAACAGAAGAAACAGTGCCAGAGTTCTGCCAGTGGAAATCATAATGCCAACCACAGAACGGTCTGAATTATACTCTTAGTAATTTATGTTATCCTAATTGATAATTTTAAACCAAGCACTTTAAATTTATTAAAAACTCTTTTGACTAGAGAAAATGAAGCCTCGTTTCATGCTGGTGTTGTTGACACTATTCTAGCCAGTGAGGCAGAATCCGAAAACAAGCACATTACATAACTCTAGCTGTCTTTGAACTTCATGTCCTTAATTTTCTTGAGAGCTTGGGCTAAATGAGAAGCTAGGAAGTATATTACAGACATTGTCTTTCCTCCAGTTTCAAATAGTAGTTTCTCAACCAGATTGATTCTAAGTACACCAATCCCTAAGACACTGCTTGATAGGATCTGGACTTCATTGCTCTGATCTTGGGCTTTCCAACTCTTCCCCTGTCTTGCTGCTCCCCCAGTGTTATTTGCTGCAGTTATTCCTCTATCATTTTTCTCTGCTTTGACCCCCCCCCTCCTCTGCCACTTTCAAATTTATTTGAATGGTTTGATCCTTCCTAACAAACCATTGGAGATAAGAATCTCACAGACTATCTTGCCCAAGGTTAGTTTCAAACAGTAATCCTCAAATATCAGCCTCCCAAGTAGCTAAGATTTCAGGCATGAGCCATGGGTACCTGGCTTACAACTATTTCTTATAATGTTGTTCTATTAGCACACAACATATACAACTATGAATTATAGTAACAATATAGAGACAGATAGTAAAAAAGAGAGATAGTTGAATTCTATTGAAGACTATCACATGCAAACAATTATTGAGCTATTTGTTATTGGTTGTATTATATACAAATGGTACACTCCAAATGTAGACTAGTCTGCTAATCTGAGACTCCATTTGATATTTCTCTGCATTAAAAAAAGAGGCAGACAAATGTCACCCCAAATGATCTTTATCCTTTATTCTACGAATCTGGCATTTATCTTGTTAAATGCTCAGTAAGGGGTTAGTTTAGTAGGCTCAGGTTTTTTAAAGCCTGTGTTTTCCAAACAAAGGCCTCTGTTTAGGACCACTGGCCCTTGACCAGCTCCTGGAAAGTGACCTCTGAGGCCTTGGACTATCCACCCTGATAAGAATGCTTTAATGTGCCCAAAGCTTGGGACCACAATGTACAGGTTTTGCTAGATGGTTTGTATCAACAAGTGTCTTATAGTGAATACATGTTTTGAAGCCTGGGGCCTGATGCCTAGACCATTAGGTCTCTGGAGGGCTGAAGATTGAGTAGTTAAGGTCAGATGTCAAGCAGAAACCTTCAAAGCCTAGGGTTGGGCAAATTTCCTTTGTTAGAATTATTTTGCACATGTTATTAACCATTTGTCTGTGCTCTTTCTCTTTGCTGATTTCTCTTTTTCTTTCTTCTTTGCTCAGTTTTCTTTATGATTATAAAATGTAATCATAAATATTGTAACTTTTCTGAATTTTGTCAGTCTTTTTCACAAATACTCAGAGCTGAAGGTAGTCCAGAGAATGCCTGATACAATAAGATATAAAGTTCATTTTTTCTCTATAAGTAACCAATTATTCAGTCTATTTTTAATAATACTCAATAAATCTCATCCTTTTGCCAACACCACTCTTAAAATAATTACTATAGCTTTATATTAAATCATGTTTAATCTTATTCTTGAGCATTTGTTCTTATATATTCAGGGTCCACTTACCAATTTCTAAGAAAAACCTTGTTTTTTTGTTTTTTTTTTTGAGAACACTTAGAACTTTTCTTTTTTTTTTTGCCAGTCCTGGGGCTTGAACTCAGGGCCTGGGCACTGTCCCTGAGCTTCTTTGCTCAAGACTAGTGCTCTACCACTTGAGTTACAGCACCACTTCTAGCTTTTTCTGTTTATGTGGTTGGTACTGAGGAATTGAATTCAGGGTTTCATGCGTGTTAGGCAAGCATTCTACCACTAAGCCACATTCCCAGTCCCAGTTTGAACTTTCAGAACACTTTTGGGGATAGTTTCTTCCTGTTCATGAACAGAATTATACTTCATCTATCAGGTAGAGACTATTTTCCTTTCAGTAATATTTTATAACTTCAAATTCTGGCATATTTTTCCCACTCAGGCATCTTCATTCTAATTGGTGATTACTGTTTTATAGGAATGCTATTGAGTTTGTACAGTTTCATATTACCACATATTAATTACAAAAAATATTTTATGAATACATGTATTTTGATAAAATTCCTTCCTTCCATTATTCTTTAATCCCTTCTTTTAGTTTTAGTGGGTTTCAGTATATTACTTTTTTTTTTTTTTTTTGGATCTGGTCATGGGGCCTGAACTCTGGACCTGGGCGCTGTCCCTCATCTCTTCAGCTCAAGGCTAGCACTCTACCACTTGAGCCACAGTGTCACTTCCAGCTTTTTTCTTTTTGCTTATGTGGTGCTGAGGAATCGAACCCAGGGCCTCATGCATGCAAGGCAAGTGCTCTACCACTGAGCCACCTTTCCAGCCCCTTAGTATACTACTTTTGCACATACTTATACTTTGTTCATATTTGTACATTCACCTTATATACATAGCTTTATTAAGTTCCTATACCATGTAGATTTTTAAAAATGTAGGCATGTAAGACAAAAATAAACCCTTCTCTTAACTAACATGTAGACAAATTATTCACACAAATTTTATTCACTGTATTTATTGAGTTTACTATAGGACAATTTCCAAAATGATTGTTCCTAAGTAAGGGTTTGCATCACAACTAAAGCTTATTATTATTGAAGCACTTCACTTCTGTGGACACGATGGAGATGTAGTAACACTTTTTTTGTAGTTCTGTGTTTCATTTCCAGTATACTAATAATGCCTGAGACTCTTCACATTCATAGTCATTTGGGTTCTTTCATGTGAAGTGTTATCCAGTCTTTTGTCCAAATTTCTATTGATTACGTCTCTTCCTAATACATAAAATAATACAATTAAAAATATATTTCTAATGGTACTGTTTTTTTTAGAACCACGTATGTGAGACAAGCTTTTTTCTCCCACGTAGATCTTTATATTTTGAGCTTCTGAGTAAGTAGAATTATGGGTGCTTATTACTATATAGTTTTGCTACATTTCTAAGTATGCTACAGGTAAAAATTAAAATAAAAAGAAAATGAGTTGGATATATCAGACCAAATAGAAAATAATGTGGAGAGAATTCTGGGCTATTAAAAAGGGAAAAAAGGAAATAGAAAAAGTAGAAAATTGAAGAAAACTAGGAGTGAATGATGCACACCTATAATTCCAGTACTCCATTTGGAGGCAGGAGGATTTTAAGTACATAGGCCATCTAGGCTATGTAGCAAGCATCTATCTCCAAAAAATAAAAGAAAAAGAAAGAAAGCTGTCCTACCTGTTAATATATCAACTAAAATTTGCAATTTTAAAATATTATTAAATATTATTGCATGATAGCATTCAATTAATTCAGCTAAACCAAAATTCAAAAACACTTTATGATGGTACTGAGATTTGAACTCAAGGCCTTACATTGGTTAGCCAGGCACTCTACTATGTGGGCCATGACCCCAGCCCATTTGTGCTCTTCAGGTTTCAGTGATCTTTCACCCACTGGGGGAGTTACCTTCCAAAGACCTCCACCATAGGTGAAAATCCACAAAGTAGCAGCATTAGACAGTTGTCCCTTGCTGTATTGTGGTTCATTTATTGCTACTTCGCGGATTTTCACCTATGGCAGGGGTCTTGAAACACAGTTCCTGTGATATGTCAGGGATCATTATTTATTTTTTTGTTTTGCTTTTTAAGCCTGCGATACAGTGAAGTCACAGGGAGTAAAGTGCAATATAGAGGGATGACCGTATTTTCCAGATAGGGTCTGGCACATTTTGCCTAGACTGACCTCAATCTGTGATCCTCCTACCTATGTCTCCTGAGTACCAGGAATTACAGATATGTGCCACTACACCTGACCACTAACAATTCAGTATTATAATTCAGTATTTAATGTTGATAGCATTAAAATAAACCAGGAAAGACAGCCAACATATACCTTAAATCACTTTCACAGAATTTATATGTATTTCACAGAATTTTATACGTAATTTACATAGAAAACCATATAATCAAGAACTATAATGACAGAACTTTGTTTGCTATTAGCTATAATAAATTAGCCATGAGACTAAGTATGCTAAAAAGTGGTAAGCCTATTTTAAACAAGCTAGTAATTAAAAGTTTGCTTTTTTTTTTTGCCAGTCCTGGGGCTTCAATTCAGGGCCTGGACACTGTCCCTGATCTTCTTTTGCTCAAGGCTAGCACTCTACCACTTGAGCCACAGCACCACTTCCAGCTTTTTCTGTTTATGTGGTACTTAGGAATCAAACCTGGGGCTTCATGCATGTTAGGCAAGCATTCTACCACTAAGCCGCATTCCCAGCCTCAAGCTAGTAATTAAAAGTTAAGTCACCCCCTTTGGCTAGGGCTTTGCAAGGTCCTAATGAAGCTATCCTTCAAATATTATTTCTTTGTATATTTACATAATGAGCTAAAATATGAAAAGTAGGAATAGAAAATAAAAATATTAAAAAATTCAGTTTCTTAAAGTTTCCATCTTTATGTTCCAATTACATAGATTTTGATAAGAATTTATGTTGATAATATGGCTCAAAGTAGTTACATAACTTAATTCAGCTTTCTTCTTTCCCAGACATTAGTATGATTGCCACAGAGACATAATTAAGAGAATGAGAATAAGATATTCAAATATTCATTAATCTTAAAATTTTTTTTTGTCTTTTTCTTTTTGGTATATACTTGCTAAGCAAGTCCTTTGCCACTGAGCTACATGCCAGCCCTCTTTTAATCTTTTGAGTTGCACATTTTCTCTTGGATATTAGAACAAAAATAAAGTGATTATACAATTTATTTATTTATATTTTTTACATATGTATAGAAAGTATAATTTAAAAAGTTACTTTAAAAAGTCCATTAAAAATGTACTTTGAATCTTGAACTATTTTTTTCTTCTTTTTGTACCTGTACTGAGGCTTGAACTCAAGGACTCATGCTCTTGATTGGCTTTTTTGCTCAAGATATCTGCTCTACCATTTGAACCATAGCTCTACTTCCAGCTTTTTGCTGGTTAATTGAGGATAAGTCTAACAGACTTTTTTTCCTGGGCTGGCTTAGAACAGCTATCTTCAGATCTCAGCCTTCTGAGTAGCTAGGATTACAAGCATGAGCCCTTAGCCCCCAGCTTAGACTGCTTTTTAAAGTGAACCAAGTGCTTATTTATGAGAGGAATTTTCAATGAAAAAAAAACACAAAACCAAGATTTTGAGTAAAAATCCTTTTAACACAGATAATAATGTGACATCATTTTCCTGAGGTAATTAAAACTTTCATGCTATTTCTGTTAAACTAATGTTCCTCCCAGAACTTAGGATAGCTTTTAATTATGAAGCTCACAGAATATCTAAAGATACAAAACTAACTATAGCAGCAGTCCAATGTAAACCAAGTAGTTAAGTGCTAAAAATAATAGTAAAATAGATGCTAAAATGTGTAAAACTCTGAGAGTTCTTATAATTATGCTTTTATATTCATTATAAATTCAATTACAAAATAATTTAAAAAGCATTTTTCTGATCCTATTTCTCTTTCTTCTCTTTTTTCATTGCTAGTGATTGAACCCAGGACCTTGTGCCATTGGGCACCACTCCAGCCTTCACTTTTCATTTAAAAATGATCTCTAACATGTTTGATTTCCAACTCACAATGAAATGGAATCCTCATTACAAAAAAGGCATAAAGAAGTAAATCAGTATACATCTCAAATTCTTAGAAAAGGAACTACTACTTAGGGAGGAATTACTGTACTTGCCCTCACCAAATGAATGTGTACATTTAGAATGAGAATTAGTTCATTGATTATAAAACTGATTAAAAATTGATTAAAATTATTGAAAAATATTCAATGCTCATTTAAAAAACACATCAAGGGTGTGTCTGGGATTGTTGGGTTTTGTTTTCTTTGATGCTGAGTACTTTGTCATCAGTCCTGGCCTGGAATGAAAAAGAAGATATCATCAATTGAAGAACATTAAAAAAATTGGAAACAGCTGGCTTTTAAAATGTCATCTGATTTATAAAATACAACTAAACATCTCCTAAAAGTTAGACTACAAAAATAATGCCAGTTTCCTGGACAGCTCTATTAAAGCTCTTAGTATCATACCTTTTTGTTTTTGCTTCAGTCTTCTGTACTTTGCTGGAGGTACCTTTACAGGAAGAAAAGAAATTCTAAAATGAACTACATGAAACAATTGAGATTTTTTTTTTTTGATACCAGTACTAGGGATTGAAGTCAGAATCTCCAGCACTTGCTTATCCTTTTTGGCTCAAGGTTGGGTAATGCCTTGTGTAATGCCTCCAATTTCAGCTTTTTACTGGTTAACTGGAAATAAAAATCTCTTTGATTTGTCTTTCCCAGGCTGATTTAGAATTGTGTTCTTTAGTTCTCAGTCTCCTGAATTGATAGAATTAAAGGTATGAGCCACAATGCCTTTTAAACACTTATAAATATTCAAAAGATAAAACTCGCTAACATACCCAAAACTTCCTTGGTACTATAAAGCTACATACACAATGCAGAAACTAACTTTATAGCACAACTACTTTATAATTTACTAGTTTTACTAGCATTTCATTTCATTTTGGTTTTGGAATTTGATTTGGTAGTTGGTACTACAAAAAAGCTTAGAACAAAAGCTTCCTGTATAAGTGCAATAGTCATGATGACAATCATGACTACTTGGGAAGTAGAAATTGAGAGGATCATGGTTTAAGGTTAGCCTCGACCCAATATTGGCAAGACCTGATTTCAAGAAATAAACCAGATATGGTGGGGTATGCCATACAAGAGGCATATATAGGTATATTATAGTTTGAGGCCTGCCTGGGCAAACAGTACAAGATGCTATCTGAAAAACCACCTAAAAAGCCAAAAGGTCTATTGTGGCTCAAGAAGTCAAGCACCCTGAGTTCAGTCTCTAATACAGCAAATAAGTAATAAATAAATACATTCATCCATCACTTCTTGTCTCTATATTTAATTTGTGAATCCTGACCAGTCTTCTCTGAAGAAACTCCTCTTTAAATTAGATCACTCCAAACCTTAAATTTTTACTTTACTTATTTTTGTTGGTCATGGGGCCTGAACTGTGGGCCTGAGCACTGTCCCACAGCTCTTCAGCTCAAGGCTAGCAACTTATCACTTGAGCCACAGCACCACTTCCAGCTTTTTATGCTTATGTGGTGCTGACGAATTGAACCCAGGGACTCATGCATGTGAGGCAAGCGCTCTACCACTGAGCCAACATCCCAGCCCCAAACCTTATTTTTTTTTTAGTTTATTCTGCATTCAATCAAGCCCAACCTGGATTTTCCATAACTTCAAAAGTTGTTGATTTAATTATAAACTATGTTAAAGTGACGAATATTTTCCTAAATGTCAGAATAAACAAACCACCTTTTTCCAGTAATTCTTTCAGATTAACAATCTCCTTAATTTTGCTAAGATGTATTCCTAGAAAACCATACTCTTCTTAATGACACCAAACTCACCTGAACTTCTAGAGCTTTCTTTGGGTTGGTTAACTGGCTTAAATTCATTATTTCTCAGTTCTTGGATAATATCTTTATTTAAGCAAATATCCACATGCTCATTGAACTGGGTAAGATCTGAAGTCTTTTGTTCAAGGTTACACACTGGACAAACTAGAGCCTGGCTTGTCATTTCACTGATAGAAGACTGAAGAGATTCTTGCCCACTTCCATTTTCCAATGAAATTGTAATAGGTGACTTGTTTGGAAGATTGGAACATTCTTTCTTGCTAAACTTAACCCTTGAAATGTCTGAATTTTCTGCTTTTGGTGAATTACTTTTAGTCTCTACTGAATCTACACAATGCACTGACGTCATTTCTAGATTTTTCTCATGGGTTTCATAATTTTGTTTCTCACAAAGTGAAAAAGAATGAGGTATACTTTCTTTCTGATTCATGGCAGTGGAGGAAGCATGTGGATATGAGAACATTTTAGAGTTCTCACTGCTTGAATGGCCATCAAGACATGCATCCATGTGTTTATTAAAGGCTTCCAGACTGATGTGCCCTTGTTCCTTAAAGCAAATGGGGCAAGTAAATACTTGACAATTCTCTGATGTTTCTACATTTTCAATCATCTTCTTTAAAACTTGGAATGGCTGTGATAGCTGAGAACTTTGTCTATCCACAGTTTCACATTTAGATTTTTCTTGATGGTTCCACATCCGTTCTGATCTTTTTTTATCAAAGAAACTCTTTTTATGACACATTTCTAGAGGTTTTGCAAACTGATCTTTGTCAGTTTTATCTAGTTCGCATGAAGTGGCTAACAGAGCTTGGTTTCCAGGCTGTAAGAAGCCAATGATGCTCCTTTGTTGGTGCTTCTTGTCTTCTTCACTGGAAAAACTAGATATACGAACACCTAAATTAAATCAATCACAATTAATCAATTACAAATTCTATAAAGCCAATTGACTCTTAATGTATAAAAACTTCATATAATGCTTTTGTGACATATATACAAAGGCAAGCTGGAGAGAATAAATTCAGAACACACACACACACACACACACACACACACACACACACACACACACATTCACTCTTACACTTTTCAGCGCTGAAGACTGAATCCACAGCCTTCCATACAGTAGCATATACTTTACCACTGAAGCTACCTTCCCAGTCTAATACTTTCTTTTTAAAAATACACTATTTCTCATATAGTTATAGTACATATAGTTAAAATGCCTATTGTGAAACACATAAACAATCCTTATACAAACTTAGAACCTAACTCCTATTCTTTAGAGGTAATGATTATTAATGATTCCCATATATTTACAAAATATACTTAAAATATTCATACTTTTCTGAAACTTTGTTTTTTTTTTTTTTTTTTTTTTTGTGCAAGTCCTGGGGCATGAACTCAGGGCCTGGGCACTGTCCCTGATCTTCTTTTGCTCAAGGCTAGCACTCTACTAGAGCCACATCACCACTTCTGGCTTTTTCTGTTTACGTGGTACTGAGGAATCAAACCCAGGGCTTCATGCATGTTAGGCAAGCATTCTACCACTAAGCCACATTCCTAGCCCTTGCTTGCTAAAAAATATGTATATGAAAAATTCCCATGTTGGATTGAAATATAATGTAACTTTTTTCAGCTACTTAGTTTTCTACCAGACCTGTGATATAACTTTATGTAATAGTATGAGTGAATATAAAAACTTAAATTATCTTATTATTATAAATAATGCTCAATATATGCATCTTTCGTCTACTTTTCTCTGGGATAAATGCCTGAAATAGAAATTCTAGGTCTTTTCAAATCTGCATGTATGTACATATTCACATCCTCTCATTACTACCAGAGTAGTTGCCAATACTGGGTGCACTGGTATAATTAAAATAGGGTTTAACTTCCCTTTATAAAAACTAGGTATCAAGACTGGGAATGTGGCTCAGTGGTAGATTGCTTGCCTACCATGCATGAAGCCCTGGGTTTGATTCCTCAGTACTACACAACAGAAAAAGCCCCAAGTGGTGCTGGGCTCAAGTGGTAGAGTGCTAGCCTTGAGCAGAGAGGCTCAGGGACAGTGCCCAGGTCCTGAGTTCAAGCCCCAGAATTGGCAAAACAAAAAACAAACTAGATATCATTAAGTAGGAACAATTTGTCAGAGTTGGCATGATTCCATAGGACTTGCAATGAGTGTCTGAGATATAGTATCAGTAAATCAGAGTTCATAACTGAATTGAGCTATACAGATTCTTTAGCTCTTCTTCTCTTGGAAGAGTTTGCTCTGACTCCATTTTCTGTCACCTCTTGTTCTAGCAACATCTTGCACCAGAAGGTAAATTTGTTAAGCTGAGGAGTCTACATTGACACTGTGTTTTACATATATTCCTGGTGGTAGTGTACTTCCCTTGGGCTTAGCCAAATTTATAATGATATTTATTTTACCATTATAGAATCATAAGGACGAGTTTTACTGCCTTAAAAATCGTGTGCTCTGACTAGTCAAATTTATGCAGACTTATCCCTCCCTGGCCCTGGACAGCTACTTCCTTTTTATGGTCTCCATGGTTTTGTCTTTCCCAGATGCCATATTATGCAAATCATACTGTATGCATCCTTTCACACTGGGTTCTTCTACTTGACACTATGCATTTAAGTTTCCTCCAAGTCTTTTCATGGCTTACTTATGTGGAAAAAATTATCCTGCATCTAGATATACCATAGTTTATTTATTTATTCATTGAAGGACAGCTTCTTGGTTGTAACCAAGTTTCCCCAATTATAAATAAAGTTGTTATAAACAGTTGCTCTGTGGCTCCTTTAACAAACTTGATCCAATTGCTTTCAAGATATGCTATCTTTGGAAACTGCCCAGTCTTAGCAGTAAGGTGGGCATTTGGAGTGCTTATCTGTATACATTCTCTCCTACATTCTGTTTTGGGCTGTTAATGTGTTTCTATAGTTTCTCAATCCTTTTATCTGTAATTCTGTCACCCCTAAATTTCTGAAAACTGTAGCAACATGTAATAAATGATAACTAAATTAATGTGGGGTTAGTGTCTTCACAGTCTGTGAATAATTTGTTTGCTACAGAAATATTAACATGTTTCCAGATTCCCAAGGGAATATTATATAGCATAGTTAATGTGTACTGATTTTTGTCAGCTAATATCTGCAAAGTCTTGAATTTTGAAACATATCTTGCTCCAAGATTCAGCTACAATAAGAACGGTTTTAATTAGTATGGACTGAATCTAAAATAGTTCAGGAATTAAGGTAAATGGTAGCAGCACAATAACAACTTCCTAAACAACTTTAAGAAAGAAAATGGAGGTGGACCAGGGGCATGGCTTCAGTGATAAAGCACTTGTCTAGCAAGTCCAAGACCCTGAATTCAATCTCTAGTACCATAAAATAAAACGAATGAATGAATGAATGAATAATGTGGGATAAGATTATTTCCAAAGATTTTTTTGGCAAAGGGAAAGGCGGGGGTGGGGGAACCTAAAAGAGTTAAGGAAAAAGAACAAGAAGAAAATACCCATCATACCCATAAGTCTTAATCTCAAGGGATATGGACATTCAGCATTTATCTCTGTTCTCAGCAATTCTTTAGCAATGGAAAATATTTCCTCTGCAGTAGACACAATAGATGAAACCGTAATTGCACGGGTTTTTACTTCAAAATTCACATTTTTCAGCTTGATGGTAACAGTTCTTCCCTGTGACAGATAGAGTACATTATTATATAAAGGCTTTCTAGCTTCTAGAAAAGTTGTTTTCAGGTTAGAAGAACTCAGAAAAGTTTTTATATACACATATAAGTAAGACTATATAGTTAATTACTCGTAAAATAAAATCTATAAGTAATCTACAAATCTCACTTTAGCCAATATTTTACAGACAGATTTTATAAAATATCTTTACATAAAGTGTAAAGTTAACTGGTAATTTTACTTTTTGCTGAATCTCTCTTAGAGATTAATTCTAAACAGTGAAGAAAAAAAATCTTTCTACAGGTAGTTTACTGAAAAGATCTCATGAGTAGTGCACAGTGGCTCATGATTTACAATCTCAATTATTTGGGACATGGAGTTTGAAATTATCACATTTAAAGGCCAGCCCAGGCAAAAAGTGAGATGCCTGTAATCCTAGCTATTCAGGAGGCTGAGATCTGAGGATAGCAGTTCAAAGCCAGCTGGGGCAGTAAAGTCTGTGAGACTCTTATCTCCAATAAACCACTAGAAGACCAGAAGTGGTATTGTAGCTCAAGTGGTAGAGCGCTCACCTTGAGCTGAAGAGTGCAGGGACAGCACCCAAGCCCAGAGTTCAAGCCCCAGGACTGACCAAAAAAAAAAGGTAGTGAGACCTAATCTTAACAAACATGCCAGATGAGGTGTCACATGACTGTAATCTAAGCTATGCAGGAGGCATAGATAAAAGGACTGAAAGTCTGAGGCAAGCCCAGGCAGTAAGCTGGAGACCTTATCAGAAAATAAAAACAAAAAGGGCTGGAGGCATATCTCAATGATAAAGTGCTTGTCTAGCAAGTACAAGTCCCTTAATTCAAACTTAACAATTTCTTTGTAAGAACTTCCTTTGTCTTAAAGGTACCAGAAAGCATTCTGGGGTGGTGACAGTGGCTCAATTAATTGTGCTTAATGCTTCTATAGCAAACATAATGGTTATATTGTATACCTCTCCTAGGATCTCTGGCAGGTGGAACTTAATTTCAGCATTTCTTCACTTGAGGGTAGACTAGTCAACTTAACTCACTGCCCAAAGGAAAAGCAGTAATTTGACAGTAGAGAGGGCTAAGAAATACTACCTAGTCATGTGATGGAAAGTTAACATCAGCCATGGCTGACACACTTGACAGAATATGGTAAAAAGAGCACTTTACTTTGTGGTAATGTTGCTTGAAATCTATAATTCTGGTCAAAACATGAGAAAGCTATTGGACACAAACAGATTGAGGCCTATTTGCAGGAAATATGGCTACAAGTCCTTAGGACTGTCACAGAGATGACCAGGGAGACATGGCGAATAAATGCAATGTAGTTTCCTAGATTGACCCCTGGAAAGGTAACTATAGAAAAATAAGGCAAATCCAAATGAGTATAAGGTTTAGTTAATAGCAATATGCTCATGTTTCTTTCTCACTACTGTGACAAACTTTTAATCATTGAAAATACTCAGTGAAACATACATCGGTATTCTTTTCTATAAATCTATAATGATTCTAAAATTTAAATATTTTTAAATTTAAAAGAATTTTTTACTCAAAGCGTAATAGAGAAGGATTATAAGAACAATGCTAATCAGATACCTCTGTGTGTGTGTGTGTGTGTGTGTGTGTGTGTGTGTGTGTATTTGTGTGTGTGTGTGTGTGTGTATTTGTGTGTGTGTTGAGGCAGGGTCTTACTACATAGCCCAGGCTGGCCTCAAACTCAATCAACCTACCTTAGCCTCCCTAGGGCTGTGAATACAGGTATGAACCACCACATCCAGCTATAATAACAACTTTCAAATATTTTTATATTACCCTTTGTAATAATTCCAACTCTGTTTTGAGAGTGTAGGGAGGGAAGATATAAAACAGAAAGTTGAAAGTGTTCCAGGATTTTATTCTCACTGTGTTAAACAAGCTAGATTAGAGCCTTGAAACAAAATGCCTGCTCTAAAAGGTCACTGTCTACGTGAGAAAAATATTCAAGGATGAATTAATAATATGTGAATACAATTCTAGGCAAAGCCTTCCCTTTGCCCTTTTCTCTAATGCCAATATAAGTTTGCTTTAGTCCTTCATTCAAATGTTCTCCTGAGGTAGCACAAACTGCCTGTCACTCCCCTGGAGCCATTCCAGTTCCACAGGTTGCTCTCCCATAGCATGATCTCATTGGAGACTCAGATGTGGGTCAGATTGAATCTGTTTCTGATTGTTGGGGACAGGAATGTTCTGTTCCAACATTTACTAATTTGTATTCATCTTTAAGAAAAGTCTCAGATAACTTTTGTTTTATATTGGTATTTTATTATTAAAATTTAAGCTAAAACACCACATCAAAATAAAGTACCTTAAGTCCCTCTTTCTGGAGGTCTTGAGCAAGTTCAGTGCAAAGTTCTTGGCACAAGCTGTACTGTTCTTCTGCTTTGCTTACCTCACTGAATGTCCTAGAGAGACAAGAACAATGTTAGTGCACATAGTAAACTACAACTCTGAATAGTTTGAGAATGACATACCTGTAGTCAGTTTTGGTGGCATAACATTGTTTCATTTTTTTGTAGCACAAAAAATTTCAGATGAAGATACATAATAAATTAAAACATTAATGGAAAACTATTTAGATGGTAAATAGATCAGCAAAGGCAAACTTTTATGGCTCTTGCTCTCTCTACATTTTTTTTTTTCTGGTCCTTGGGCTTAAACTCAATGGTTCTTAAGTGTCTCAGGAATTTTGCTGCTCTGAGGAACAACTGAAGGACTTTTGAAAACTGACATATTCCCTCCAGATTTCTATTGAGATCACATCTGATTTCCACATAAGTCTATAAAAGTCCACTTAATTAGATTATCTTTATGTTCTCTATCACTGATATTTTATTCAGGTTGAGGATACTTTATCTGAAGTGCATACAAGGAAAAGATGGATTTATATTTTGGACTTTTTGAATTTTGGGATATTTGAAGGGACATAAGAAGATTTTGGAGAGGGAACCCAAGTCTGGCCATGAAACTCATTTGTATTTCATAAAGTCCTCATATCCATAGTCTAAAGGTACTTTCACTCAGAATTTTGAGTGTGTGTTTTGACTACAACCTATCACAGTAGGTCAAGTGAGGAATTTTCTACTGTGGTAGCATGCTGGCCTCAATGATTTACACTTGGAACATTTCAGACTTCAGATTTTCAGACTAGAGACGTTCAACTTGTATTCCAGGCTGCTGATCATTTGACTTATCTTTGAAGATTTCTAAGAAGAATTCTCATTGTTACTTCTTAAATTTCCTAAGTAAGACTTAATTGCACTTACAAATACAACTAGAAATAAAGAGTGGGGATCCTAAGTAGCTTAGTATACACTGAATAGGAGCAAACCCAAAAACTTTAGTTAATTCCCGCCCCCCCCCAGAGATACAGCAATCAAGGATAATAAACCCTGTACTCCAGGAGTGTGAATTGATATAAATTATTTGTTGTGATTTATAATTTTTAAAATTTCAATAATACTTTACTAAAAATTAATTTTTGAAGCATGAATTCTAACTAATAAACAATAAAAATTACCTTTCAACGCTCATACTTTTCCTTTCTCCATCCCTAAAAATGAGAAAAAGTCATTATTTCTTTCTCAAAGAATAATTTTTTTATTATCCAAGAGAACTTAATATATAAGTTACTTTTTAGATATCTTCACTCATTCATTTGTTTTGTTTTCTTCAGAGTCAGTTTCCCTACATAGTCCAGGCTGTCCTTGAACTTCCTATCCTCCTGCCTCAGGACCTCAAAAGTACTGAGATTATAGGTGTGCACCACTACACCTAGTTTAGATTACCTCAATTTTTAAATTAAAATTTATACATATGCTGTGAAAAATTATGAGTTTTTCCTTTTAATCTAATTCTAAAATTATAATAAAACATGTTATTATGATTATACATGTCATGGGTCAAATTGATATCTATTTGAAGAAAGGAAGTTTGAAAACAGGCAGATATTATAAACTGCTGCTATTAAAAGCTTAAATCCTTAATATATATAAAATCTAAACTATAACTTATAAAATACTTATAAAAACCAATAGGAGATAGTGGTATAAAGTTGTGGCTGTAATTGAATTTTAATTAAATTTATCTAGTTTGGGCTAAACTATCTAGCTATAAGCCTCTTCGTTATTCATTTATACTACTCTATGAAAGCTCTATCAGAGTTTGGTACACATCAACAGGATGTTGGGAACCCAAACTGACTAGATTGGAGCTGCTCTGACAGGAGTAATTGAAACAAAAATTGTGACATGATGTTTTATTATTTTTCCAAACATTTAGTGAACATATTAGGACTCAAGCACTGTTCTAGAAATTGGTGAAAACAATAATGAGTAAAACAGATCAACCGTCTTTCCTTAAGAAACTTACATACCAATGGAAGGAAACAGATTAAACAAATATGGAAGTAAATATGGTGGTTTAGGAACATTGCCCAGCAGCTAAGGTATTTGCCTAGCATGCATGAAGTACTGAGTTCAATCCCCAGAACCACAAAAAAAAGGAAGACAGAGTTTGTTTGAAGGAGAAAGTAATTACATTGAGGGAAACAGAAACCTAGTATTTCATATTATTAAAACCTACCAATAGACTTTATTTAAATATCTCACCTGCATATTTATAATTAGAGATTAATGTATTATATCAAAACTGTGTTGTTGAGCTGGGCACTGTACTGCTTGTATTCTTAGCTACTCAGGAGGTTGAGATCTGAGGATCATGGTTTGAAGCTAGGTTGGGCAGGAAAATCCTTGACACTCTTTATCTCCAAGTAAACACCAAAAAGCCTGAAGGGACTCTATGGTTCAATGCAAAAGCTCAGAGTAGGAACCCAGGTCCTTACTTCAAGCCCCAGGACTCGCATACATACATACAAACCCAAACAAACTCCCCCCCCCCCCTGCCAAAACTGTATTGTTTGCAAGCACAGTGGTAAGAAAAAAAAAGGTACCAGATTTTGACTCAAGAAGTTTTGCTTTCCATTTTATTCAAATACTTGATTATTTATACTACTATAATATCTTTATCTTTCATTCTATCTGTTTAAGATCAAAATTAGCACAAGTGCTCATGCCTATAATCCCAGTTGCTCAGGAGGCAGATACATGGAGGACTATGGTTTGAGGTCAGTCTGGGCAAAAAAATTAGTGAGACTCATCTCAATCAATCACCATATACAGCCATGTATGGTGGCATGCATGCCAATGGCCTCAGTTTACATGAGAGGCACTGTACTCTGAAGCTGGCCCTGGGTAAAGCATGAAACCGACCTGAAAAAAATAACTAAAGTAAAAAAGGGCTGGAGCTGTGGTTCAAGTGGTAGAACTCTTGCCCCTTGAATTAAAACCCCAGAACCTAAATACATAAAATATATAAACAAATAAGTAAGTCAGTTAACTGTGGACCTAAAACAACAGGCAGGAAGAGATGCACAATTTCTTTACTTTTGTGAGACAGATTGTCACTACATAGTCCAGGCTGGCTTTGTCTCAGTCTCTTGAGAAATAGAATTATAGGCATGCACTAGTGTATCCAACAAACCTTCCGATTTCTGTAAGATTTATCAAGCTTAACGGACAAAACAGCTATTTATAGGCATAGTGAGTGATTTTACTGGACTTTAGCTGAAGTAGAAGAATATAAAGGAAGTTGAGTGTGGTAGTATACATCTGTAATCCCAGTACTCAGAAGGCATCCTGCTTCAGGAAGCAGGAAAATCACTTTAGAACTCAGACTGAGCTATGTAGTGAGACTGTCTCTATATGTGTGTGTGTGAGAGAGGGGGGGGGGGGGAGAGAGAGCAAGAGAGCGAGAGGGGGGGGGGAAATTTTAAGGGCACAGCAACAGATTGATAGTAAAAAAAATACCTAGGATTGATTTTTATAATTTCCATTTTTAAAAATTCTCTTCGTTTATTCCCAATCATTTAACCTTCTAGTTACAGTGAACTTCATTTTTGAAAGTTTAGATGAAGAAAGCTCAGAGCCCCATCTCCTCTTACGTTTTTAGCTGTTCCATCTTCTCCTAGCCAGTCCTTTGGCTGGCTTCCTCAGGTCTCTGCCTCTGGATAGTGGCTACCAACACTTACAATCACCATGCCATTTTCTCCACCCTTACTCCACTTTATTCATTTGTCTATTGGTTACTGTCTACCTCTCACATTTGTGTGTAAACTCTACAAGGACAGAACTTGGTCTTATTCATTGTTGCCTCTAGTGTCTAGAATAGCACAGAACATTAAGAACTTGGTACTGACTGAATAATCTGGAGAAGAAATGAACGGTATTTAGTTCTTCAAGTCTTTCATGGAAGCATTTAATCTTATTTAAAGGAAAAATTATGGAATATAAGTCACTTTTCTTCCCTGAACAACCCAACTACCAGCATTCTTCTTATACTCTGACCATAGAACAAAGCAGGGACAGAAAGCTAACTGTCCATCTACTGAACTGTTGAAACCATTAACTAGAAGGGGATAGATATTCTCCTTTTCTCCCATATCCCAACTGCTAGCTTTAATCCAAATATATATTCTGAATTACACTAATCTAAAAGAAGTTTAAAATATGTTGTCTTTACAATATCCATCTCAACGATTAAGACATTTCAATAAATGCTAAAAAAATGAAAAGCAACATGTCTGCATATACAGATACCTTGCCAGGTCTGTTGAACCTAGACCCAGTGAAATATGAAGGAAATAATGCCATGATGTTTCAGAGAAAAGGACAGAAAGTAATGCCCTCTGTTGGTAGAGCTCTGTGCAAGTAATAATTCCAAGGGCTTTTAACATTTTTTCTGTAACTTTTCCTATTCCAGAAACCTAGAAAAGAATCAATAGTTATAATTAATAGAAATTAAAGTTAGGACTCAGATTTGTGTGTGTGTATTTGTGTATATGTGTGTGTTTGGTTTTAGGTTTGAACTTACAACTTTGCACATGCTAGGCAACTGCATCCCTGGCCAGAGGTTATAATCTTACAGTACTTTTGATAGTCAATAACATGACTATCTTGTAAGTAAGAAGCTGTTCTGGTATTTTTTAAACTAGCATTTCATGGAATTTTTTAAAGCATTAAAAATGAGTTCAGTGGCTTAAACTTTGGAATGGTAGAAGAAATACACTAAATGGAACATTTTACTATAAGATTTATGATTTTAATATGCATGTAGACTTAAAAAACAGACTTGGGGCTGGGATGGTGGCTCAGTGGTAGAGCACTTGCCTTGCATGCATGAGGCCCTGGGTTTGATTCCTCAGCACCACATAAGCAAAAAGAAAAAAGCCGGAAGTGGCGCTGTGGCTCAAGTGGCAGAACACTAGCCTTGAGCTGAAGAGCTGAGGGACAGCGCCCAGGCCCAGAGTTCAGGCCCCACGACCGGACCCCCCCCCCCCTAAAAAAAAAAAAAGACTTTTTAGAACATTGAAAAATACTTTATTCAAATTCATTCTTATATAATAAGGAAAGAAAGCAAGCTCTAGAACATCATATTGTATATAGTGTGGTTAAAAAGGAGATCTATAGGGCTGGGAAGGTGGCTCAGTGGTAAAGTACTTGCCTTGCATGCATGAGGCCCTGGGTTTGATTCCTCAGCACCACATAAGCAGAAAAAAAAAGCCAGAAGTGGCGCTGTGGCGCAAGTGGTAGAGCACTAGCCTTGAGGTAACAAGCTGAGGGACAGTGCCCAGGCCCAGAGATCAGGCCTACGACTGGACACTCCCCCCTTCCCCCGCAAAAAAAGGAGATCTATATATGCTATATGTGAAGATACATATGGTCTAAAGAATAATAAAATATATTTGAAAAAGTAATATTGTCATTTTAAAGATGGTAGTTTTGTTAAAAACAAAAATTCTAGATGTCTAATAATCATTTCTATTAATTTGGTAGTAAAAAAAATTTGGAGTTAAAAATGATGATAGTGGGGCTGGGAAGGTGGCTCAGTGGTAGAGTGCTTGCCTTGCATGATGAGGCCCTGGGTTCGATTCCTCAGCAGCACATAAGCAGAAAAAGCTGGAAGTGGCACTGTGGCTCAAGTGGTAGAGCGCTAGCCTTGAACTGAAGAGCCAAGGGACAGAGCCCAGGCCCAGATTTCAGGCCCCATGACCAACAAAAAAAAGAGATGATAGTATTTATCGTTAAGAAAATTCCTTCAGTGCCAAGCACTGGTGACTCACAATACTTAGGAGGATCTCGGTTAAAAGCCATCTCAGGCAAGAAAGTCCTATCTATGTTCAATTAACTACCAAAAAGATAAAAATGGAGCTGTGACTCAAGTGATAGAGCACTGGCCTTGAGCAAAAAAGCTTAGGGACAGCACCCAAGCTTTGAGTTCAAGCTCCAAGAACAGCATATGCACACACACACACACACACACACACACACACACACACACACACACTTCCTTCAAACATTCATTTCATTTTTCTTCTTGGCAGGAACTTAAAAATCTATCATTTATTATTTTTTTGAAACTAAGCTCCTAAACTTTACTTTTAGGGTTTAGCAGAAACTTTTCTCCAAGTCTACATTCAACAAAGACCAAACTCAGCCTACATAGTGTATCATCAGAAATCAGAGTATATGTATGGATAATAAATTTTATATTCAGTCTCACCTTCCTAATAGGTAAGTCTTTGATGAAGTCCATCACTGCTTGCCTGGTGGGGAGAATTTGGTATTGTCCATTTGGCTTATTCTTATCGCTGCACACTTTTGCTAACATTGTATTAGGGGCAATGCCTTAAAAGAAGAACACTCAAATGACTTTAAGTTGTGATTATGTGCAGTTTATAATTCTGTAATGACCAAAATATACCAATAATGATAAATTCAAGTAACTTAAAATGGTATAGAATGCTACCTCAAAAATCAGATCTGATTACTATTTCCCCAAGGCTTGCTATGGTACTGGGGAAAGGAACTGTATTAGTACCTGTGGCACTATTTGATGATTATCTAATTCTTCATGACTTTTTTTTAACTAAGAGTAATTTCTAAGTAAGTAGTACTGTTACCAGATTACTTAAGACCTTCAGTAGGAGCTGGAAAGGAGGCTCAGTGGTAGAGCCTCACGTCTATAATCCTAGCTATTCAGGAGGATGAGATCTGAGGATTGAGGTTCAAAGCCAGCCTAGGCAGGAAAGTCCATGAGACTCTTATCTCCAATAAACCATCAGAAAACCAGAAGTGGCCATGGCTCAAGCGGTAGAGTGCTCGCCTTGAGCTGAAGAGCACAGGGACAGCGCCCAAGCTCAGCGTTCAACCCCCACGACCAACCAAAAAAAAAAAAAAAAGACAGTTGAAGTATATTTAAAATAATAACCAAAATCTTTAAATCTTTTTTGTTACAAGCAAATTACTCCTTTTCAGAAAGGTGTTTTCAATGACTATGAGTTTTAGTAAATAAGGCAATTTATAATAGATGTATTATAACCACAATGGCCATTAGTATCCTTTTAAATACCTGCACTGGCGGTCAGTGTTGTTTTTTGCTCAATTCTGAAACGAATTTCCTTTACCACTTCCTCAGCTGATGTTCCAAAAACAATGGAATCTTGGAGAGTTTGAGGATTGTTTTGTTCTTCAAAGTTCACTTGGAAAGGATTTCCTGGGGGCTGCAGATCAGGAGGGCTATCTTCAAAAAGTAATGGAGAACTGGGCCATTCATGCTCACAAACATTATTAACTTCCTTTCCAGGTTTATCTGAATTACAAATAGGAATCTTAACTCATCTTCAAATTAAGGAGTTCTTACTTCATAATTGAGGTTTCTCTTGATTCTTTTTTTTTTCTTTTCTCCATTGTTTCATAAGATAACAAAGCACAATTAGTTTAGTTTTGTTCCTGGAGACTAAGTTCAGAAATGCCATCATATATATTTTGTAACTATTTAATAAATGAATCACTGTCCAGGCTTTTAAAAAAGAATATCCATTTTTATAGGATATATTTTAAAGAAAATATCACATGTGAAACTCATTAACTTTTGAAACTTGTTACATTTTTCTTTAAAAAAAAAAAAGCAAATAGGGTCGGGAAGGTGGCTCAGTGGTAGAGTGCTTGCCTTGCATGCATGAGGCCCTGGGTTCGACTCCTCAGCACCACATAAGCAGACAAAAGCTGGAAGTGGCTCTGTGGCTCAAGTGGTAGGGTGCTAGCTTGCACCGAAGAGCAGAGGGACAGAGCTCAGGCCCAGAGTTCAGGCCCCACGACCAGCAAAAAAAAAAAAAAAAAAAGCAAATAGTGGGCTAGGAAGGTGGCTCAGTGGTAGAGCGCTTGCCTTGCATGCCTGAGGCCCTCGGTTCAATTCCTTAGCACCACATAAGCAAAAAGAAAAAAGCCAGAAGTGGCGCTGTGGCTCAAGTGGTAGAGCACTAATCTTGAGCTGAAGAGCTGAGGGACAGGGCCCAGGCCCAGAGTTCAGGCCCCACGACCGAAGCCCCCTCCCCCCCCCCCCCCCCCCGAAAAAAGCAAATAGAAATAGTTTTTTTCTTTTATTCTCCTCCAGGAAGAAAACGCCTCTTAAGTTAGAATTTAGAAATGAAGCACAAAGGCATTAAACAATATAGTATACCTGAAATATGAGTTTTGTTTTGTTTTAGTTTTTCTTCATTTTAGGAATACTTTCAAATCTAAAATATTCTTAATTTTCTTTATTCGAGATTCACTTTGACTTTCTTGTTTATAAAGTATCATATCAACACAGAATAAAAACATTTATCTTAATCCCAATGAAAAAATTTTAAATCTAGAATAAAAGGAATCATAACAGAAGGCCTTTAGAAGTTACTTTGACATAATCATTTAATGATTTTCCTTCTCTCCTGTAAAAACTAATGAACCGCTAAAGTGACATTTTTAAGCAAAGCGACATGCCAAGTCCCCAAATGATAAAATTATACCAAGAAAGGAGTCCTTTGTGTCCAGAAATGGTTGTTTAATGACCTTTCCCTTAGGGCTTAACATAAGGAAATGGAGTTGTTATTTATTGTCTATATTAAACTTTCTAAATGATGTGAGTCCCACAGAATGTAAGAAACCTAGAATTTTATGCCATGTATAATGTTTTTGCTTCAAGGGTTTCCCATTACTGTAGGGCTCCTCTGATGCAGTCAGTGAGTCATGCATATAACATGTGGTTGTGGTTTGTGAGTAAAACCCTTATCACACCTTTTCATTTGGGATTCAGGGCAGTTCAGATATTTGAAGTAGTTGTGTTTTTGGCAAAGAGTTGGGAACAGTATGTGTGGCATCTTCATGTTTCTTGGCATTGCATTGGATAACAATGGGACTATGTGAAAAACCTATGGAGTCATGAAACTTTTGTTTCATTATATATAAAGCTGTAATAAGATCTAAAGGAAAGGAAAGAAAGAGAGAAGTCACTAAGTTTGGCAAGGGTGAAACAGATGTAATTGCTGTTTTGGAACCAGATAATGGAAAACTTTAGAAATGAAGAAAAAAAAAGTCACTGAATGCTTTGATCTGTTTGAAGCTAATCTTTTAAAAAATATCTAATTTCTATCAGTAACAAAAAAGTCACCTTAAACAGATAACTTCCTTAGATTCAATGTAATCTGAACCCTTTGATAGCTAGATCTTAAGAAAACAACTTCTGTGATACTTTGTTTAGAAACTCTGAAGACTCAAAGTCCTGAGATTTATTAACAAGCTGATTCAATGTAAAAATGGTCTCGTATACATTTAACTAAAAAACTGGTATATTTAAAATTTCTTATTATTCATTTTTATAAAGAACATCTAGTCCTTCCATCTGTGCACAGTAATAAGTTAATTAGATCATCATCTTAAAAGGTCTTGTTTGTTTTGGTTTGCTAATTCTAACTGTATTTTTTTTTTTTTTTTGGTCGTGGGGCTTGAACTCTGGGCGTGGGCGCTATCCCTCAGCTCTTCAGCTCAAGGTGAGCGCTTTACCTCTTGAGCTACAGCGCCACTTCCTTGGTTTGCTAATTCTAATAATTTTCTTACCATTTTCTACCAAGTTTCCCATTTTGAGAAAATATCTTCTTTTGTCCTCAGGCCAGTTTTGTCTTTCCTGCAAGTGCTTTGTTATATTCAAGTACGCTTCATCAAGACTCATGGCCATAAAATTAGGATCATATTCAGCAAGTATTTCTTTAACCTTCAAAAAGAACAAAAAAAAGCCTTAAAGTTTGCTGCCACAGCAAAACTTCCTGTCATTTATAGCTGATGGGAAGCTTTAATATTCTTACTTTGCAACTACAAGAATGATTCTGCAATCAATAACTCTTGGACTTAAGGAATAAATAATTTACTACCAGTGCATATTCATCAAATTTTCTTTTGTATTAAAATAGATCTAAAGCAAAAGACTATGAAATAGATTCATCTGCTGCAATCTCTATTTAGTTACCTATATCAAGAAACAGTAAGTGATTCAAATAAATCTCAGATAAAATAACTCTGAGGCAATGAAAAAAATAGTGAAGGATTAATGCAACTAGTCAGAAGGAAAAATGGACATGATAGGATTCTATTCCTTCTCATTTTTTATGATGATTCTTGTTCATTTTAAAAAGAAATAATTAGGGGCTGGGAATCTGGCTTAGTGGTAGAGTGCTTGCCTAGCAGACATGAAGCCCTGGGTTCAAGTCCTCAGTACCACATACACAGAAAAAGCCAGAAGTGGTGCTGTGGCTAGAGTGGTAGAGTGCTAGCCTTGAGCTTCAAAAAAGCTCAGGGACAGTGCCCAGGCCCTGAGTTCAAGCCCCAGGACTGATATACACACACACACACACACACACACACACACACACACACACACACAAATGACTGAAAAGGCAATAATTGTAAGCACTAGGTTGCTTTAGAAAAGTTATTTCCAATTAATTATTATATACACATAAAACTCCACTTAATACATATAGAAACACACAGGAAAATGATGCTCTATTTATTGCAATCTGGATTGGAAAAAAAAAACAGACACAAATCTGAGTATAATTACATGATGGAGAATTCTCTGGAGTTGCACTGTGGACTAAAAGATACATGTGGGGATTAGAAGTGTAGTTGAGAAAGTACGAAAGTGGCTTTTTGTGTGTGTGACAGTACTGGTTCATGAACTCAGGGTCTGTGTACGCTAGTTTGATTTTCTTGCTCATAGTGCTTTACCACTTGAGCCAGGCCTCCAGCTAAGCTTTTTACTAGATAACTGAAGAGAGAGTCTCAGGATATTTTTTTTTGACCTGGCTAGCTTCAAACCTTGATCCTCACATCTTAGCCCCTGAGCAGCTAGAATTATAGGTATGAACCACTGGTACCCAGCCAGAAATGCCTTTTATATAAGGTAGTTTCAGTACATAAAACCAAGAATGTTTTTACATCTTTTTGTTCAAATCACTAAAGTATTAGATGCAATAAGAAGAAATGGTTGGCAAACTAATACATATATTAGAAAATGTATTTCCTGAATTATGTTATACTTCAAATAGCATTTAAAATCTTGCTATATCATAAGAAAACCTCTAGAAAATATAATTTCTGAATTTTACTTCATCTAGAATTTAAAGCTATCTACTGTACGAGAGAACCTTTGGATTTATAAAAAGAAAGTATTTTAGCTTAACAAAATTACAGATAGCTGAGTCATGGGAAATTTTAGAAAATGGTGATATAAAACTTGGCATAGTTTTTTTACTCAGAGAGTACTTAAAATAGCTTTGTTCTTATAGAAGAAACCATTTCTACAATATACCCAAATAGAATCTTTCTAGTGAAAATGGAACTCTGGAAAGTCTATAGCTGGCAGCCAACTAAGATTGTGAATGAGAAATCGTCCCTAGAGACACTGTTGAGTACTTACTTCCTCTACATGGGACATGAGTATAAGAACTAAAATACACATGCTTCAGTAAAAGTCAAGTATGTAAAACTCTAAGTACAGCTAAGGTTACTCTAGTATTTTGACAAGACAAAAATAGATCTTCCTTCCTCAAGCTTCCTAAATGCCAGAAGTATTAATTTATAGTTACAGAATTATCGATAGTTCATTTACATATAACAAGTTATTTGCTATCTGCAAATTAGTGGGCTAGATCTTGCTCAAATCTGGAAAGTTTTCCAGCTTAACTAGACTAAAGAGAATTCAAATACTGTCACAAATTTGACTGAGTTTCAGTAGGTCTTACAAAGTCTTCATAGGATTTTTTTTTTACTACTAAACACTTATATTTATGAATAGCATTTTATTCTTTTAAGTTAGGACCACCAAATGTGAACACGCTCCCTCACTACACACACCAAAAACAAATAAAGAAAGAAGATGCAACAAAGAACTTGATGTGATAAAAGACTGTTTTTCAAATAATAAAATTGTTTTTAAATGTTGGGGTGTAATTTCTAGGGGGAAATTAGGTGAGATACAAATAAACTAAGCAAATGTAAAGATCACTTGCATGGCTAATGATATCATGGGGTAGGCCATAGCTTCTTAAGTGTTTATACTTAGATCATAGTGTTTAACATATTGTGTTTACTCTAGCAGTTTGAAAGTGATATAGACATATGTAAAACTAAAATCTTAATTCAAGAAGAAAGTCCTATTTTTGCATTATAGGGTGGTTGTTATTAAAAAGAGAAAGTGGTAGTTTTACTTGAGACCACTGGAGTTCTAGTAGATAACAGTATCCTTTCCAGAGTAATGGGTTATTCCCTTTTCTTTTTGATTATCAGTTTCTTAGATATTAAATTCTTAAGCATCTTTGTAAGATTATATAGCACTGAAAGGAACCAATTAAGCTGAGTGAATTGTGTCATTGTTTAAAAAATGATAGTCAGGCATGGTTATGCACATCTGTAATTCTACTAACTAAGAGATGGAAGGAGGATTGCAAGTTCAATGCCAGCCTAGGCTATGTTATCAGAAAAAAAAAACCAAAACACTCATAAAAATTTACTCAGAATACAATGAGTGGTAGATTCTATAAATTACAAAAATAGGTAGTTCTAGAAGAAAATTTGTTTTACACATTAAGAAAAAATAGCTAAAGTGAGCGTCCTACTATTTAGTTTGGAAAAATGGGTTTTCTACATACATGGAAAATACTTAGAAAGGCAGAGAACTGGGAAACAGAATAGTGCATTCTGGGTATTATGAAGAGCTTGTTATTCAATGTAAGTGCAAAGAAGTGGATGAGAGTGAGTGTGAAGGGATGTGCTAAGACTAGTTAGATCCTGCTGCTCTAAAGCCTTTGGTATTACTTCTACGTAACAGGAAACTAGTAAACAGCTATAGTAGAGGTGATACATCAACTTACCTCTTTACTCACAGCTCTATATTTGTCAAAGTTTGGGGGTACTATAATAAGTTGTGGGCAGAGTCTCTTAGCAATAAATCCTGGCATAGCTGCACGAACACCAAACCTCCTTGCATGGTAATTTGAAGTAGACTGAAAGAAAATGGACCACATTGGGAAAAACAAACAAACCTAAATGGACGTATTGATCAATGCATTCAACCAGAAACACATTACTAATGTACATTTTTCAATTCAAGGGCATTCTTTTATAGGACATTGTCTTAACCACATTTTGACTTTACCTTGTCATGGTTTTATGATGCCATGACCCTGTCTCACTACTGTCTCTATATTTACAATGTGATACCAGGTATTAAGTAAGTCTATGCTAATAAACTCTTCTCGAAGATAGGCACGATACCAGGCATTAAGTAAGTCTGTGTCAATAAAATATTCTTTAAGATGGGCATGATAGCCTTGAGTGAAGACTGGAAGGTTTGAACAAAATCAGAGATTCTTAGTTTTGGGGAAAACTAATGATATTCTAAATATACTAGTAAAATATGTTATACTATAATCAAGATTTTAAAACCTTTGCTATCAAAGTCCAGAAAGTAAATGATCACTTAAGGCTTTGCAAATCATATGGTTTTAGTTGTGATTAGTTCTACTCAACTCTGTTCTTTTATTGTGATAGTAATAATACTAACTCTGTTCCAGTAAAATTTATTTACAAAAATAAAGGTGTCAGATCAGATGTAATTCTGACTTATGCCTGTAATTCCAGTTACTCAGAGGGCTGAAATCTGAGGATCAAGGTTGGAAGCCAGCCAAGAACCAGTCAAAAGCTGGGTGCAGAGGTGTGGTTCAAGAAGTATAGCACCAGCCTTCAGTGAAACATTTAAAAGATAGCACCCATGCTCTGCGATTAACCCCTAGTCCCAGCACTGTCCCACCGCCCAATAAAAAAAGGTGACAGGACAGACTTGCCCTAAAAGCTACTGTTCGAAATTATCTGGTTTAGAATTCTTTTCTTGGAGGTATTGGTATTTAACTCAGTGCCTCATGTTTTGCCCCTTTATTACACTTGTTATTTTGAGATAGTTCACTTTTTGCATAGGCCTCTGCCTGAACTACAATCCTCTTATTTAACACTTTGCACCATAGCCAAAATTACAGGTACATGTGTGTCCAGCTATTGGATGAGAACAGGTCTTGTGAACTTTTTGCTTGGGTTGGCCTTGTATTATAATCTTCTTAATCTCAGCCTCTTGAACAGCTAGGATTACAGCTACCACACTTGGCTACAATATTTTTTTCTTTTTCAATTATCTTTTTGTTGTTGTTGTTGTTATTGGTTGTGAGGCTTGAACTCTGGGCCTGGGTACTGTCCCTAAGCTCTTCAGCTCAAGGCAAATGACTCTGGGTGTTGGTGGCTCACATCTGTAATCCTAGCTACTAAGGAGGCTGAGATCTGAGGATCACGATTCAAAGCCAGCCTGGGCAGGAAGTCCATGAGACCCTTATCTCCAATAAACCACCAGAAAATGGTAAGGGGTGCTGTGGCTCAAGTGATAGAGTGCTAGCCTTGAGCTGAAATGCTGAGGGACAGTGTCCAGGTCCAGAGTTCAAGCCCCATGACTGACAAAAAAAAAAAAAAAAGTCTCATGGATTTTCCTGCCTGGGCTGGCTTTGAACCTTGATCCTCAGATCTTAGCCTCCTGAGTAGCTAGGATTACAGGTGTAAGCCATTGGAGCCCAGCTTTCTTCAATTATCTTTATCTAGAATACTTTAGAAAAATCTGATATGCAAGGGAAGGATATAATGTCACTCTACCATCCTACTGGATTTGTGACTGGGAAGGTTATTGTCTCTCTGAGTCTGCTATTATTTTAGTCAAAAGAAAATAAATACAGGTGCCTTAAGGTATGTTGAGAGATTTAAGTACTGAGTATAGATAGGGCATCTAAAAAATAGTCACCAAACTTAGACCTTAATAAAGACTTCTTTCTTCATGAACCAATAAGCTTACTTGAATATGTTAGGAAATTCCCTTTTTGTCTTTTATCTTGACCTACTTACCAACATACTCAGTGATCCTACAGCAATGGGTTTATCCTTCAATTCTGGGTTATCCCTCATTTCTACAGCTGCATAGAAAGCATCCATGTCAATATGCACAATGGTATTGTTTAGATTCCGGCTCTGTTCCAACTCCAGTGCAAACCTGTCAACCTTAAACAAAAAAGAAGTAACAGTTTTAGACCATGTAATATTGAAAAAGCATAATAATTTTAAATTATAACGTATCTATTAGTCTGTCTCTGTCCATCTCTGTACATCCATCCATCTACTTGACCTATGGGTACATATTCATTGTTGTTTTTGGGTGCATCTGGGCATATAATGTATTGATGTTTATTAAGGCTGATTGCTTTTATTCTCACAAATGGTCACTTTCAAATATCTTTTTCTGATAACTCTCCATATGCCCAGGAAGATCACAAGCATTTTTGTTTTTGTTAACAAGGTAATTGAATGAATGAATGAACTATCACAACTGCTAATATGAACTGATTCTACTACTTTGTAATTATGGAGAACTTACTATAACTGCAAGTTTCAATTTAGGTAAAATAACTCCCATTTGAAATAGTAACAAAGGAAATGTACAACAAAAGGTTACACCTGTTTGGCAACTGATGGATGCTATGGGAATAGTAATATATACAAGTAAACATGTAGAAACATCTTAGCCTATACAAATACAAATTGAAAACATACACTATAATTTACTTCTTATAAACTTTAATATGTGTCAAATATAACAATGAAGAATTTAATCTTCAAACAATTTTTGTCTCTAAAGAGAGAAACAATGGGATTGAAAAGAAATGAAAGTGAGTAGAAATAATCAAAGGTGGTAAGAAAGGGGTTTATGTAGCAGATACATTCCCAACTGTTGCTTTCTGTAGGCTTTTCCTGTAATGCTATGAATTCACTTTCCCAGCTTACCCACAGATGAGGTGTCATGTAACAGTTTTTCTTTTCTTTTCTTTTTTTTTGTTGGTCGTGGGGCTTGAACTCTGGGCCTGGGCACTGTCCCTGAGCTCTTCAGTTCAAGGTGAGCGTACTACCACTTGAGCCATAGCCCGACTTCCGGCTTTTTCTGTGTATGTGGTGCTGAGGAAACGAACCCAGGGCCTCATGCATGCGAGGCAAGCACTCTACCACTGAGCCACCTTCCCAGTCCCCATGTGACAGTTTTAATCTCTGTAACATATTAGAAATGGGGAGACTAGGAAAGTAAAATCACAAGTGTTAACTGAACTGAAGAACATGAGGAGCTTGACACAGTGCAAGTTTAATCAATGCAATCACTACTAAAAGGATCAGTGGATAGCTGCATTAACAAAACAATAAAATAAAAGAGTAAACAGCCTCAAATAAGCAAAGGGGCTGATGCTAGAATGAAACAATTACTATCATGTGGAGATCCTTAGAACAATTTCTTCAAAGATACACAGGCATTTTCCCTCATGCTGGACTTTAACCCTGCCTCTACTCTACAGTGTTTTCTTCATGGCTTTCCTTCTCAGCATTACTGTGACATCAGCTGTAGGCAAAAACTGCAATTCTCTCTTAGAATTATATCATATTTGTCTGCAACAGCCACACTGAGATGTTCAAGAGGACCTGACCTGTTTAGTCTGCAACTAACTGAAGGACCCCAGGTGCCTTCCTGAGGCTAGAACACCTTTTCTAGCTCTGTCACAGACCTTGAGGTAACTTTTGTAACTTAACTGGTCTCTGTCCTCTGTGCTGTAGAATGTAATGTTCTCTTACTTGTTCTCTTGCTCTTCCCAAGGCCTTTTCTGTATTAGACAGTAAATTGTGAGTTCCTTTGGGAGAAACATTATATCTACCTTAAAATCTTATCCAGGTGCCAGGAGCTCACACTTGTAATCTTGGTTCAAAGCCAGCCCAGGCAGAAAACCAGAAGTGAAGCTATGGCTCAAAGTGGTAGAGCACTAGCCTTGAGCTGAAGAGCTCAGGGACAGTGCCTTGGTCCAGAGTTCAAGCTCCACAACCACCACCACCACCACCACCAACAACAACAACAAAAATCTTTCTCTACAAGAGAGGTAGAAGGGGAGATGGAAATTATACTAATGCATTAACTGGTAAAAAAGAAGAGCAGTATTAGAAAATTTTTGGATAAGACTAGTTTCTTACCATGAAACACTGTCCTTAGTAAGTAGAACTTTTCAATTTTACTCAAATTATTCTGATTTAAAAGTTTCTTCTGGGGGGCTCTGAAGACCACCCTATGTGGAGGTCTGCGCCTGGGCAGGGGTGGGGCTCACCACTCACCGGCACTCTCCAGGATGGGCCTCCCAAGAAAGTTTCTTCTAGTGCTTCTATTCAGGGAATTATGAACACATTAAAGAGACTAATAAAAGCAAGAAGAGACTAAAAGCTCATCTATAGTAATCAAAAAATATGCCTAATACATGCCTAATATTAACAAGGGAGTGGCATCTGAAATATTTTGAGCTGGAGTCATCTGGAGAAAAAAAGATAATAGAAAGCAACCCAAATGGGAAAACAATTGTCCTTCGACTCATATATCAATGTTCTGACAGTCTCCAGCAATCTATTCTTCCTCCCGCTTGTTGCAAGTGTACAGTTGCCAAAAGGAAAACTCCCCACTGCATGACTCATACATTCCACTTTCCTTTACTATCTGTCATTAGTTACCCTTGTCTGAACCCTTCTCTTTCTACATATACGAGATGCACACCATCAGTGCCTTTTCAACGTTTTTCCCCTAAAGTCTTCATTCACTTTTCTTTTCTTCCAGGCTCTCTCAAAAGAATTTCCAGTTCCAATCTAAGAAGGTAACATGGACCTTGTTCCTTTTGCTACTGTGGAGATCTGGTGTGTACCATGGGAGTTAAAAATAATGGCTTTGGTTTGGGTTTCAGGGCTGCTCATTATTTCCATGGCAGTGGGTAACTTAGCATTACTTTTCTTATTTGTACAACAGGACTAACTAACCTCAAAAACGTTGTTGAAGGAATTAAAAGAGATACTCATGTAATACACTTAACGAGGGATAAGGGCTAGCTGATGTACCTTTAATTTTTAAAGCAGGTGCAAAAATTATTGAGTTTATATATCATCAAAAATGGTAAGTGCTTTCTATATTAACTCATTTGCTGGTCAGAATAATTCCAAGATTATTATTTCTACTTAATAAAACTCTGAGTCAGGCACCTAGTAAATGATAGAGCTAGACTAAAAAGCCTATGTTCTTTTTCTTATTTTATGATGCCTCTCCAAAAAATATACATTTATATATCTATAATCCATAAATATATAGATACATAGATATATATTTGGTGCTGGTACTGTGGCTTGAACTCAGGGCCTGGGCAATGTCCCTGAGGTTTATTTGCTCAAGGCTAGTGTTCTAACACTTGAGCCACATCCCTTTTTTCAGCTTTTTGATGGTTAATTGGAGATGAGAGTCTCATGGACTGCCTGGGCTGGCTTTGAATCTCAATTCTCTTATCTCAGCCTCCTGAGTAGCTAATATTACAGGTGTGAGTCACTAGTGCCTAGCCCGAAATAAATTTTTAAGTCTTTAGCAATGAAACAAATTCGAACAAAATTCTAAAATTCTTAAATCCATACTTGCTAAAACTCTCCATTTCTACTACATTTAGGAGGCTATTTCTGAACTATTTTTCATATTAACTTAATGTTTCCTTTGACTACTGAGTTAATCTGAGTAGTTAATGACTGATTTTCTGTGTAGTTACTATTTAGCATAACATAAGATATTTATGTATTTCATATAAGAACTCATGTTATTGTAAGAGATTTTAGTGGTTACAACAATGATCATGCCTTTAGGAAGTCAGATGAAAATATAAAATACTGACAGGTTCAGAGAAGATACCCCGGGAGTTCATGTCTGCAGAGGTTATTTATCACAGCTCGACTAGCAACAGTTCACACTATTGTCATGCATAATAAAAATCTAGCACATGGAAATTTTATGACTTTAAAAAGAAACACTTTTTCCACTAAAACTTCTCTGGGTCTCTCAGATGTTTTTGACTCCTAAGGACTTCCTCAAATCTCCTCTGGTTTATACAACTTCTTTTAGAGGAAAGGCAACAAATGAGACAAATGAATAATCAACATAAAACACATTTCCTGCCATTCCTCTTGCAAAAGATGCCAGAGAACCTCCCATGAAATAGTCAACTAAAACTGGAACAAAATCTGAAGTTGTGTTACACAATGGAAGGCACTTTCTATCTCTTCAGATTATCAAAGTGTATTGTACCATTAAAATGGACCTTGAAGAATTTTATTAAATATTATAGATCAGTAAAACTTGTCAAAAAAACCCAGAAAACCAAATGCTTATTGAATACAGTCATTTTTAAAGTAATGTTGTTTTGGACAGAATGAATTTTTTTTTTTGGTCGGTCTTGGGACTTGAACTCTGGGCCTGGGAGCTGTCCTTCAGCTCTTCAGCTCAAGGTGAGCGCTTTACCGCTTGAGCCACAGCGGTTTTCTAGTGGTTTATTGGAGATAAGAGTTTCATGGACTTTCCTGCCGGAGCTGGCTTTGAACTGCAATCCTCAGATCTCAGCCTCCTGAGTAGCTAGGATTACAGGCAAGAGCCACCAGCACGCTGTGGACTATTTCTTTTGAATGAACTTAAGACATCATTTTTATCAATCTTAAAAATTTCATTCTAGCCAGGCGCCGGTGGCTCATGCCTGTAATCCTAGCTACTCAGGAGGCTGAGATCTGAGGATCACGGTTCAAAGCCAGCCCGGGCAGGAAAGGCTGTGAGACTCTTATATAACTCCAATAAACCACCAGAAAACCGGAAGTGGCGCTGTAGCTCTAGTGGTAGAGCGCTAGCCTTGAGCTGAAGAGCTGATGGACACCTCTCAGGCCCAGAGTTCAAGCCCCATGACCGACCAAAAAAAAAAAAAAAAATCCAAGAAAAAAAACAGGTTTTTTTTTTTGTTCTTGTTTTTGCCAGTCCTGGGGCATGAATCCTGGGCACTATCCCTGAGCTTCAAGGCTAGCCCTGTACCACTTGAGCCACAGTGCCACTTCCAGGTTTTTCTATTTATATTGTACTTAGGAATCGAACCCAAGGCTTCATGCATGCTAGGCAAGCTTTCTACCACTAAGCCACATTCCCAGCTCAAGAAAAAACAGTTTTAAGGAAGAGTTTTAAGAGAATATTAAACTACATATTTATTTTATTTTTTGTGGTATGCTTACGAGGAAAATTACTTGAGCCACATCTTTAGTACCTATATATTTACATTTCAGTAAAATAATATGGTGCTGATATACTTAAAAACTAACTCACCTGACTAAATGAGGGTAGCCAGAAACAAACCAAAGTACACAAGAATTTAGTACTTGAAAGGACATTACTTCAATTCAGTGGAAAAAAAAAAACTCATAATACAGTAATTGGAGTTGGGCAAGTTAATTATCATTAGGAAAAATATAATACCAATTAGAGAAAAATATCCTTTACATCTTACATGAAAACAAATTCTAAAATATTTCTCTTTAAAAGAAAGATACTGTTAAGAAAGTAAAACATAAGTTATAGACAGGGAGAAAATAGTTGAAAAAACAACTGATATAGGACTAATAACCAAAACGTAGAATTCTAAAAATCAACCATAAAACAAAACAACCAAACATTTAAAAAGGGGTCCCAAATCTCCTTACTACTGTCACTTCACCAAAGAAGATATACAGATGAAAGATGGCAAGAACATGAAAAGATGCCTAAAATCCTACATCACTGGGGAAATGCCAATTAAAATGGGATCATATTTTACTGTATATCTATTAAATATCCAAAACCTAGAATACTGACAACAGTAAAAGCTGGTTGCACAGAATGTGTAGCAATTCCCACTTGCTGATGGTTGGAATTACTACACATGGTTCAGTCAGGCTGGAAGACAGTTTGGAAGTTTCATGTAAAACTTAGCATTTTCTTACCATAATATTCAGTAATTACAGCTCCTTTGCATTTATTCAAATGAGCTGAAAAGTTATTTCCACAAACAGAACTGCACATGGATGTTTATAAATAGTTTATTCATAATTAAACAGACTCAGAAGTAATCAAGATGCCCCTCCTTATGGGAATGGATACATAAAATTGTGGTACATCCAGATGTTGGGGAGCTATTGAGACATAAACAGACATGGAGCCACTCTAAATGAATATTGCTATATTAAAGAAGTAGATCTGAAAGAGGCTTCATACTGTCAGATTCCAGCTACATGGCATCTGGTAAAGGGAACACTCTGGGCATAGTAAAAGGGTTAACATGGAGGGAGGGCAGTTAGCTGAGCACAAAGGACTTTCAGGGCAGTAAAAATATTCTGAATAGTATGATGGTGAATATATAACTTTGCCCAAATTTATAAAATATACATGAAACTATCAATTTTGAGTGATAATGATATGCCAAAGTAGGTTCATTAATTCTTGTGGGAAGTGATGCTAGTGAGGGAAGTTAGCCTGTAAGGGGGCAAAGGTATAGGAAAAAAACTCATTTTAAAACAGCTCTAAAAATAAAGGTCTTTAAAAATACCATTGGATTTCAAACTTAAAATATATATAGGGATAACGTTGCAAAGTTAAACGATAACATATTGGATGCAGACTTATAACAAATGGCAAGAAAAGAAATCCTTAATGCATAATAAGATCTTTTAAATCAAGAGAAATGGATATAAACTCTCCTAGAAATGTGGGCATAGGAAATGGCTTTGGACTGACAGTTGAACTTCCAAATGCATTCTCCTTCCTTTCACAGTAACAGCTTTTAGCTGGGCACATGGCCACCTGGCCAGAGAAGGTATTTTATAGCTTCTCATCTAACTCTGTGTGGCCCTGTAGCTTAAAGTACTGCCAAAAAATGCAAGTTTTAGTACTGTATGTTTTCTTTTCACTTGTTTAAAAGCAAATTACTTGCTTTTAACTTTTCCTCCACTCTGCTTTTACTAGAATATGAAATGAGGATAATTTACGTTTGTCAAGTCCAGGTAAGAATAACACCAGGGGAGGCTACAAGAATAAGATTTAAAGAATTTGCATCTTGAAATTACTATGATAAACAGGGCCAACTCATTAGCTTGAACTATTTACCTATTATATGAGAAAGAAAAAAGACTTTTTAATGTATGTTATTGGGACTTACTGTACTGCTTTAACCATGACTCCAGGCCCTTTTACTTCTAGTGTTTTTTAAAATAGAGGCTCATGGTTTTTTTTGTTTGTTTGTTTGTTTTTTGCCCAGGCTGAGCTCAAAAAATAATCCTCTTATTTTTGCTTTCAAGGAAGCTGGGACAACTGGTATGTACCACTTCATCCAGCCTATTTTTGAGAAAAGGCTTCACTGATGTGTTTATCTGGTCTGTGTCAAATTATGATCCTTCTATTTCTACTTTGCAAGTAGTTGGGATTACAGTCATGTGTCACTAAGCCTAACCCCCCAAATAAGTTCTTATTTAAAATATATTGCTTGTGCCAGTTACTTCACCTATAACCTAACAAGAAGAATAAAAAAGGTCATCCTTACAATTAAAAAAATAATGGCTAATATGTAAAAAGATATTCTTTCTGTCATAATAAAAGGGAAATTAAAATAACCATAAGATAATATTTTGGACATTATGTAAACAAAAATGAAACTTAAATTGATATAATCTCATTTCTGATTTTATAACTTTATTTTACTAAACTATAGTTGTATTTTAAGTTACTTCTTACTTTATAGATATGTTTCCTCCCTTCCTTCCTTCCAAAATCAGCATTACAGAAAATCTGCCATTTTTATCATTTTTATCCTGTGGCCATGTGACCTTTTCTCACTACAAGTATGAAACACAGGGCTGGGTGCTGGTGGTTCATGCCTATAATCCTAGATACTTAGGAGGCTGATATCTGAAGATCACAGTTTGAAGTATGTCCAAGCAGGAAAGTCCATGAGAGTCTTATCTCCAATTAACCACCAGAAAATCAGAGTGGTGCTGTAGCACAAAGTGGCAGAACTTTAGTCTTAAGGAAAAGAGCTCAGGGAGGTGCCCAAGCCCTGTGTTCAGGCCCAATGACCACCAAAAAAAAAGCACGTAGGTTTTGAGTTGAGTTGTAGCTTTGCTAAATACCTATGAAGCAGGGCAAGTTACTTAAGACTATATTTACTCTTTGTATAATGATGGTGGCAAGGCCTGGTGTGGACTGGAAGTAAATGAGGAGAGTACTGACTGCTTAGCAAAGTGTGTACATCTGCTGAATGGGTCTGCCTTCACTGTAATAAACACATTTCATCTTGTCTGCAGTTATGACCTGATGATGGTGCATGATAGCTGTCAATTACCATTCCACTAACTTCCACTCTAAGGACTGAATTAATACCTGTAATTGGGCTTTCCTTAGCTGCTGACTGGTAATTTGAGCTTTTTGTTGCATCATGTTATCAATTCGCTGGTTGACTTGCTTTTCCTTCTTGAGCTCGTTCCCATAAAATCTGGAGCCCTGTGGAGGAAACAAAGCAGAGGATAAATGTCAGAAAGAAAATATCCCTGTAATGTGACCTGCTGGCTGAGAGTATTCATTCTGGAATCAGATTGATTGAACTCAAAACAATTACTTACTAGTTGGGTAACTTCAAAATACTTTACTATTTATCTATTTCTTTATCTGTAACAGTAAATATTAATAGTTACTGAAGCCATACAATTGTTGTGAGACAGAACTAATCACAGGCTCTGTGAGTTGAAAGCTGCATTCAGAAAAAAAGTGTCATAGGCCTAAGTCAGCTGGGTCATCAGTTTTCTCCCTCACCATTCAGAAATTTAATGTTAAGTCATTAATAAAATGCAGCAGATACTTAATACTTACCATTCTAGCACTGAACAATGCTTAGTAATTTATCAGATTGATAGACATCAAGATATATCTACTTTTGGCTATGCTGCTATGAATTTGTTTGTGAGGATTTTCATTCTGTCATTCTCCTGGGTATCTTAACCTTGGAATGGAATTCCTGTGTCATATAGTAACCATAGATAACTTTGAGAGAGAAGCCACAGTGTTTTCCAAGTAACTGAGCTATTATGCAACCCTACTAGCAATGTATGAAGGTTTCAACTTCTCCATATCCTTGTCAACACTGTGATTGTGTTATTATAGACATTTGTGACAATAATACTGTGAACAGCATCTCAGTGTTTTAATATTTACATGTTTTTTTGGTCTGAGAGCAGGACTTGAACTCACTACTGATGCTTTTGTTACCAACTGAGCCAGACCTGCAACCCCAAAATTTATATTTTTTTAATGACTAATGATGCTGAATAGACTTCCATGTACCTATAAGTCATAGCATATCTTCTTTACTGAAATGTCCATTTATATCTTTTTGATAGAATTGTTTGCTAATGCTTATGTTACCTCAGCTTGGTAAGTCCAAAAATTTAGCGATACCTTCTACTGATAGTTTGGGCATGATAATACATTTATAAACTAGTAAAAGAATAAACTGAAACAACCAATAAGGAGAGTAATTTGACAATTCATAAACATTATACATGCACCAGACTAGGTAGACAAATCCGCCAAGATTCTCATCTATAATTAATCCCCAAACAGCTGAAAGTGCAGCTGTGGCTCAAGTGGTAGAGTGCCAGCCTAGAAAAAGCTAAGGGAGTGTGCCCTACCCTGAATTCAAGCCCCAGTACATCATACATACAAATATTTTAATGAAAGAGATATTCAATCAAAACTTAATCTGGTTCTTTTAAACCGAATTCTTAGTAGTAACAAAAGTATAGACATAAAAAGAAACAAGGAACAAACCTTTGTTGCTTCCATTATAATTTTGTTAATTTTCTCTTTATCCAATCCTTCCATTCCTGCTTTGTTGTCATTAAGTCCCATCCTAAGAAGCAGGTCATCTTTGTAACTGTCACTTTTCTCCTTTGTGCTGTCCATGGTGCAAACTTAAAAGTAGTTTCTTCTTTATAATCTGAAGAAGCATATATAATGAGGTCTTTTTTAGAAAGCATCCATAGAGGGGAAAACTCAAAGGTTTAGACAACTGGGAATCCAGTCAAACAATTTTTTAAATGATTAAGAACTCTTTGCTCCAGGAAAATTGCTAATCAAATTTCTATAATTAATATCACAGGATGACTGTATTCTTGGAGAGAGGAAGGGAATAAATACTTTCTGCATGCTTTGTAGCAGTCATTATGCTTAGGGTTCTGCACATAGGCCCTGTATAGTCTTACAGGTAGATATTATCACTCTGTATAAAAAGGCAAGAAACTTCAGTCAGGACATGTCTACTTAAGAACTGCAACAGGTGTTCAACACAACCATGAGCCCAAATCTCATGTTTTGATCCAGATTAACCTTACATAGTAAATACAAAGTAACTCTTTCAATTACCATCTATTGTGTACAGAGCTCCATTCTTAAGACAGTAAAAAATACAGGCACAAACCTACCTACTTCCAGGAACTTACTCCACTGTACAATGTTATGTCACTCCTAAGGCTAAGAAAGGTGACAGAGGCACATACCTACAGCCTAGCTACCAGGCACATACCTATAGCCTAGCTACCAGGGAGGCCAAAGAGGTAGAAGCATTTAAGCCCAACAGTTTGAGTCCAACAGCAATTTGAGCAAAGAGGAAAAAAAAAAGAAAACAGAAAAGAAAGAAATAAAATATTTTCATGTAATAATTCTTTAAGATCTCTATGTAGTTCTTTGTAGTTTACTTTCATATACATTAGCTTACCTTAAAAACTTTTTTACAAGAGGATTCAGGATATAGCTCAGTTATAGATTATTTGACTAGTATACACAAGGCACAAAGTTTAATCCCCAATATGGCAAAAAATAAATAAAAAGAAATTTCAGCAAGGTTAAATGAACAGCTCATCATAACTCTGCTAGTATAAAGAAGAATTGGGAATTCAAGTCTCCTTTTCCCAACTTTAATGCAGCTTTCCTGACATCACTGTTGTCTCATTTGAGTTTCAGTAATGATAGAAATAAGGTTCTAAGAGAAGATTCTATCTACCTATCTATCTATCTATCTATCTATCTATCTATCTATCTATCTATCTACCTATCTATCTATCTATCTATCGTAGTACTGGGGTTTTGAACTCTGTTTTCTCTGCCACTTGAACCACATCTCTAGTTTTTCTGCTTTTAAGTTATTATTATTTTTTTCTAGATAGGGTTTTCTGCCTTTTTTTTTTTTTTTTTTTTTGCCCCAGCTGGCCACAGACTGTGAACTTCCCACGTATATCTCTGATTTAGCTGGGATTACAGACATTCAACACCATGCCCAGCTTGTTTGTTAAGATTGTCTCACTAACTTTTTGCTCTGACTGTAGTTAGGATTACAGGTGTAGGCTGTCCCTCCCAGTTATGACAGTAACTTATTTACATCAACTAGAGGAGACTCCATCTTGAGGAAATTTTCTTAACAATGCTACTTCTATTTGAGGTACCCAAAAAGAATAAAGGTAATTTTGAACTTTAAGTATTGCGATTATGGTGGCAGTTTCGCTGGGGGTGGAGGTGGGGGGAGAAAGAGCAAAGCATATGCCTGTTATCTCAGCACTCAAGAGGCAGAGAGGAATTAAGAGTTCAAAACCAGCCTGGGCTACATAGCAAAACCCTATAAAAATAAAATAAAGCGGAAGTGGTGCTGTAGCTCAAGTGGTAGAGCACTAGCCTTGAGCTAAAGAGCTGAGGGACAGCACTCAGGCCCAGAGTTCAAGCCCCACAACCGACCAAAAAAAAAAAAATCCTTGCTTTCTTTAGCTGGGAAGGGTGGCTCAGTGGTAGAGCGCTTGCCTTGCATGCCTGAGGCCCTGGGTTCGATTCCTCAGCACCACATAAGCAAAAAAGAAAAAAAGCCAGAAGTGGCACTGTGGCTCAAGTGGTAGAGTGCTAGCCTTGAGCTGAAGAGTTGAGGGACAGCACCCAGGCTCAGAGTTCAAGTTCCATGACTGGATCCCCCCCCAAAAAATAAAATAAAATAAAGCATACAACATCCTCAAACTCTGGAGAGTTTTAAAAAGTCTTAATGCTTAAATCTTGTCACAGGGCAAGTAAATGATAACATCTGGAGCCAGCTATTCTGGCTGATTGCAATGAATCCAGAGTACAGGAACCAGTGGTACAGCTGTTGCTTCTGAGTGTCCAAAGAAGCTGGTTTTCTGTCCCCATCATTCTAGTTGTATGTCTTCAACAATCACATTCAGCCTTAATATTATATTATGCATTTGTTTTATTCTTTAGTAATGGAATTATTTGGCATTTTCTAGTAAAGCAAGTAAATGTGATCAGTCATAACATTGCCATTCCAACAATTAGTGAAGAGGCTAAATGTATATTTTAAAGCTTCCTTCCATGGTGTGTGTGTGTGTGTGTGTGTGTGTGTGTGTGTGTATGTGTATCCATCCCGGGGTGTGTGTGTGTGTGTGTGTGTATCCATCCTGGTGTGTGTGTGTGTGTGTGTGTGTGTGTGTGTGTGTGTGTGTGTGTGTGTGTGTGTATCCATCCTGGGGTTTGAACTCAGGGCCTAGGTGCTGTCCCTGAGCTCTTTTGCTCAAGGCTAGTGCTCTAACATTTGAGCCACAGTTTCACTTCTGGCTCTTTTGATGCTTAGTTGGAGATTAAAAACAAAAGTCTTACAGGGCTGGGAAGGTGGCTCAGTGGTACAGCGCTTGCCTTGCATGCATGAGGCCCTGAGTTCGATTCCTCAGCATCACATATGCAGGAAAAAAAAGCTGGAAGTGGCGCTGTGGGTCAAGTGGTAGGGCACCAGCCTTGAGGTGAAGAGCTGAGGGACAGTGCCCAGGCCCAGAGTTCAGGCCCATGACTGGACCCAAAACAAAAAACAAAACAAAAACAAAAGTCTTACAGACTTTCCTGTCTGGACTGGCTTGGAATGTGATCCTCTGATCTCAGCCTCCTGAGTAGCTAGGATTATGGCTATGAGCCACCAGCACCCAGAAAGAAACAGTGATTTTTGCTCAAAACAAATATGTGAGGTAACAACTGAGTTATAAAGACAAGGGGTTCAACGTGGCTCATGGGTTTGGAGGTTCCAGTCTAGGATTAGTTGGCTTTGTTGTTTTGTGGTAGTGATGAGGTAGTACATCATGGCAGGAGTATATGATAGAACCAAACCTCTTACCTCATCTCAAGCCAGGGAGGAGAGGGGATAGGGGAGATGTGGGAAGGGAAAGAGAAAGGAGAGGAGGGAGGGAGAGAGGGGAGCTGAGGGAGGGGGAGAGGGGAGAAAGGGGGGGAGAGAGAGGGAGAGAGAGAAAGACAGAGGGAAAGAGAGAGGGAGGAGAGGGAGCGAGAGGGAGAGAGAGAGGGAGAAGAGAGAGAGAAAGAGAGAGAGCGAGCTCTAACCCCAAACTTAAGGTATTCCTGTATAAGCTTCCCAAATGCTGAGATTACAGGTATATACCATCATGTTCAGACTTGAAATGGTGAAATGTATCAAAGGAAAAAATATTGAATGGATTGTTTGTACATCTTATTTGACATATGGATGCTTTATATTCATTAGCTAGCCAAACCTTGAGAAGAATTGGTTTGAGTCAATTTTGGACTGGAAAAACTGAGCTACTGGGAAAATTGTGAGATAGATGGTTTTCTGTTACTTTCCTGCCTGTTGATACCTGCTTATGTTGCAACTCAAGTAGTTTCATCATTTAATATCATGTGTGTGTCAATGACTTCCAGGGTTGCAGTGCCAGTTCAAATGTCTACATGGTATCTCAAATTCAACATTGCGAAATGATCTTCTCTCTGCCTCCATCCCAACAGCTACTCCTCTAGCTGCTGTTCTCCTAGTTGGGGACAACTCTAATGTCTTTTGATTGTGAACATAAATAGCCTTGGGGATCATTCTTGACCCTCTCATTCTCACATGCCCACATCCAAAACAGGCAGGAAATCCTATGAACTATTTCAAAACACATCTTGCGTTTAACCACTTCCCACCACCTTCTCTGCTTTCATGATAGCTTGCACCACTGTTATCTTTAGCTGGACAAATGCAACAAGCTCTCAGACTTCTGCCCTTTCCTTGTAACTTAAACAATGATGCTTTTCTGCTGAAAACTGTACAATGCTACCCTATCTCAACCCAGAATAAAATCCAAAGCCCTTAAAAAATGACTTTCCAAGGACATAAGCATTGGATGCCTGTCCCTTGTCTACCCTAATATTTTTCTAAAACTCTCCCCCTCCCTTACTACTCTCTAGGCACACTGCCTTGTTGCTGCTCCTTTCCTTTGCTAGGCACATCTAGACTTGAAGTCTTTTTGCACTGCTCATCTTCCTCTGGAAGGTTCTTACATCAGCTAATCTTCTTCCCTAAATCCCCATATCTTAGTCAAGTCTTTACTTACATTTTTCATACTCAATGAGTATGTTTTAAATTGGAGCTTAGCCACTTTCTGATTATTTCTGTATCAAAGAAAAATGTATCAGACCAAGGCCAAGGTTTAGTCCTAGGGTCAGTAGTATTGGGAGGTGGTAAAATCTTTAAGTGAGGCCCATTGGGGACATTCCCTACTAGGGATTATGGGGATCCAAGCCTCTTTCCTTTTCTCTCTCTCTGATACATTTCTTGCAATGAGGTAAGAGGTTTGCTTCAACCACATATTTTTACAAACCAACAGAGCCAATTGATCATAGACTGGGGCCTCCAAAAGCAACTCTTTCTTTTTATACCTTAATTATCTCAGGTACTTGTTAGAATAATAAGTTGTCTAGTACAGTAATAAGCAACATACTAGGTTTTGGTGCATTTGAATCACTATGAGATCCTTTGGACACTATCATTCATGTCATTGTGGTGACTCCTTTTGTGTTTTATGGGAATTTCTATATTTGTTTCAAATTTTGTAAAATCTCTTATTAGTCCTGGTTACCCTTTCTCTTCCCATCAGTCATTTAATGACTTAGCACTCTACCACT